TCTAAGATAGCGGACCGACCCGTTGACGTCATGGCACCGCTATGCAAGAGACGCGCAAGCGCGACAGGAAGCCACTTGAAAAGGCGGAACGAATTTTCAGCAAGGCTTTGCAGATAGTTGGTTGTCGAGGACTTGACACAACCACAGATCTTCAATAACTGAAAAGTTTTGTTGCATTTGGCTAGAATTCCTCTGTAAACATTTCAAGAGAACATTTGGTTGAACTCAAACTAGAATAGTGTAAATAGATTCAAATTGGAACAATTGTCGATGATAGGGAAGATGATACTCAAGAATTTGGTTCACATTAGTTTAGTTTCGTTTTCTGCGCATTAGCGGAAAAATTAACCTAAGGGATTCCTCTTAGCACTCACCTCAATTTCTTCTTGTTACTTTTATTTGTATATTTGTCTTCTAGAGGGTTTTACGAGTGTTCCATCAAAATTTGTTAAATGATATTGTTGAAAACTTGTATTATATTAGGTATAAACTATTCAGGTCCTAAAGAACTTTTCTTAATTGCGTTCTTTTTACCCATTTGCCCCTAAAACGCCCTTCACCGCCCATTTTGATTTACGTCCCTTCTACCGCTTGTGACGTCATCAGTTATTAACGGTCAAGGACAATTTTTTCATCTTACTTGTGCAGGGGGAAAAGATCTTTCAAACCATGCCAGAGTGAGCAAGATTCTGTCAAGGAGGCAAGAGAATAAGGCTAAAAACCATGTAACGTTGGTCCAAAACTTACGATGAAATCCTTACTTTTCCGTCTAATCCTAAGGTCCTAAACGGACGCTAGCCTTCAAATACGACCTTCCCATAAAGTCCTGCACAATTCCTGCAAACAATCCTAAACTTAAAAGAAGGCTTGTTTCTGACGAAAGTGTTGCTCTGAGTCCCTATTAAATATGAAAATGTTAAGCAAAGTGTTTGCTGACAGAGCCTAAGATATATAGAGTTTTGGATGACCCCGTTTCGGTATTCATCTTTTAAAAAGTTAAAATACCTTGTTTGAATTTATCATAGAAGGTCGATATCATTTTATATAACGCTGGATTCAACTACTGTACTGACAATTTTTTTAATTTTTACCAGCCGGGAAGAAATACGTTGATAGGCTCAGCGTTACAATTCTACCATAAAGCGAGTTGACCTATCCTTTCACGGGTTTATAACGAACCAATTACCGACCTGCTCCCAGTTGGCTTATTAGTTCAATTGGTAGAGTGCTGCACCGGTATCGCTGAGGTCAAGGGTTCGAATCCCGTTCAAACCTGAATTTTTTTTCAGGCTTTCTTTTCGCAACTGCAAAAGTTGCGTCTATAACTGCGATGATCTTCTTTCATATAATACTAATCCCATTATTTGGAGGTGAACTGAATTGCTCATTGTTAATATTGATATTTCTGTTAAACTTGTTAATTTTATTATTTGCTCCGCTTTCTTCTGAATCGAGTAAATTAATTAGCCTCACAAATGTTCCCACTACTAAAGCAATACTGAGTCATGTAAGTGACTGACTGATCATTTCATACGCAAGTGAAGTGTTAGCAATGTTTCCGGTGGTAATATCTTGTAACATGGTCCGATAAAATATATATCCGATAATAACTGATTGAAAAAAGAAATTGATTTGACCAGCTAAACTGACAAGTTTTCTCAAGAGAAAAAAAATTCTTGAAAAGGAGTTAATTGCAAACCAAAGCTGTCTTCAGTAACCCTGTTTTCTGATCGCGCGAATGGAATTTGTAACCATTTCACTTTGAAAATCTTGCACAAGCTTTGTTTTTCTTCCAAGATCAACAATCCTTTTACGATTTGGTGGATAATTTTTGCTTATTGCCGGGCTATTGACGTATTTGCGGACAAAAAATTTGAAATTCCCGTATGAAGGGGGAATTGTAGTGGCCACTCCCTTTTCGGCGACAAACCGTTACCACCGGAGTGGTAGCGGATCTCTCAGTTCATGTTGTAGTCCTGGATCAGTACATTAACAGCTTGTGTGCAAAATATAAAACGGCAAACAAAAGAATAAAACAAAAAATATATTTCAACAAGTTTCAAGGCTATAGACCAGCATCCGTCTCGGGAAGTCACTTTCAAAACAAACAAAGCAGCAACGGCTGATACTAGATAGTAAAATTATCTTTGCAAGAGGTTAACAAGACACAGACAGAACTAAACAGATCATAATGAAGTACATCTTTGAACCCATTGATTAAGTAAAGAGACGGACGTAATTGCAGAAGAAACTAGTTGTCCGGATTTAAAACTGGTGTTGACAACTAAAATGATCGATGCACTTCCTCTGCGTCATAAAAGCAATTTTTTGTGGAGGTGCAGGTGTCTGAAAACCCCGCATAAAAAATGAACGAAATTGAAGATCAAAAGGATGATTCAATTAAGAAACAAACCGCAATAACTAAAAGGCGCACAGGTTGCCGTTTCTAAGTTATGTATACATTTCTTTAATTGATCCCTTTTGGACATTCCTTCTTTTTTTCCATGTACCGTTGAAGGCCGGTTTTCTGAACTTAAAGGAGTCGGTCAGAGTAAAAAAGGGTAAAGAGAAGAATAAAGAGTTTAAAGTAAATTGACGCTGCATATGTGTGTGAACTGATGTAACTTGTTTTTAGGCGAAGCCTTGATCAATCGTAGTGTAGCTATCTCCGTCGACAGTTTTGTAGGAAACTTTGTTTACGGGTTTTGGGTTAGTAATCTTCAAATAACCTGAACACACTTCATCAGACCCGCGGCTGTCAGATTAAAAACAGTCAGTGGAAAAAAAGATACTGGACGTGTACGTTTCTTTGGTCTACGCCGCAACTTCCAGAAACTGTTTACAGTTATCGATGTTTCGGCTTTAGTGTTTGGCCAACCGCAAAAAATGGATTATATTGTGTTTCCGCTTTAAAAACGCCCGCTGTGCCCCGTTTTGAAAACCGGCACTGACTTTGCGTTTTAAGTTTCTTTTATGATATCGGCAATACAGTTCTTTGTTACATAGTCTCATGATCAATGGAGTTAAACACCGACCAGAATGAAATCTAGTGAAGTAGTCCCCTTTGGTATAAGAATCCTCTCTCCATGCAGACCGACCCGATTACAATCTTCACTTTTCTACATCTTTTCGAATCTTTGTTTCTTTTCTCACTTCCTTCCTTCGTTTCCGTTTGTTTGTTTTGAAAACGGAAAAAAATCTGGGCTGGCGAGACGAAAGGATGCTGAAAAAGGAGGAAATTACCTCTTTTAGCGGCAATCATTTCAGTTGAATCATTCTAATCCCATTAAACGGCCGGAAGAAATCATTTCTTAAGTCCTGTTCACAAACTAGTACCTTTTTAACCGTTCTTCACCTTCGTCCGTACTGTAACCGCTGAAATGGACGAGTTAGAGGGTGGGTCGGTCGGTAATATACAGAGGGATTATCCTTGAAAAAGAAATTGAAAAGAATGTTTATATGTCAGTGCCGCGCAATTGCTGCGCGGCCGCTTCTATAACAAATCGATTTTTCATTTTATACAGAATTTCCTGGCGTGTTATAGTTCTGCTAACTTATAACTAACTTATTAGAGCGGTTTTCACTTGACTGTCGAAAGTAATTGAGGAATTGGTTTGGTTTTGGTTTTACTACGTCCTTTGGTTGGCTAGTGTATTTACTTTGGTTTCGGTTTTACGACAGTCAAGTGAAAACCGCTCTACGAATCAACGTTGATGCTGATAACCAAGTGAAACTAACAGAATCAAAATATCAGGTGACTTAAAAAAATATAAAATCAAAATGGATGAAAAAGATGTCCATTTTCTACCCACGTTACACCGTTAAGAAAATAACCAGGCTAACCAAAAGTACTGTAGCACAACAGAGCGGTAAATTGAGTGTTTTTGTACTTGGTAAGAGAGGAAGACACCCGCTATCCTCGCGCGTGTTCACGTCCAGAACGCCACGGGCATCTCACGCGCGAGCAATATAAGTTTAAGAAGCGAAGCGAAGAGAAACTCTAAAAACGGTAGTTGTCGATAAAACTTTAAAATAAATAGTAAGTTTTGGGTCAATTTAGGTTTCTCGGAAACTGCCCACCTACCCATCCCCTAACCCAACATTTTGTCCTAAGTGAGAAGTAAGTGTTAATGATAACTTAGGGGAGGGGTAGGTGGGCAGTTTCCCAGAAATCTACAAATTGATCCAAAGTATTGACAATGGTACCCCACTTTGTCCTTGTTCTTATTGTTTTCTTTCCCTTTCGTTCAAAAGATGTCTCCCAAGTGGCATTATAGGAACTGCTACACTGTAGCCAGTACTCTTTTCTCGCCCTCTCCCTCTTTTCTTCCTGCCTAGTTTTGGACTTCATTTCTTTTGGTAAGTGTGAGATTCAGGACCTCTAGGATAGCAAAAATTCAGCTCTTTCTGGTCAAGACAGTCGAGCAGATGAAAATTAGGGCGTGTTCGCTTGACCGTATCTCCGAAATAAGAATGAACAAAGTATACTCTAGAAATCTCTTGTTTTAGCTTTCATTGTGCTGCAATATCTAAAATTACTTTTTTCTTAGTTTGTGAGTGGGCAGAATTCGCCAAATCCTGCAATCTGATTGTTTCCAGGAGAGGGCGGTTTTTTACGATCTTGCCCGCTAACCCGGGCGGAATCGTTCGCAGCTTCATTGGGTACTTAAGACCTCGGGCACAGTTTCTCCCAATACGGACCTACCAGCCGGTGAATAACATATATATCTGTTCGAAATAAGATTTACCGACGTATGTAACTTTTATAAGTGGTCCAAAAATTACGGTAGAAGAGATTTGTAACAAAACCGTTAGACTCATAGAAAATTATCAAATTATGTCCATTTTATTTTAAGTTCTTTTATTATTAAAAGAAATAGACGCTCTCTATTCAGCTAAATCATTAAGCCAGTAGTTCAGAAGAAATCTCTCTCATGCTTAAATAAATCATATAATTTTTAACATTTGAGAATAACATAACTTGAATGAAGTTCATTCGAGTGTCAAAATACAAGATGACAGCTTGTTTTAGCTCATTATCCAGTATAATACAAAAAATTATGTGTAAACGGCTTCTGAAAAGCCGGGGACAAACTTACAGGTTCTCTCTTTATGTACATATACATACAAATAAAATACAAATAAAAGGATGATAAAAGGAATATAAATGTGGATTTGGCCAGCAAACTCCAACAGCTAGGCTCATTAACACTTGCTAAATTGCTCCCTCAATTTAGAGCCAACGAGAGAGGGAATGATGGGGCAGAGAGTGGAATGCTCAGTCAGGCCCTTGGGATATGTGAATTACACCAAAGTTGTGTTTAGACCAATTAAATGCTTCAAATTCATTCGAAGTGTCTGCAAACTTTTATCCAGTGTTTTCAAGAGAGAATTCAACAGGAGCCATCATAATATTCTGCATTGTTTGGTTTGAGGCATTCGTGTGTGGACTCTGTGTTGTTTCAAACAATCTATTTAACCCTTTAAACCCTAGGATCAAAATTTGAATTCTCATTTGTTGTCCCTATTCATTTTCTACAGAAGTAGTGGGGAGAAGTTGATAAAAAGTCAAGCAAATTAATCTTGTGTGATCATGTCCGAAATTCTCATGACCACTCTGTTTTACAAAGCTTTGATGGTAACAAGGAGAAATTTGATGCTGATTGTAGTGAGTATGCCTTGGGCTACCTTACACAAAGTACTATCCACGCACGTTTTCATGCACTGAAGTCAGTCCGCCATCTTGTTTGTCTTGTATTGTGGCAGCTGAAAAATAAATCAGTTTGTAGCGGACTCTGGTATGTCCTCAACTTGTTTCACTGATCACTCTTAAGGGCTTAAAGGGTTAAATGTGCAGCCGTCTCAGGAATTAGACTTCCGTTTAATTACAACCTCTAAAAATAAATTAAGTACAATTCGCATATCCCAGCCAGCGCCTAAAGATACTCTCTGTACCATTATTCTTTCTTGGTGCCAGTCTCCTTGTTGTAAGACGCTGGATTCACTTGAATGAATATAGCATTGGCAGTAACATATGTCACTTTGCCATCTGGAGACTTCAGCTCAGCGGAACCAAAAACCTTTCTTCCTTCTACCTTTTCAACCTTGGATTCAACAAGTGCAATTGTGCCCAGTGGAAGAAAACTGTCATGAAAAAAATAGTAATAATAAATCGTCAGCAAATTTAAAAGGGTGGAGTACCAAAAAAAGGATCAAGAATGGTCAGAGTCAAATCAGGGAAACAAGAATCCAGATGTGAACAATGACGGCTGGTTTGATCAAAATATTACTTTTTTTCTGAAATGCTTAAGGTGGCTGAAGACAGTTTCTCTTATACAGTTTCTTTACAGTTTCTGATACAGTTCAGTTTTCACAGTTTCTCTGTAGCACACTAACAAATTTCAATGACGAAATTGTTTCCGCTCGTGCAAAAGACTGATGTGATCTAAACAAAATTAGACTCTCAAAGTTTTCGCCTGTTGAAATGCTTCATCACTCACCTGTTAACATTTTAGTTACCATGAGAAGATATGCAGCCAAAGGAATTTTCAAGAAAATATGTGAGGACAAGCTGAGAAAAATGCCCAGAAGTTGTCTGTAGCAATTTATTCCGTTTTCATCGCTTTTGTTATATCGCGTGACCCCAGCGCATGCACAAGAGTTGAGCATGCACACTTAGGGAAAGCGTTGTTTTGTGGACTTTCATAGACAGTGTAAAGAAATGACGATATCTCAAGTACAATTTGGTCATGTAGTTTTTGAAAAATGAGGATAATTACTAAAAATTAGTAATCCTCATTTTATTTGTAACCTGTGAGCTAATTCATGAGAAATCGTCCATGTTGCCATGGAAACGATTGAAACCTTACGTTAAACCTAATAAATGCAATGTCTTATAAATATGTTTCATCCGTGCCAAATTTGAGCTTTATACCTGCAACGAGTTTTAAATAACACCCCAATGAATAGTAAGAATGAGGGAGGAATTTAAGGAATGCGAAGAGAGACCTCTCTCCTACTCTTTCTCCTTTTATTATTGGCCTCTCTGTCTTCCTAAGCAGGTATCTCCTCTCTTAGTGCCCCATATATACACCAGTACTTCCCCCATGCACTTCCCATGTAGACGGTCGAGCTAAGTGTGCACCCTACCGAGCTGTAACATTCTTGCGTCAAAGCACACTGAGCTTATGCAGAATGCCATAGTAGCATGTTGTCTGAGGGTCAAAATCTTACGGTGATCTCACCTTTTATAGTTCATGGACAATGATACTGTGACGCAACTAGAGGAAAAACTCTTGTTTACACACACACCAATAGCTGCATCCATCATAGCTGCACTGGCTCCCCCATGTACACAGCTGAGGATAGTGCATAAAAATCATCATAAAATAATAATTTTGTCATTCTTTTCCTATTTGATATGACATTTATATGGGCAAAAAGATTTCAATTTGAGTTTCAGGTTTGAAAGTGAAAGCCATGGCATGAGTGTATACTGTAAGTGGGTTCTCCAGAATATTTGAACTAGAAGGAGGAAAAAATTAAGTAGGCGGCAACTGCTTAGATTGAAAGGCATGTCTTTCACATGGCAGAACTGTGTGTAGGGGTAGGTATGGGAAGGAGCCTACCACCCTTTCATAGGGGGAATCTGGCAGTATCCCCTGGGAAATATTACTTTGGGGTACCTGAAAAGTGCATTTCAGGATCTTGATGATGATCACCTTAACCAACATTTGCATCAATCAAACAAAAGTGCTATTAGAGCCAAAATAGAATGGAATACTGAAAGATTTTTTGTCCCACTTAATAAACTATTTTCTGTGGGCAGTCAGCGTGCCTCTCAGCAAACAACTAGTTAATGACGTTACCCAGTCACTGGAGCTTCTGGAGAACCCTGCATCATCGTCATCAATGATGTATCAATGACAATGTTCTCCAGACTTCCCAAAAAAATAAGGTAAAAAGATAAGAATTCGAATAAAAATTAAAAGACAGCTTTCCAAATTCTAATGCAGACATTTCCTTTTCTGTGAAGCATGATTGTGGCTTTTGTTTGTGATTTCATGACTTTTTAATGATCCAGATTCTTTTCCTTGAACATAAAGACACAAACAAAATTTAATACAGTAAAGGGCTTTTTAATTACCAAATTAATTTCACATACAATTTTGCAGAGGGGTATAGGGAATCCTTGTTCAGTCTTACAGACTTAAAAATGTCATTCAACATACTGGTACAATAATACTAAGGTTTTCACTTACCCAGGTGGGCCTTGGGTATATGGTCCAAACTGAACAACCCCTTTTATTCTCTGTTCTTTCTTGCTGAAGAAAAATTGATATTCAAAAAATTTTCCCGGAAATTCTGAAATGACTGCTTTTGTGAATAGTCTTTTTTCACCATCATGCGAAGCTGTTCTGTGTTCAATCCAGTCTCCACTCCCATTTTCTATTAAATCACTTGTTAGTTGCTTGTATAAATCAACCAATTCAGAGCTCCAGCCATCAGCTGGTAACAAGGAATCAGTCTTTTCTTCATCCATGTGTTCACTTTTTGCTACTCTGTTAATTCTGAGGGTCTGGAGGAAACAAGAAAAATTAAAAATTAAAACTGTATTTTCCATTAAGAAAACATAAATAGATGAGCCATCAAGGAACTTTAAATTCATCATAAAAGATGATTAAAACATTATTGCAAGGCATACAGTGTATGCTTTAGCTTATCAAATTTTTCTGAGAACACTGAAAAACTGCTTGGAACCTGCATTCACCACTGTACGTTAATATCACATATGGCTTAAAAGAAGTTGTGTCAGGAAATTTTTTCCAAGTTCAGACTGTGGGAACTACCCACCTAAGTAAGCAAAACTCAAAAGAGGCGGGGAACATTCCCTTCTTAATCCATACATCACTTTCCAGAAATGATGTGTAGTGTGTATGCTAAACACATCCACTAATTTTAATCAGTGACAACAGACTCCCTCTCTCTCTCCCCTTCCCCATGGCTATAAAAACCCCATCCTCCAAATCTCCATCAGTAAAAGAGCTGGCCCCAGTTGTTCAAACGCTGGATAATGCTATCTACCAGATAAATCACTATCCAGCGGATAGCACAATATATGGAACTACTGGGTAATTTTTTTGGCATGAAAAGCTACTGCTAGTCAAACTAAAAACTAGTTCTACAAAATTCAATGATGGAATACTACTTTACCCTCACCTCTGAAAAGCTGTGGTCAGTAGAACTGACAGAACAAAATGGATGCAACTTGATGGGGCTTACGCAAGACCGTTGTGCCCGACCTTGAACGACCTTGCACGAACCACATGACGTCGTCGCCGGAATATCAGACATTTGTGATAGCACAAACGACTTAAAATTCAAGTACGACAACTTTCTTTTTAAACAAAGATTCATTTTAGGTGTTCTTGGTATGGTGAAAAAAGTAGTAGAATAACATGAAGGTGATGAGAAAAAGCAGAAAGACAAACACCGTGTAAACCGGCGAACAGCACAGGTTGCCATTGTTGATGCAGGTTGATGTCACAAAGCAGCTATACCGAAACGCAGTGCAAATGCCGCATAGCTCATTTACATTAAAAGCCGTCCTACCTGGCGTAATATTATGAAGTTATTTCATCACAATGATCATAGTTAATTGAGTGGAATGGTTATGAAACCCGTCATACTCCTTTGTTATATGTTTTTGTGGACCTGAAAGTGCACAACGTTCAAAAGAATTCCTATCATTTTGATTGTATTGACCAATAAAAACGTTGCGTTAATTTATTCCGTAACAATTTGCCAACAGAAAACAACATAAACTGCAGCACTGTTGTTTTTATCATTGATGTTTCCGCTTTTCATAACCAGTCTCCTCTAATAACTACGCAATGATGAATAATTGCTTTGCTCACGATGGTTTGTCAGGCCTCGTCACGATGACCGGGCGGAGGAACGGACCGTTTGATGTCGTATTTTGTGTCAGCGGACTTGCTTTCTATTCTCTTTGTGTGTGGTGTAACAGTCACATGATATGTCATGTAATGCAAACTTAAAGCCCCTCAAGGCCTTTCAAAAATATAAGCCCGGGGTTTATTTTCGGAACTTTACGAAAGTTTAACAGAAGCCCTGTTTGGCCTTTCCTTCGTGGCTGGCGTAAAAAGGGGAAGGGGGCCGGAGGGGGCAAGGAGAGAGTACTCTTCCCCGGGAGCCTATCACCCTGTCTTCACCCCTCCACCCTCCTAAGCCACTGCGGGCTACCCGACTCCCCGTCGCTTACTTGCACGCTCGCCAGAGGAAGCCACCAGCTGCGCAGGCCTACAAGATAGTCTCACAGAAACTATAAATACTGGGATGGGTGAAAACGGGTTTAAAATTTCGATTTCTATTTTTGTTCTTTTACTATTGCTATCGTTATCATTATCATTGTCATTATCATTATCATCATTATTTTCACGGTCATCATCTTTTTCATCGTGTTCATGGATCGAATTATCATACTGAAATGCGGTGAAACTGTGAAGTTTCACAAAAATCTTTTTCAAACTTTCGAAAATATGGGAGCCCAAAATCTATATAAAACAGGAGCCGATGATAAAAGCGGTGTATGTCAGGAGGGTAATGCTTGGATTGAATGATTGCCAAGGATGGCATACGTTTCGTTACATAAATTTAGGCCCTCATTTTTTAAACTCAGTTGAATATGAATCTATTTGTGAAGATATATCATTATTTTTAAAAAAAGCATTGAAATTGCAATTTCCTTGACATCGGTAAAAGTCGTGAAAAGGTCCATAAGTCGGGCTAGCCCCGAATCAAGCTCTGCAAATGATTCTTTAAGGAATGGACCATTACAAAAGTGATAGGGGAACCGGGGCTAAATGCGAAAACATAAAAAACGGAGGGACTCAGTTTAAGAAAAATTATACGCCCACGAATTATCGCAAAAAACATCTTCCCAAGGGACATTAAAAATTTCATTAAAATGCGTTTCCCAAAATCCTCAATCCCACCCCCAATCACTTTTATAATGTTCCTTCTTATCTTGGTCTCAAATATCGAAAATTATTCCGCAAAAAATGGACGCCGCGGGTGGGGGAGGAAAAGAAAAACAGACTTTTTTTCTCCCACCTGCCATTCCGCAAGTCAGGAGAGAGCTTCGCTAGAAACTTAGGTTGACCAGCGTATTACTATCGACTGCCTTCATTACTTCCAGGAAAAAAAAAATATCAACACGATCAAAAGCGATATGATCTGTACAGAAGCGGGACGCAAAACAAAAGTCTGCTAGAACGGGACTTAAAAAAAATAAAGACAGCTAGTCCTGCTTTATGTTGGAAGATGTCTTGTCTCAGACTCAAAATTCAAGTTACAAAGACAAACTGGACGTAACACCTACTGAGTGACTTAAGAATTAAGCAAAATCAGTTCTTCAAAAATTAATGTATCTAATAGTAGATTACTTGACATGTCATAGAAAGACAGACGCACTAATACCCTGGTAGTCTGCTACACAGCCGTTTTTAGTGTCGTCACGCAACGCGCGTTGCGTGACGACACTAATACCCTGGGTGCCAGAGACTTTTCTAGCGCGGTTTCCGGTTTCTGTCAAGTCTTTATAGTGACCCGCGCGAAAAGCCTCTGGAGCAGAGCGCTATTGCTTTGATGACGCCGATCCAATCGTTAGCACGGTTAAATCAGTTGGTCCAGACTTTGGACACGACGGCTGATTGGCTCCAAACGACCACCTGAGGGACTTTGAATCTAACAGACGCTACAATTGGTTGACAAGAATAGACCAGCACGTGAAAGAATGTTTCCATTTGTGCTGTTGACATGACGTAAGTGTACCTGCAAGAAGTGTTGTGTTGTGATGGCGGCTTCGGAAAATTTTGAAAGAGCATTTCGAGAAAAGCATAGAAAGCAATGTACTAGAAGGGTTTGATGGTGTAGACAAGTTAAGCGATAAGTAAACAAGTGGGTTTTTTCTCGCGGCTTCGTCGCTCGTGGCTTCGGCCTACGGCTCAAGATGTGTCGGCCTTCGGCCAGCACCGAAAATTCCCGCCGCACGCGAGAAAAACCACTGGTACCCAGGGTAACTAGGGTGCAAAGAAAATCATTTTTACAGCTTACCATTCGGGCAAGCTAAAGCTAGCATTTACTAGCCCAGACGTCATTTCAACTAGCCCCCAAAACTTTTTGACTAGCAGAATTGATTTCACCGTTCTTCTGTTCATCGAATTCCTCAAAAAACATCACTTGCCCGTCGGGCAAGTTAAAAACAGAATTCACTAGCCCGATAGCAAAATCCACTAGCCCCGGGCTATCGGACACTACTTTCTTTGCACGCTGGTAACGCACTAACGAATCAGTGAAAGAGGAGGTAGAGGACAGAAACCCCTACCCCAAATTGCACATGAGCGGAAACTGAAATTCTTCGGCTGTGATACGTGACATCCAAGTGAGCTATACTAAAACTGGCTAAAATCAACATGCATGGACGCCTTCCTGGCGGAAGAGGGCGTGGCTGGCTGCGTAGAAACGGACATGTGCGAATGGACTCCGAGCACACCTTCCCAGACTGTCAGCAGGCTTGCTGAGGATAGAGAGCTAGGGATGAGACAGCATCAGCGTTCGTCTACGGATCCTGGGAGATCTTTGGCATAAAAGAAGAATATTCAACAGACTCTAAAAAAAATTCGTAATCATGATAACCATTTTTATTACACAGCCCTAGAAAAGGGTCTTTACTAAAAGTACGTAAAACAATATTTACAGAAGGGATGGGTCTTTTAATTTTCCATGAACAGGTTGGGCGATTTTTAAAAAAAATATTGTGGAAACAATCAGTCGCGACAGACCATTTCGTAAAGATTCATAAGTCAGTTATAGATTTTAATTAAATATAGCCTGTCCACAGATGCTTTTCCTTTGTCTTTCGACAATTCCACAGCGCGCCATCGAGCGCCGAGCCCGAGAACGAGCGCGAATGCCAAGGCAGTTTAAACTGTCCATGAGGTTAATAAAAATGTATCACATTCTTTGTGCATATTTCTTTTTAGGATCTGTGAACAGGCTAAATTAGAGAGAATTTAGCTCTCTCAGCAGCTTTTCCTTTTGTGATACAAATTCACTTTCCAACAAAACGCCATCATCTTTTAAAGCCTTTAGGTCCTTAAGCTGTTGTAGAAGGGTTGAACGCACACGCATCTACGAAAAGAATTTCGGGAAAAGAACAAAAATTACAAACTCATAAGATTCCAGCAGAAAATACGTAAATAATTTTTATGTATTTTCGATGAACTATTTTATCTACCGGCGAATGTTATCTGTACATATAACAGAACTTGAAATCTAATTGTCATGTCACAGAGAGACGCGCGATCAGATTGCTTTGGGTCACGCACTCCTAACGAAGAAGCGGTCCTTCGAGTCGGATACGTCACAGTGACGCACTGAGCTCAGAACGCCGAGAAAAGCACCTTGCAGGAACTCGTGAAACAGTCATCAAATTTGAGCAATAGTTCACTGGCAGTATACACTGTCCCTGGGGAGAACAAAAATATATAACATTTTATGTGCATATTTCTATTTAGGGTTCTTGCCTTTCTCTCGGTAGTGTCTGCGCGGGAGTTCCCACTGAATCCATCGTCACTTGATATCTGATCATTAGACGAGTTTAAAACTCTTGTTTGTGCGTTCTGTTCAACTCGAACGCTGCTGGAAGCTAAAATGAGATCAAAAAGTCAGCTCTCGCTTATAGCGATTACGGCCTTTCGGACCCCCGCTTATTGCCCGCAATGGCTAAAGTCCATGATAATAATGTCTCATCATCACTAATTTTCCCGATTTCAGAAAGAATATCGTGAAATAAAGAAGCCGCAAAAGAACTTTTTTGGTGAAATCAACAACTTCCTTCCTACCTCCCTAGGATTAATTTAAAGAAACTGATATTTTTAGTGAAATGGTAAAACCTCGAATTAGCGCCTCCCCTCAAATAAGTAATCCCTTCAGATAAGAGCACCAAGTATCACCTCAACAGTCAAAATAAGCGCTTTCCGTTGAGTAAGCGACACCCCTACCATCCCCTTCTTCTTTATGGTCAACAAAGGTTGCATGAGCACAAAGCCGCGATCCTTTCAAATAACAGCCCATCGCATTGGGCCAACATTTAAAATAAGCGCCACCCTCAAGTAAGCGACACTCCTCCCATCCCCCTCTTCTTTTTCTTAGACAGTAAATTGTTAATCACTCGTGCGGCTTTTTTGGAGATCAATGGCATTCCTGTTATACAGTAAAACCCCACAACTAAGAACCTAGATTTTTCCAAGTTAACCTAAACAGGTTCTTGTATTAATTGTAGTTGGCACACCTTTAGGCTATGTAGGTTCTTAAATAGGTTCTTAGTTTGCAAAGAAAAAAAAATACAGTATAGCTAAGAGTATTTGGTGGTTCAGTCGCACATATCTTATGTTTGTCTAAGTGTGCACAAGTTTTTCATAGATTTTAGAAAGTAAGAGCCTGTTTCAGATTTTGGGCTAAAAAGGTTCTCAAATAGACGGGGGCTTAACTGGCAAATTTTGGCCTAACAGGTTCTTAAAATCCAGGTTCTTAGTTGCGGGGTTTTACTGTATACATCATTACGATCAAAGAGACAGGTTCATTTTCTTCTAAATTACATCTTACAATTTCCACAGCCATGTTTTGACATAGTTCCTTTACCATCTATAATCTCTTCTTCAAACGTTTGCGCGCAATTGCTGCGCTTCCAATTCTAAGGTTGTGAACTAATATAACAACAAAATTTGCATTTAATTGTTCGGGGCCCGGTTCCTCGAGTGATGAATTTCAAAAAAAGCTACAATAAATAAATATAATGCACACTTTTACGAACCGATAAGGTGCAGAAAGAAACTGTGCATAACACCAACTGAGTGGCAAAGCAATGAGGCTACCTCTCACCTTGTTAGCCTGTGTAGCCGGCGGGATCGTCAGCGCGATCAAAATGTTGGCAGAGGAGCTGCAAGGTCATGTGGAAAATGGAAGGAGCGTTTTGAAACTTGCTCGCGGCTTTGCCTCACACACACGCAAAAGAAATTCCATCAGCTACGCAAGTTACCACCTCGGGCGTGTCCTCTCGCGCATATCACTTATCTCATGCACTGTATTTCTTCTGCGCCGGTAAAAGCTTTTTACGGCTCAATAACCATGATAAAATTAACAACTAAGGTCTCTAAAAGGAAGTATCATGTTTTATTGTATAACACCAATGAAATAACAGGTGAGCTTTCGCGCGAAAACTTGATATCTTCACATGTGAAAATATCACCGTTGCTATGACTACATAATAAATCGCGCCTTTCACACCAAAAAAACTATTCAAGTGAAATGGTTTGGTAGTTCATTGGTGTTTATATGATAAATAGAACATTACATGGCCGCTTAGAGACACGAAATTTCTCTTCTCGTGTTGAAAAAATATTTCACTCGTTCGTTGCGCTATTTGGTGAAATATTTTTCAACACTCGAAGAGAAATTTCGTATCTCCGCGCGGCCATGTAATGTCCTCTATATCTACATCAACTGCACCTTTTCCTTGTGTATCCAGTTGAATAAACAAAGCATTAGCAGTTACAAATGTCACTTTGCCGTCCGGTGACTTCAGTTCGGCTGAGCAAAATATTATTTTCCCTTCCACCTTGTCAACCCTGGATTCGACCAGTGTAGTAGATCCTAGAGGAAGAAAACTAAAAACAAAAACTAAAAATGTTCGAATTTTCATATGAATAGAGAGAGATGGAGTTAATATGATTGGATTCTTCACGTTTGACTAAAAACTGATTTACTTTTTGCCACAATGTTAATATGAGGGAGGACTTTCTCACTAAATACATACATCATGCATCCCTTTACTTTACTTTCTTAATTTTCAATTGTTTTTAAGAATGTTTGTAACCTTTGCAGATGGCTAGTTCCATTGCAAAATAGACGACGCTCTTTCAAAAAAATTAATAAAATTTCTACAAGAAGCTAACATCTTGGAATTTCTTCCAGTCTTTAAAATAAAAATAATACAGTCACAATTCCATCAAGCACTGGCCACCCTTGGGGTACTAGCACAAGCCACCCTTGGGGTACCAGTGCCGGCCACCCTTAGGGTATCAGCACCAGCCACCCTTCGGGTACCAGCGCTGGCCACCCTTGGGGTTCCAGAGCCGGCCACCCTTGGGGTAGCAGTGCCCATCACCCTTGGGGTAGCAGTGCAGGACACCCTTGAGGTACCAACGCCGGCCACCCTCAGGTTACCAGCGCCAGCCACCCTTGGGGTACCAGCGCTGGCCACCCTTGGGGTAGCAGACCCGGACACCTTTGGGGTACTAGTGCCGGCCACCCTTGGGGTACCAGCACTGGCCACCCTTGGGGTACCAGTGCAGGAAACCCTTGTGGTACCAGCAAGTGGGTGCTTAATGGAAGTTGGCAGGTAGTTTGCAGATGGGTGCAATCACCAAATGACATAACACAAAAGATTGAAAAGACACCAAACAATACCGACAACAAAACATGAAAGTGAACCAACAATGGCTTCTGCAACACCCACAAACACCTGTTTGACCATTCAACCGCCGTTCATCAGAAATTAACATAATCTTTAGCAGAAACATTACTATATTTTGAAAGAAACATCTGTGACGAGATAGATCAGTGCATTACTTTTCCACAATCAGTCGTCACCTTCTATGCCTGACTGTATTTTTCTTCATTTTTTAAAATACCGTAAAACCAAACAAAGCTTCAAGCCTGTTTAGTTTCGTATGTGGTGCAGGCTATAATGACCCATTTAACCCTTTAAGTCCCAATATCCACATAATTTTATAAATTCTCCATACTGATCTTTATACTTTTCTTTAAAGAAATAAATAAGAGTTTGATAACAGATCAAAGCACTTTCTCTTTATAGTGATCATTTTATTAACTCTCATAACCATTTTTCTTGGAAACATATGGATATATTGTTAGGAGAAAATTGTTGTTGGTCACTACTGGGACTTTCAGGGTTAAAGAGGAGAAAACAATAGGAGAACTCTCATCAGGATGAATGGTTAAAGGCCTTCTTCCTCGAATCACTTTAGATACAAAGTTTGTAACTGAGATACCCCACTCCCCATCAAAACCCTAAATGTAAATCCAGCCCTAAGAAGCATGATAAAAATTGTTATCCATGCACTGGCATTAGTGTTATATACTTTTAACACATCAGAAGACTCATGACCCTGCCTATCTTGGTACAACCATCTGAACATTTTCAGGTTTTTTTGTGGTAGTTCTTAGAGCCATAATCGTTCCTGATATTATTTTCCTTTCCTTACCTTTTGTACTCCATGGACAATGAAGCTGTAATGCAATGAGAGAAACATCTGTTTACACAGGCATTGATGGCATCATCCAATATGCATGTACTTGCACCCCGATGAACACAGCTATCAACATAACACAAGAGAGTTATACTTAATATTACTGTTATTTAAAAGGCTGGGTACTTATACAAACTGCAGACTTCAAACTGGGGAAGATAAGTCTTCTTATTGACCCAATTGGTGCTACGTACATGTACCAACATGTACAGTCAAGCCCCGGTCTATGGACACCTGCTTAATAGTAAGGACACCTCATTATTACGGACAGTTTGCTTTGTCCCTGTGGAAAGAAAGCCCTTACATTTTCCCTAAATTCAACCAAGTACCAGCCCAGTTAATAAGGACACTTTCTTTGGTCCCCTCAGTGTCAGGTATTAACAGGAATTGACTGTACCCTGTAACAGGAAATAATTCCTAGCCATTAGAAATCATGCCTTAATACAAACCAAGAAAAAAATGATATATAAAGAGACAGGGACAGCGCTAGGATTTCCCCCAGTGGCAATGAATGTGGCCCCCGAATACTTTCATAGGAAAATAGAAGAAAAATTAAGAACCAAAAGAAAAACCTAGCTGTTTTATTCCCTGCCTACTTGTTCTGTTTACCCAGCAACTTGAAATCTAAGTGACATGCATTTAGGAAAACTTGAAAAATGCTGGCTTATCTCTTCCCAGGGCAGGGGAGTTCCTTATAATATATGTATTAGATTGTGCTCAGGCTACACAGGGACATGGATGAGCCAAATAAAATGGAAAATCTTTAAAATTTTCCATGTTTTGCTCATCCATGGCCCAGAGTAGCCTGAGCACAATCTAATACATATATGTAAAGAAACTCTGCTACCCAGGCCAGCTGTAATAGGGAGCTTAATCAAAGATGTTTTTGATTGACGCACGTCTACCAGTGAGAAGAGTATTTTTTCAATTCTTCAGCGGTGGTATTGCCTGCATTTTCAAGCAAATTGTCTCTGTAAGAGTAAAGGAACCTAGCAAAACAAATTTGGTTACATCAAGGCATATTTTAATATTTTAAAAAAAGGACAAGGCCTCACTTCCAGTTGACATGTGTCGTTGAAAAACGTCTTTGCTTAAGCTCCCCATTAAAAGCTCTCGACAACATACGGTGGGTCACGCTCAAGGCATCAAACAGCAACAGCAATAAATAAAACAGTAATAAAGTCCAGAAACTGACTTACCCTGGTGTGCCTTGGGTGTACGGTCCAAACTGAACAACACCTTTTAGTTTCCGCTTGTCTTTATTGACAAAATACTGATATTCAAAGAATTTCCCTGGAAATTCAGAGTTTACTGCTTTTGTGAACAATTTCTTTTCACCATTGAATGATGAAGAGGATAGATCATCTGTGTGCTTTATCCAGTCTCCTTTTCCATGGTCTATCAAATCACCAGTAAGTTTCTTTAACAGTTCTAAAGATTCTGGCATCCACAAGTTAAATGATGAAGAAGTGCATTTATCTGATTCACTTTCATCCATTGAAACACTCTCTGCTGCTTCAGCAATACTTAGAGTCTGAAAGAGACAAGACAAAAAAGTAAGGGACATAGGCAGACCAAAGACTAAAATGAACAAAGCTGCAAATAACAGTAAATTATGTAAAACATTCAGCTGAAATATGCAAACTAAATACATCTGATAGAATGTTCACAGTCCCCTATTTTTCTGTAAGATTGTCAAGATTGAGCGCTTTGCAGAATTATGGACAGCCACCAGTCTCAAATAGTCCGAGTCTAGCTTGAGGATGAGTGTCAAATTTATGCCCATGCCTTAACCCCTCGGTACATATGAAACAAAAAATAGCCACCCGTAGTGGTAAGCACTCGACCCTGACAATCTTGACAAAAAATAGGGGACTACGAACAGTTTATACGTCTGAAAAAATATTATTTGTGGGCGATTACAAACTGAGTTTGGCCACTGTAGAGGGTTTGAGAAGCTTATGTTTTGAGCTCTTGGTCAGAGTGAATCAGGGGATTGTGGGTTGTGCATGGTTTATACACTGAGTGCTGGAGGTATGTGTTTGGTGGCACATGGTACTGTGGGGACAAGAGTGCCACATTGAAACTTTAAGAGGAGTTTTGTTCAAGATTTTTTGTAGTTTTCTGTGTTGCCTTAGTGAAACATTTTGGCTGGAATGATTGGCAAGATTATTTTCAATGGCAAACTTTTGGTTTGATGCATCTTTTCGGCCTGTTTCTGCTATGTTTAACTTTTTACATAGGACATATGACAGAATGTGCAGATGTGCAGATGGGCATGTGAAACAGGCAGTCATACTAAATGGACTGTTTGGGTCCTGAAATGGTGGCATGCTCGAGCCCAAACCTACAGATCTGAGGTCCAATGTGATAAACACTACATGTAGACCACAACGCCTCCAAATTGAGTGAATGCCAAAGTTTTTCAAAATACATGTTGAAAAAGGAGAAAAACCAGACATTTTAAGGGTGCTTCCTCTTCTTCAGTGGTCCACTAAAGATGATGGAGCACCCTCGAAATGTCTGGGTATTTCCTCTTTCAACATGTATTTTGAAAAACTTTGACATTCAGTCAGTAAATTACATTGCACTGTTGCTTCTAATTATTTATTGTAATACTTATCATGCATCCAAATTGTCTAGTGTCTTAAGTTGCATCATTAGTTGAATTTAAATAATGGTAGATTGAACAAATACCAAGTAGTAAAATGACTCTATAACAATGAGTGGCCTAAAACTATTGTATAATTTCAGCTATCTATCATGCCATCAAACTAACCAATGGTCTTGAATGGCAGGCTTCAACATTTTCATAGCCAAGCACATCCACATTTGTGGCTCTAATGCAGTAGTTTGTCAAATAGGGAAAAATGCCAGCCCTAGATGTCAATTTCTTCATCATTTCTCCCAGAGACCTGTCACCTAATGGAGCATTGCAATACCATATCTGATCAAGGGCAGGATTGAACTTTGCTCCACTGAGGGCTCGAGGCTTCTGGAAGAAGAACTCCGCCCCAGGATGTAAATGGAGAAGATAGTTTTTCACGGTCTCAACTGGGCATCTTGGTGATCCTGGACATTCAAACATTTTTGCACTGGACCACTCTTCTTCTACACTTTTGACGACACCTTGGTGGGTGATGGAGTTGGCCATGAGGGTACCAGTTACGCCTCGGTTGATTTCAAAGAACCGTCGACCACTGAGAGTTGTTCTAAGAGCCAACATGTGCTTGGTCATTTTTCGTTGGTTTTCACCCAAACTAAACCTGCCTCTCTTGCCAAAGTAAATAGAAATGTAGAACCAGACAGTATTCTGGAGCTGAGAGGGATCTTTCGAGTTGGCTGGACCAAGCTGACCAGACTGAAATAGCTTCTCCACAATTTCTGGAGTGAGTGATCCTTTGTGGACTACTTCAGCAATTTCACCACTTTTTCTCAGTGTTTTTACAAAGGCATCTAGTGCTTTATTTGCCTGGAAGAACTCAGGATCTGTTATGATACTGAATGGCTTCTTTAAGTCTGGACTTTGCAAATATCTGTCAAGACCTGCCCTGATGCTCCTTAAGGTGTTAGCTTTGTAAAAAAATCCGTCTTTTTGTCTCGCACCAAGGTAGAACTTCTCAAGGCACTTAGACAGCTCAGCTTTCTCCATTTCTTCCAGCTGGGTTGAGAACTCTGTTTGCTGTGAGAACCACTCTAAAACACAACAGGGCATCATTTTTAGCCTTTACAACCAGCATTAGGTTCCGCTATGGAATTTCTAGGAAACCTGGGTATACATAAAAACACATGTCTCTTTCTGCATGGAGTTCTCTTACAACTAAACAAGCCATCCCTTTAAATTGAAAATTTAAAGTGCTACAGCTGTAAAAAAATACTAGCTAAAATTTTCTTATTAAAAAAATCCTGAAATTGTGAACTTTTCCCCAAAACTCCTTTGCACCTCCTGTCACTTTTAACCGAGAGCCTGGGGCTATATCCTAACAGCATTGTGGTAGTGAGTGATGCTTATTCACTTTTGACTTGCACGGTTTATATGCTAAAATGCTAAAACTAAACTGCAAGCAGTCAAAACAGGATTTGGGCGTTTTTTTTTTGGTCTTCATTTTTGCCCCCATTCAATCATATCTGTCACTTGAAATTGGGAGTAACCCCCCCCCCCTCCCCCCCCAGGACATGCTACATGGTTATTAGCAAATAAAAAGTTTTAATAAGCACCACACCAACAATTTGAAAATCTTAAAATGGTCGCAGTGCTCTTTGGAGTAAATACGAAGCAAAAACAGTCATTTCATACCATTTCCCCTGGGAAGACACTTTTTTTGGACAGTGGCCTTGAACTTTACCTGGCACATCTTCCAGTGACGTCCTTAATCTCAATCTAACTTTTGGCTAGGGTCTGGAATGGAGGGTCCTCACCCTGCACTCACTCTCCTTTTTCACGAGAATCCTGCATCCTAAGCCTCTGTCAATCGTTTTCTCTCCCAATCCTGTATCCTCTGCCCACATTTTGGCGAATCCCGCTTTCCGGGTAGCAAACAAATCCCGTATCCCGTTAACTTTTTCCGAATTATCCCGCACTGCATTTTCAAAACCTTGGATCTCGGGAATACCCTTCCACGATCTGTTGGGCTGTGTTTCATGATAGTTTCGTGCTCCCAAACTAGTCTAAGTCGGGCGCAGGTTACCGCAAACTTGAATTAAATTTTGGAACTTAATACGCGAACGATATTGTAAAAAGACCATGAAAAATCGTGTTTGCTCAGGGTCTATTAAAATCGCTTACAAACCTAACACTAACCGTTAAAAATCTTTACAGCAAACTTGGTTGCTTTCTTGGTGTTCTCTGGTACCGCATTGTTGATGATTTCGTTCACTTCTGAGGTAGTAACGAGTTTAAAGCGATCCGCAGATGCCATTTTTGCATCGCCCCTCGAAAACACAAAAGTATCTTACATCGCTCGATATCTGTTGTCCGCGGGTATCCCGGATGACAAATATCAAGAGCAGCCTGACCATATTTGGACGATATTTTGTGCTCTGTTCTGTTTGTTGTGATATTTTGAAGGGAGCCATAATGGCGCTTGATTTAATTAGTGTTACAACACAAAATTGAAAAACTCTTGCTGATTGCAGAATGAACGAGAAATTCAAACAGCCTTAAATACTGCACGAAGTGCAGTCGGGTTACTTGGAAAAATTGTCCAAAGGATCTGCCGGCGGCTACTGGACTGGATTGGTGACACCTGGATAAAACATATCGATTGATAAAACCTAGATTAATGAAACCTGGATTGGAGGATTACCTTTTCTTCTCTATTTCTTTCCTTTTCTTCCTTGTCCTCCTTTCTTTATTTCTTCACCCCCTAAGCGAGAAAATTATTGGCGTTCAACCAAAACTGCTACCAACTTGTTCCCCCCATCGCACCCTGCTCGCCCCAGGGGCTGTGACGAAATTGGAGGTGACCATGAATGTCAGTCATTTAAGACGCAATAAAATCACTTTTTAAGTGATAATGACAAAATTATTCAACTCTCTACAGCTTAATCTGGAGGCAAATAAACGAAGTTGTAAGCTGTAACAGTATTTAAAAATTAAAATGCTGTTTTTATGAGTATTGACTCATTTTAGTTTGGTGATTTTTAGATAACCACAGTCACCATAATTGCGTGACGTTTTGCGTGACTTTCGAAAGTTTAAAGTGTCAGCGGTCTTCTTCATTCTAAGTCCCGTCTCCAAGGCGATCAGGAGCGATGTAACACAGGAGCAGATCATTCTCGAGCGAACACTTGCAGAGGAAAAATATTGTTTTGTTTCCATTTAGGTTTCCTGTTTTTCTCTTTTGAGGGATTACACAATGAGCGTAAGAACATACAATCCTTCAGTACTGATTGGTAATTGGAATGAAGATATATGCTTGGAGGAGGTAAGGCCGCTTTGAAGATTTTGTTGAGAAGAAAGTTTATTAGGTGAGATTAATGTGCGATAAAATGGTTTTTCTGTTGTTTTTCTTTATTCCCTTTTAGGACAAACTCAAAGATTTTCTTGACAAAAAAGAAAGAGGAGAGCTACTGATTCAAAAAGCCAGCAACCTGTTACAAAGTATATTGAAAAAGGTCGGAGTTTGATTCCACAATGTAGACACAAGCTACAAGTTTAAGTTCGCTGTTGCTATTATGTAAACGGTAGCTAGAGTTTATATTTAGCTATAACTCAGGCTCACAGTGAGTAATCAGGCAAAAGCATGTTATTCAAAGATTCCTTTTGTCTTTTGTAACACCCTGGAGAGGTTAAAAAGATAAACAGATAAATGGAGATCACAGTCTGACAGATGTTGCAAGCAGTTCAATACATTCATGTCTTCCATTCCAACTCTCAATTCAATACTAATTATATATTTAAAACTACTCAAACACCATAATTTGATTTCTTATTTTTCCAATTTTCCTAGATCTGTCTTGGTTTACTAGTATGCTTAGTTTACTGTGGTTCCATCAAGGCCCAGGGCGGGAATTTTTTCAGCCAGTTTTGTTTGCAAAGGCATGAGTACAATGATGTTTCCAGAGATTAGATCCTGGCAAATAGTAAGGGGGGCAATGGAGGTTGTGCAGATATGCTGGACCTAGAATCTTCTTAAGGTGATTCGCTGGTTCTGCACTACGCATCTCTTACTGTGCATAACAAGATGGCTGCCATGACAAATAGCATCTGAAATAACATTATTCAAATGAAGTTGACTGAACAGAAAATGCTGGACTATCTGTTTTTAAATGTCTGTGCTTTTAGTTTCAAATTACATTCACCAGTTGTGGAAATCACTCATCAAGCATTGTGAATATAGTAAATCACATACCACCCTGCTTATGCCTAATCATGCCTCATGCAGCTAATTTGGGCCTATCATGCGTCACACCAATAATTCAGTACCCATCACGCATCATGGAAAACCCAACTTTGCCAACAGGAATATACAGAGATAAAACGGTAGTAATTAGCAGGTTACTCAGGAGATGTGTGACATTTCTGATAGCCCAGGGATGGCCCTGGAAATGCCCAATCCTGGGAGTACTTCCATATATTGGCTAGATAGGTATATTCCTTAGAGTATTAGGAAAGTGATTTATTTTAAGGTTTGTGTGTTGTTTTGTTTTGTTTTCCCTTGAATAGGGTGTCATTTTTTGGGTTTGAGCCTTAGAATTAATTACAGTGTCAATTTTTGTTTGTCTTATCCTTAAATAGGGTCAGGGTTTAAGACCCTGGGTGGCACACACCTATCCCCCCCTCACTGGGTGCCAACCATCCCTCCCTGGAGCAAAAGACATTGATAGGGTCATTAGGAATTGCTTTTGAATTAAATTGGTGTTTAAAAACAAAAATCCTGTATTGTGGCATTAACAAAATCAAATAAACGCAGGGCCTGGGTGGACTCACTTAAATTTCCATGGGAGCACAACCATGGGAGCAATTGCCACCAGTTCAAACCAGTTCACTGAGACTGGATTGACCTGTTCCATTGGACATTTAGATTGAGATTTAACTCAGGGCTTCGTGGGAAGCAAAATTTTTACTCAATACGAGGATTTGTCATGTTTCTACAGGTCAGTCTATCAGTGTCTCATGATGGCTACCTCCATTTTGGAGACATAGTTTGCTTATACAATCCGTCAACAGAATCCACCCTTTCTGCAAATATGGCAGAGAGCAAAATGCATGATGAGAAGAAATTGGTTGGACCCTGTGATGTCTCTGCATCCAAATCAACTGATCCTTGTATTCGAAATACATTTGTGATACTTGGATGTATGTAAGTAACCAGTCTGCAGTATACCGTTATTATGTCTAATAGTCAGGGCTTCTGATAGGTAGCAGAAAATAAGTCAAATTTCGTGGGATTTTCAGGGACAGATTCACAGAAAAATCGGCCAATTTCGATAAAATTTCGTGGAAATTTTCAGGGCTAACTTCGCCAAAAAACAATCAGTAAAAAACGGCCGATTTCGTGGGAATTTTCTGGGCAAATCTCTCTAGATATCGATTGATTATTGCGCTGATTTGAGGAACGTGTTCAATGTTTTTAATAGAGACACTCATTTGCTATTTTAACAACAAAGTGCTCAAGAACTGAGCCAATTGCAAAACTTTTAACATCATGACTAGTGCACAGTTTTTCGCAACGTAATTTAGGTCCTGTAGTTTTGGGACGTTGTTTGCTTGTGGTGGTGATGATGAGCCAAAATGTATGGAAAGAACTCAGGTTTTCTAAAAAGCAACAAAGGACTGCTACGCACTTCAGATTTAGTGTGTACTTTCTTTAAGCTCATTAGTTACATTTTTCAAAGAGAACATGACAAATATATTCAATTAGCAAGAATTAAATGACTTTATATTCTCATACGAACTTTTGATTTTTCCACCATCTTGTCTTGATTACCCAGTATCCCCTCACAACCGTAAAGGGGTCTATTTGCAAGTTTATAGCAATTAAAGAGCCCCAGTGAATAGCCGAGATAAGTTTGAAATATGTCGTATCAACATGTATTTGATAAGATTTCTAGCGAATTTCAAGGTATTTTGAGGGTTTTTGTGAATTTTGCGGGATTTCGCGGATTTACCAGAATTTTGCGGCTCTAAGACCATGCAAAATATCCCAGTAAGAGGCTGAACTAAAGCTTTTAGAGAACTTACAGGTACTCACCGGATAACAATAGCTAACAATGAACATAATAAGAAGAAAGTATCGACTTGCAATTTAAGGAATCGAACAAGTCAGTATCCAAAAGTTAATACAGATAGATTCAAGAACTCTTACATTAATAGCTTAATTTTTAATTATGATTTAGCTATGTGAGCGTATTTTTTTTTTTTTTTTATTGTAAACAACTTAGATGTATATACTTTTACTCAAATATTGTAACATAAGATATGTATTTTTTATCTTGTGTGGAAATAAAGACTATTATTATTATTATTATTATTATTATAATATTAGTCTGCACTGATGGTACCATCTTTTTGTTTTGTTTTGTTTTTGTTTGTTCCTTTTTTTGACCAGGCCTAGGGATAAAGGCGAGGTGTTAAGATATAATGAACCATTCATCCTAAGCACGCTGCCTGCAGTTGGGGGAGATGTAAGAGTTTCTTAGTTTTAATGTACTCTAATCAGGGTCGGCCAGAGGGGGTAGTGGTATACCAGTATACCCGAAAAAAAATTCGTCAAAATACCCAAAAACACCCAAAATTCATCCAAGTACACCCAAAGTTATCCCCAGGTATACTTTATACCTGAAATTCAAAGAAAGTGATAAACCGAATACCTGTATTAAAGCTGCAATATACCGTATACCCAATTTAAAAAGCCCCTGTGTACCGTATACCCAAAAACCCTGGCCGACCCTGTCTAATAATACCTATTTAAAACCGTTGGACCAATTTCAATGGTTTCTTTTTTTTTTTTCTTTCTCGCCTTAACGTGGCACTACCCTGTATCCTTAAAAGTGCTGGACCAATTTCAATGGTTTCTTTTTTTTTTTCTTTCTCACCTTAACATGGCACTACCCTGTATCCTTCAGTGCCGGATCCAGATCCTGATCCTTGACATAAGGGGGGCCCCGGTCATCCATACCCTTAGATAAGGGGGGGGGGGCTCAGTTTGGTCTAAAAATAAGGGGGGTGGGGCCCTCCCCTGGATCCGCCAATGTCCTTATAGTATTCTTTTCACTTTGCAGCTCAAGTTAAAGAGTGACAGAACATCATTTAACGAATGTGCAAAGAAGTCAAGACAGCAATTAGTGACTCTTGTTGATAATGCGACTTTCATGTGTCATTGGTGAGAACACGTGGGAGTTGTCTCTTTTTAATATAGTTTTCCCAGATATAGTTAAAGTAAGGGCGAAAATTGTTTGCAGCGCAGCGCATCTTCTTGCGATGATTTTGCACGCGCATGCCTTATTTGCTCACTTTACTCAATTAGAGACCTTTCATAGTCAAGGGCAACCAAAGACTGTTTTCTGTAAAATATCTGTTTGGAGAGGCAAATATCGCCAAGAATTTTCTGTTACTTGAGGACAGCTAAAAATTTCTAGATGACTGTTCCATTCATGTACAATTTTCCTAAGATTTTCAATTTTTTCCAAAAAAAAAAAGTTTTGAAAGTAAAAAGGTAAAAATTTTTTCAAATTTCCCTCCCCAGATAAGGCTATTTTTCGTACAAAATAGGAAACCTAGTCTAAAATTTTCGGATTCAAAAATGTGATGGAGAGAGGAATCAAAAAAATTCTCACTTTCGTACTATGTTAAAATGCATCTAAAATTTCGGGAAAATAATACTCAAGCCCTTGCAATTTCAAAAAGATTCAAGTTCTCCTAGGATGACCGAAAAGATACAAATTTGATAGCGCCGCTTAGAGATCTAAAAGCACTCTGGAAAGCCTAAAAAGTCTTTTCAATGTATTTAGGACGAAACCGGCGTTGTGGGGTGCCCCTGCATAGTTAACCACTACACAGACGTTGTTTTCTGTTTTTGTCTTTTGAAGTCACTAAATCCCCCGCGGTTTCTATTTTCACACGCGCGCTTGACGATCTCTAGCCTGCATAACAGGCGCTATTTTTTCGCGTTTTTCAGGAGAGCGAAGGCAAAAGCGAAGCGATCGAGGGGCACCAGGCACGTGTCGTTTACCTTCGTTCTCCTAAAATACGAGAAAAAATAACGCCTATTTTGCAGGCTAGACGATCTCTAAAAAGAAAATAGAGGGTCTGTGAACAGGCTATCTCATAGTCTACCCCATCCTTGAAAGGCCCCTGTGCTCTCGCCAGAGTGTATTAAAAGACCTTTTTTCATAAAGTCGTATAGGCAGATGAGCAAAAAAAAATTACAGTAATTGGAGCAAATGAATGAAGACAGTATCTACTAAGGAGAACTACAAAAGCCAAAACATTTTTAAAAAAGTAAGTAGCCGATGTCAAGCTTGGAAAACACATGCCAACTGCTGAAAGAGTTTTAGTGTCAGCTCTAACACGGATCCATTTGGCTGAATTACTAGCGGCGAGAGATTTTTTCAGCCAATCGCAGCACTCGGCATGTAGCAATGAGAACCCAAAACAATTACGAAATTTTGTTCCACTGTAATTCAAAAGCTGCTAAAATTATCAGTTTGCTCGAGATCAATAATCAAGCATGCAAAATTTCACCCTGATGCAGGACAACGATCTTCGAAATGACTTTAAACTGGTAACTGCAGAAATAAGAGAAAAAGAGAAAAAATAAATACCACTCACTATGCATTGTCTTTTCAGGAAAATTCTTTGTTTCAATCCACAAGATCGCCCAGAGACAGAGGGAATGCCAGTCCCGGTAAGATTTCGATTTCAGTTAACGTGCTAAGTCAGTTCTTCAACTTCTTTAACCAGATCAATGGTTAAACAAAGGAGGTATACATATGTGTATCGGACTTTTATGTATAATAGCTGAAAGAACGAGGTAAATACATCTGTAGCGTTTGTTTCGTTTCTTAAGCTAAACTACTTAAACGTTGGCGAACAACGTTGTTAAACCGGACGGTTAAGAAATTAAGCAAACGCAAAACGACAAGTCACTAAGATTTGGATTTCAGGTAGGAGTCCCAGGTAGAAAGGAATCTCGCCAAATTTAACCAACTGTTAAGTTCAACTCGTAATACGATTACATTTGTTCGGTTGAAGACGCAAAATACATCCATTCACTTTACCATCTGAAAACCTGGACAGTGAAGCCCACTGCCTTGTTTACATGTATAAGGCCACCATGGTCATTGTAAATTAAGTGTATAACAAGAAAACGATTCACGTTATTCGTTTCTAAGGGTTGCGGAGATGTAGATGACTGAGTAGCATGCCTATATTAAGTTATAGAACGCCAAACTATGTGATGGTGGTCCATGGGTTGGTTACTACAAGGGCGAGTGACGAGTGAAGCGAACCGCGCGAGGGGCGAAGCTCGCGCGTGAACTCTCACGATATCCCCTTGCTCGCAGGCTATGGGGCCGTACACAAGCATATACATTAGGGCCGTTTATACGAGAGAATAACAGGTTATCATAGTCACGAGCCCATGACCCCTGCTGATGGCTGGAATTTATTTTTCTTCTGTTTTTTCTCCTGGTAGGCAAACACGAAAATCATCCTAAATCACGTCAAAACCAATCAGAATCTTGCAGCCTTGCCGGAGTATTCATTTAGGTATGTAACAGCACAGGCAGCCCAAGTTCAGCATGAGAGTTAATCATTGATACGGCCATTTGAGGAATACGCAGCGCAATATGGTACCACACGTATTACCGTCGGTTGCATCTAAGCATGTACACGTGAGGAAAAAACATGTTCTAATTGGGTGCAAACATAACATGTTTTGCCGCCAAACATTCGAAGTATGGAGTAGGTGGCTGTTGTCGACTTGATTTGTTTTCGCTCAACCAAATCTTCTTTCCAAGAATTTTTTGACGTTAAGAATAATTTCTGGAGTCAAGTGTATTGTTTCTGAGCGAGAAATATGCCTGAAAGTTGAGAAAAATGAAATATTACCGAAACGCATCAAAAACATATAAACAACTTACCTTTGGCGCGACAGTTTGCTTTAACGGCTGTCAACTTCAAATGTTCGGCGGCTGAACAAGTCATGTCTGGCACCCTATTAGAACACGTCTTTTTTGTCTCGTGTCCACGCTTAGATGTAACCGACGGTAATGTTTAAACTCTCATACTGAGCTTGGGCTCCCTGTGGTAAGAGAACTTTGGCATTGCAGATCGATCTCTGCTTTGTAACAGAAAAAAGGACATACTGAAAAAAAAATAAGTGATTGCTACGTTGCTAGTTCTTTGCAGCAAGCTTTAAAGTGTTTTGTGCAAATTAACACTTACTGTTACACATCTTCATTTTTTTAGTTTCGTTTTCTTTAGTTTTTTTCTTTCCAGGTTTCAGTGGCTCATGCTGATACCTGCTTTTCCTGCATAGTCAAGAACCAGACAAAAGCATTTTTCAGAAAACACTCACCTACCCCAGCTGAATTGTCTATGAGTTGAATTGGCCATGTTTGTAGGGGATTGTGTCCAGTTTACATACTGAAAGAAAAATTAAACTTCCTGCTTTCACCTTCTCTACCAAACCGTCAATTTAATCACGCCCTCAGTTTCCAAAAGGCTACCAAACTTGTCTCTTTTTCGTTGTTTGTGCCAGCCTGGTCTCTACGCGTTTTGGATCGGTCAAACGTGGACCCTACTGTGAGCCGTGACGTCACCGAAAAGCCGCCGGAACGTCCCCTTTCTCGAGTTGCGCCCGTGAACGACGGGGCAAGAGAGAACGCTTTGGGACCAGGCTAGTTTTGTGCCTGTTCTTGGGGTTTCTTAGACCCCACAATCTCTGACCTGACCCTTATTTATTTTAGAACGCCGTTTGGACGAGAGTGTGAAGTTGTAGCCAAAACAGAAGTGGATTCGCATAAAGCAGAGACGCCAAGCAATCATTGGGTTTTTCTGACACGAGAGGTGAAAGACGCGGCGAGAGAGCACGAGCTGGAGCGGGAACAGGAATTCAAGGATCTATTAACAAGGCAACAAGCCGCTGAAGCTGAAGGAGCCCCTCCTAAAGAGGGTATACCCGGTGGATCTGAAGAGACTCAGTCCGGGGGGAGCGGACAGCCTGCTCAATAGCACCTCACCCTACCCTTGTTATTCTAGTTTTAATCCCCTCACATTAATCAATCATCCTTTGTTAATTTTAAAAAGATTTGGTTTAGTCTTTTTCCCTTAGTTATAATTCCATTCTGCTTAATGAACTCGCTCTTTGCTGTTTTATTTATAATAGTTGTGACTTGCGATCAATTTGTAACTCATTGTATTTTCACTCTAGCTGTAAATAATCTCAAAACTCATGCTCTGTTAATAGTTGAAAGTAAATAAAAAGGCCATTGCCGAGTTTCCCCGGGCCTCAGTATCAAAACGAGGTTAAGTGCTCAACCTTCCAAATGGAAAGGATTTTTCATTCTCATGCAAATAAAACTCATTTTCACAAGAAAGGTTGTGCACCTAGCCTCATTTTGAAAGTGAGGGTTAGTGGCCTATTATGTTTTTGGTGCAACCGTGTTTACGTTGCCGATATCTAACACACCTAATACCGACTAATACTACAGTAACTAAGCGATTATTTTTCCCCCTAATTCTTATCCTCTGGATAAGGATTTATCCGGTGGATAACTTTATCAGAGCTGCTGCAGTGAGTCTGCAGTGCGCGGTCAAAACGTCGCGACGGATAAATACAATGTATCTAAGGGTTGATTTCCACTGTCGCGTAATTTTTCCGTGCGAATGCACTTAAAAGTTACGTGCTTAAATGAAATAGGGACAATGTATGAAAGGCCACGCGTAAACGTAAAAGTTGAGGGTGGTTCAACTTTTACGTACACGCGTGACGTTCGTGACTACCGTGAGACAAACGACAAACGAAACTATTAACCCTTATACACATGCCACGATAAATAATATGTGTCATGATAGAAGTATATTATGTTTTCTCTAATGTTCCCCTAATTGCTTCGTGTTTTATTAAAAAATAACCAACATGCCCGAGAACCGACCCCAATGGTACAACATGGTCCAGAGCATAAAAGGTGACTACGCTGGTCTACCCACGACCTTCCTTTCAACCTAACGGTTTCGCTCGAATTGGGGACGGAGCAAGCATTGTAGCAGCTAACACAAAGTTAATACTGTCGTGCCAACAATTTTTTCTCGCTAGAAAAACAAAAACCGAGACTTGCGAATTCGACCTTTTGTTATGTTTGCTCGGTGGTCTGTGGGGGAAGTAACACGTTTCCCTATTTGGTTTTATAGCCAAAACGTTCGGGAACGGTTTCCGCATGCAGCCTACAAAGCAGACGTTTTTTTTTTTAACGATTCTCAGAGGTTCCTTGAAAGCAATTAAAAAACTAAGGGAGCAGGGGCGGGGAGAAAAAAGGAAAACTCTCCACCACCTCTTTTTTGACAGGTCGACTTCTCCCTTTAATCAATTCTTAACTCGCCCCAATTCTCTATCAGTTTGAACGTCCAAGATGGCAGGAGAACATTCGATCGTTCGCACTGCAAAATACGCCTGCTTTGCAGGCTAGCTTAAATCCATTTTATAAAATATAAACACGGTAATGTCTGGTAAAAAGAAAAAACAAAACGCTTTAACGGATATTCAGCATATATTATATATTCATATATTATATATTCATATTCAGCCTGTTAGAACGCGCAAAGTTCCTACGTGTTGCCTGTTTAAAAGCTTTTCCTTGATAATTTTTTTCCAAAAGGACAAAATAGATATTTTAAAGAGATTTGCTGGAAATAATTGTACTGAAGCTGCTTCAGATCGTATTTAGGGTCTATACCACTAATCCTTCCAGTCAGGTGTTGTACTCCAGTGTCACCACAGGTCGCCCAAGTTGAATACATGTACAAGAGTACCTGCGGTTGCGTAATTTGTATTAATAATTCTAATAAAGTGGAAACTCGGGATAAAGGAAATTGCTTAAATCGCAACGGCTCGGGAAAATAACCACACAGGAAGACACCAAGTAAACAAGGTAAAGCGTATTTTATTGTAAATTCATGCGAGTGTTTATCTCCTCGAATCTATACTTATACAAATCCTTTATAATGGCGGCCATTTTGAAAATTACGGAACCGCCCGTACTCTCATATTGAACTTGGGTTTCCTGTGGATAGAAAAGCAATGGACTTTCTCTATTTATTTTTTTCTAAAGAAATTATTCGCTGGCTTATAAAAAATAGAGATAACTAATTCTGAGTTTAATATTTTACTAATACGAGAATTTACTTTTTCCGGTCATGAAAAAATACTGTTCGCTATTTTTTTACACTTCTTTAATCATTAATCTTTCATCTTTCTTTATACACGGTAAAAATTCATCAGGTGCAATCAATTCTAATACAATGACTAACACCCTAAAACCTAAAAATCCTAATCTTAACATTATATGGGTCGAGACAATCTAATTTGCCTATAAATGACTCGTAACTTGAAAATAAGTCGGTTGGAGAACAGGGAGGTCTGTACCATGTTGCTACTAGAGTTGGCTTAGAGTTCGGTTTACGAATTTCTATAGTTAAATTTTCAAGATTAATTAATTTTAGATCGGAGCGCACTATATAAGAATTAGAAGACTTAATGTAAAAACCTACCCCTCCACTATGTCTATGTCCGTCACGACGGACAAATTCATAGCCTGGTATACGGAGTTCGGAACTTTTTATGAATTCGTCAAGTTTGGTTTCATTAATTGCCAGAATATCAAATGAAAACTCAGCAAGAAACTGACTCTGAGTTCGTCAACATATTTGACCAGACTGTTAATGTTTAAACAGGCCGTTTTGAAACCACGTTTAGCTGGTAAAAAATTAGACATATTGGAAGGACCCGAACTACCTCAATGAACTTCGTTGTCTACTAGTTCTGGCAAGGTTTGAGAAACTAGAGGATAATCGACATTCATGGAATTAGGAAATCAGTTAGATCTCACAAAGTTCTTTTGCAATAGTTCGTTACCTTCCCTGTTTAGGTGCAGTCCACCTTTGTTAAGTCCTTGTGAACTGATGTTAGCATGGCTGATGAGTTTCCAGTTATTTTGGTTGCAAAATTGTTTTAACTATAAAAAATTGCGATAAAACATTTCTTAAAATCATTTTAAGATTAAAAAATTGCTAAAAAGCGACGACGTTTCGACGTTAGCTGAACGTCATTATCAAGTCAAAATAAGTTAGTGATTTTTGGTCTATAAATACTAAAAAAAAACAACAATAGCTGATTGAAAAATTGTAACGTGAGAAAATATTAAACAAAGAGTTTCGCACGTATGGAGTCCGTCTGAATATTTAATCTGCATCGCACAGATCACGTGATCTGTGCGATGCAGATTATGTCAGGTACGCAGCCCGACACCTTCATCAACGCATTGCTGAGCACAAAAATTCGGCAATCGGTAGACATTTCTTAGAAGCTCACGGTAACAACAACCTTTTGAGAGAAAGCCAATTCACGGTTTTAAGAAAGTGCCAGAGCAAATTTGATTGTTTAGTATTTGAAATGCTCTTCATCAAGAAGCTTAAGCCCAATTTAAATATTCAGACGGACTCCATACGTGCGAAACTCTTTGTTTAATAAATAGCTATTTTTCGGAGGCAGAGAAGCGACGACCGGAAATGCGTCTGCTGTTTGCAGGCTATTTGTTTCTTCATCAAGAAGCTTAAGCCCAATTTAAATATTCAGACGGACTCCATACGTGCGAAACGCTTTGTTTAATAAATAGCTATTTTTCGGAGGCAGAGAAGCGACGACCGGAAATGCGTCTGCTGTTCGCAGGCTATTTGTTTCTGGGCATTGTCTTGTTATCACTTCCTGTCACCCAAGGGGTTTCCTCATCATGCAAATTTTGCTCCTTGATATGTTTACTTTCTTTGCCATTAATTTCGTTGTTTAAAAGTTTTAGAGCAGTCATTAAACTTTCATTTTCATCTTGAATAGATTTTGCTTCAAAGAGTCGTAGCCGTCTTCCACGTTGCGACGTCTCTGTTTTAAGGCGTTGTTTTCATCTTTTAGCTTTGCCAGCTCACAATTAGAAGTCAGGTTACGCAAAATTTGCCGCGACGAATTAACCTTGATCTCTTTCCCTTCATTTTGTAAATCTAATCGAAGGGGTACGCATGGGCAGTTCTCTAAGTTGTTGGTTTCGTCTCGTGCCGTACATAGTAGCAGACAATCTGATTACCAATAGACAATCTGATTACCAATATTTTTTCTTTTTAAATTATTATTATCTTTTAGTTGGTTTAATTTTTCTATTTCTTATTTTTATTCATTACTTGTACATGTAGATTATGTAAATTATCACGTAATTTTTATGGCACATTTGCATTTAAACGAGCTATCGCTCATATGCGATATGTGGTTAAATAAAATTACTTACTTACTTACTTACTTAAGTATCAGTTTCGTCAGAGACCGCGCTCGTTTTCTGGCGGGTACTTTGTGCGTCATATGCATTTCTACCCATATCCAACAGGAGGGCATTTTGCATGCGCATGCGTACATCCGCTGAACGACAATAGCGTGGGCGCATCAAATGTGATGGTGGGAATCGAAAACTCGCGTAAAGGTACGGTCCTTTTAAAAGCCATTTCGTTGGTGTTTTGAATACCGTACTTTCCTACAAAAAATATTCTCCATGACAAAAATCGGGCGTTTTCTACGCGGGTTTTTCACTTGTAGATTTTTCAGCAGTTGGTTTTCTTGGCCCTTTAAAGTCTTTCAAGACTCAACGCCAAAAAGTCATGTTCCTGTATAAGTCGAATTTTCACTGGCAAAGCAATGCATTTCTATGGTTTGATTTCCAAATGGTTTGACTTATCAAGGGGGAAATACATCGTAGCAATGTTCAGCTGTTTTACATGTAAGACTAAAAGCGAAAAAAATTTACCACGCGAGGTTTATTTATTAGCGCGATGTCTCATGTTAAACTGATCACGGAGACAGGCGTTTATATATGCCACAAAAACATGAAATCTATGGGATTTTTTACAGTTTTTTGAAAGTTTTTGCGGAAATTTTTATAAAAAATATTCTACAAGAAATGAACTTAGAATGGATTTAGTTTGAGACAGCAACAATTACAAGTGATTATGTACTAAATAAGCACTTGAGCATTTCATAAGCTCAGTTGCAGACAAAACGAATGCACATACCCAGCAAAAACGAACAATACTTTTATTTTTCTTTAACTCTAAAAGATACAGAGATTGTTCCCAAGCTACTATTTTGAAGCGACTCTTGATAACAGCTCCTGTGTTCCACAATCGGTTTCTTGTTATTTATCTATATTTGATGACAGTAGTGATTCATTCAAAACAGAGAATGGGCCATCACTCCATAAATCTAACTGACGATGTTGTTCACCTTCAAAGCCTGTTTATACATAAGACAGGAAGTTTGTTAAAGGGGTGCATATAATGCTGTTTCCTCAAAAAATAAATGCTACTGCTAGAGGAACCAAATGAGCTGGGATGTGACAACAAACATTACACAAATGGATGGAGTGAATGTGTCTGTTATTAATGTTTCTGTTGGGAGCTTTTTACTGTATCCAGATGAAACCCTTATGTTAGTTGTACATCATGGAAGAATTATATGGCAGAAACTGATGCATTAAACAAGAATGTGGTTCAATACAAAGGAGAACCTGTTTTCATTCAACATCATTTGTGAATGAAATGTCTCACAAATTAGCATATCAACAAATGTAGTATCCACAAATGGTATCATTTACGAATAAATGCAATTTTTTTGCAACAGAAGCCAGGATTTATTTAAAAGGTGTATTGATAACGTTTCATTTCGTGCTATTTTAGGGTTGGGGAGTTAGGCTAGATTTTCTTTAAAACGCCAAATTGTTATATTTATTTGCATAATGAAATGTAAACAAACAGTGTACCATCAAAATAAGGTGGAAAAATCAAAGTTCAAACCGATTGCTGTAATTTTTTTCCTTTGTATAACTAAATGATAAAATATTCTTATTTTCAAAATACAATCTTACTGGCATCTTTATATGGATTTAAATTTGTAGTTGAAGTGCGTGTATTTTATTCCTCAACGAAGACGTACCGGTGTAAAAAGCTAAAACTACTACAGAAGGCGATTTTTTACAGCCTTCATCAAAGCGCCATTTATACGCGGAAGTATTCTTAGTTTCATTAATCATTAACTTAATTTGGGGAGAAAGGCAAGATTTCGAGATAAACAAGCCAGCGAAAGGGCGAAAAACAGTTTCACGGCAGAATGGACATTTAATTAACCACTGTATTCCTGAAACGATTAAGTTCGATTTTAGAGTTACACTATTGAGAAGAATTAAGTGTCTGTAGGATAATTGTTTAACGAAAAATTAGCATACTGACCTTTTCCTCCTGCTCAAAAAATGTGCACGAAATGTTAGGTCGTAAGAACATTCAGCCGCCATCTTGTCTTCGATGCACTGTTTTACGAAAGGAAAGACTGTCCTCTCAAGGGCGACAGCGAGGCTACAATAAACTCACTTTCATCCTAGAAATACCACGATACCATAAAGAACATGTTTGTGGAACGTAGCACTCAATACACGTCATTCAGCTCCAGAAAACAGCCTGCAAATGTTGGTACTGTACGTAAACAATTCACATAAAATGCCTCTGTGGCACGCACAGGAGTGCCACGTCACTTGATTCCATCTACCAAACTGACATCCTCCTCTCACAAGACATTTCACTTGTCTTATATGAAATTTCTTGATGAAATGTTCATAAAAGTCAAAGTGTCTTCAATTTTTATGGGAAAAAAAAACAATTTAGGATACAATGAGTAGGGTTCGAACTCGGAGCATCCGATCTGGAGTGCATCACTCTAACCCCCACACCATCGAGGATTAGGTGACAAATGCCAGTTTGATTTAAATATATAACCCTAACCCTAACCCTAACCCTAACCCTAATAACCCTAACCCTAACCTAAACCCTAACCCTAACCCTACTTTGTGTACGAATCATTAATGTGTCAACGTCAGTTTGGCGGATGGAAATAAGTGTTGACACAGCCCACATTGACGCATGCGCATACAAAATGCCCTCCTGTTCCCATATCCATGTGACTTCTTTGTTCTCCCGTCACCAAACAAACCGCCAGCACGGCAGGCTACTGCTCACTGACTACCGCGAGGACCTTGCACGTTACATGCACGTTAGAGTTTAGTGAGGCCACAAAAACTGGACTTCGTTTCTTGAAGAGTCTGGATACAACAATGGTAATGTACATATGATTCCATTCAGATTTTTGACGAGTTCGGCGGAAAAATGACAGATGAGACGAAAGGTTTATTTCGCGTAAAGCTACGTGCAAACGGCCGACAATTGCTTTCGCTTGCACGCGGCTAAAAGTTTGACTAATGAAAACTTCGGGAAGTTTTTACATTCTGGGACGTGTTTTGGATTTGGGAAGTGTTTTGTCCCTACGAGCCACCGTAGTTTTGCGTCTAAACAAGCTCTCGATCTCAGAATGTGTAGAAACGAGTAAGTTGGAAAAAATACATAGAATTTCTACGAAGTTCCTTGCCTTAACCTCCTAAAAGTATTCTATCTTCTTTTACTTGAAATTGCCGAGAGATTTTGCCGCCTGAAGGGAAAAAGAGTGATTCTTTTATGTACTTAATTCAATGAATTAGGTTCGGCTCATGAAAAGTTCGACGTCTGAACTAAGCTGAACGAGTTAGGCGATAATTACATGAGACCGGGACGAACTCAGACCGGTATGAGTTCGTATCGGTCGGTCTCCATACATTTCTTTTCATGCGCTCAAATGGGACCGGCGTAAAAATGAACTCAGACCGGTTTGACTTCGTCTCGGTCGCTGACCCGACACGAGTTACTTTCGTACCGGTCTGAAACCGTACCGTTCTCATATAAAACGGAAACGAAACTAAGACCAGGTCCATAAATAGCATGTTTCTTCGTATGACTCCACCATTTTTGCTTTTTCTTAGCAAACAAAGGAACACTGCTACGGATAACATCAGTAAACTGGATTTAGAAGTAGCTTCAATTGAATATGTGCTTAGATTAATATGAGGGATTGCAACATTTTGAGTTGCTGACAGTGCAGCAAATATTAACAGGCCACTAGATGAGCGTTAGATAAAGCTTATAATTTTCTGGGAGCAGTATAACTCTACGTTTGTCCACTCACTGTCTACTAGCGTAAATTGTGTACCAGTTAGGAACGTTAGCTATTTAGCTGCAAGAATCACCTGTTGTTTAGTTTGTACCGCCCGTCATGTAATCGACCAAGCATTTCGTCCTGGTTTCATGTGCATAAATTACAAATTTGTACCGGTCTGAGTTTGTCCTGGTCTCACGTAATTGTCCCCTTAGTATGTTCAATCTAAAAAAAGACCTTACTTTTCATTTTCTAATTTTTAGCAATATATTTAACGAAGATAAAAAACGGTAAAAAATTTCGGTTGCGATGAGTGCAAGGCTTGCATGGCAGTCAGCCGTGTCGAAATTAATTTCCATACCTCAATTGTGTGGTCAGTCTCGAGTAAATTTTCAAAGAAAAATCGATTTGTGTTCGTTTTAACGCATAAGCCTGTGTAGAAAGACCGTGATGAAATAACATTTTGGAGAGTTTTCGACTCAAGGTGTTTAGAAAACGAAGACTTCTGACCCATACAAAAACGACTACCTCAAAAATGTGACCTATTGACAAGCCAGCAAAATCAATTACGCAATAAACAATTACGACCATGAACTGGTGACCCTATTGGGTGGAATGGCGGACTCACGGAATGATGGAACGGAATGTCGGAATACACGGAATATTCTGAAATACGGAATTTACAGAATATTCTGTATTTGATTTGAACGGGACTGACAAAAAAGGCAGAGGCAAAGAATATCCGGTTGTTTTGAAAGATTAAAAATTCAATTTTTGTACTGCTGTACTCTATAGACCTTTAATACGACGGTTCTGAAAGTCATCTTGACTGGTGAAGGGTCTTGTATGGGAATCTAATGCCGGATAATTTTCATAAAACGGCTGTTCTGAAAAAAAAAAGAATTGTAAACTTGAGCTTCTCACCAAAGGATTGTACTAACAATTAATGGGGGCCGTACCTGTGCCTAAATTTGTCCAGCCGCTTGGTTTAGATTTTCCAGACATTTTCCTGCAATTTTTCATGGGAAAATTTAGTCGGCAGGAAGAAAAATTTTTTTACATACAGCACTGTATATTTTCACAAGGTTACCTACACGTCAAGATGGCCTCCAAAACCGTAATGATTCGATTTAGCGCCCTCTTTCGAATGAGCGCCCCCTTTGTCCTTTAACTGTTCACCAACCTCGTCCCCAGGGCGCTTTTCGGAAAAGCGCCCTGGGGACGAGGTTGACTGTTCACAAACGAACGGTAATGCCACATTACAAAAACAGTGGTCTTATGTCCATGTGAGTGCATAAATTCTTCAAACGAATGATCTCTTCTTCAAATTTTGTGGCAATTGCTCGGCTAGTCGTTCTGGCGCCGGGAAGGATCCAGGGAAAACAACCTTTCCTCACCTTTTCTTGCTCTTTGCATAGAGTGTTTTCACATGACGTCACGGCGGCCATATTGGTGTCCCAAAACAATGAAACGGCGGCCATGTTGGTGTCCCAAACCAATCTGCTGGGAGTTGAATTCTTTTCTTATGCAAACGCTTTCTTTTGTTTCAATAAATTTGCATAGATGCTGGCCACGTGAGTGAAAACACTCTATAGTATGCTTTTGCTTACAAGAAGATGGGCCTATAACTTGGGCGGTATAAGCGGCAGTTTACGTTGTTTATCTGCTACAAGGTGTAAAACTTAAGGGAAGGGAAGAGAAGGGAAGTATTGGTTGTTTCCCATTTACATGAAAATTTAATTCTTCCCAGAATCGCGTTTACCATCTGCACAAATCAAATCCAGTTGCCAAAAAACGTCCGCGAAAGCCTGAAACTAGTATCAAAGATGCATTCAAAGAAAAGGAAAACGAAGCAGTTTCTAATTCCGTAGTAACAATTCCGTCCGGAAAAGCAGGACTACCTTCTCAGAAATTCCGTTTTTAATTGCTTCTGCACATCTTCCACTGGAACGACCCGAAAAGTTGTGTTCATATACTTTCCAACCCGATTTTCCGGAAACGTTTTGTAAATGAGAAATGATGTGATCAACATGTCACGAGTACGGAACAAAGAAAAAATCTGAGTTCCCGACAGGAATTGAACCTATGACCTTCCATACCCCAGTCGGGTTATCCAATCACTGAGCTACGAAAGACTCGTGGCCAGCTGGGCGATATACAGTGTTCATGTATGACATGCGTCCTGCGCACTGCTAGGATCAATGGTAAAAAACCATTGTCTCGATCATTGCATTCATCAGTTTGTCGTTTAAATTTTTTTTTTCTAACTCAAATGATTAATTCTTTCTAGAATACTCCACGGGAAAACAACCCCTTGTGCCTGCTTCCCAGAAGGCCGTGGGTGAGTAAGCAGCAAGCTGTTACCTTAGCAACAAACCTGTTCAACCTGCGCATTTTAGATGATTCTTCTGTGAAAGAATTAGACGGTTATGACGACAGGAATTTTTTTGTTCGTGGTTTGTTGATCACAGAGGGAAAAGACAACGAAAAACTTCCAAGTCATGAATATGTTCTGAAAGTTGTGAACCACATGGACTCGAATCACGAAGGTTTAATGAAGACACAATCTGACGTCATGTCATTTCTCCAGTCACGTGACCATGCTTGCCCAGTCCCAGTCCCTTCCATTTACGACACTACATTTGTCATGTGCAAAATACCGAAGGTTGCCCCACCTGATATTGTTACCATGGAAACCAATGAGTTGGCCGATAAAGAAGAGATAGAAATTTACAACGGTGAGGAGTATTCTAAAGAGGCATACTATGTGTGTGCTGTGCGATTACTGACTTTTGTACCCGGACAAATGCTGCACGAGATACCGCTTAACACCCAACTTTGCTTCGATGCTGGGTTCGCCTTGGGAAGACTGCATCAAGATTTAAAGGTATGATCTTACAGGGCGGAGCCTATCATACAAAGTAAGATACCTTGTGTAAATATTTTCCTTCAAACGAGGTTAGAAGCTACTCAGGCTGTTTACTGGTCATTATCTAATAAAAAAAACACCCAATATATTGTTTACAAGTTGAGCACTACTAAGCTGGCCATTATTTTTCCCGCTTTCGACAGTTACTCATCAAGTCAAACCGGGAGCCCACAACACGGAGCGACCAGCTCAGACTAGTTTATATTTAGATCATTTTTCCTGCGAATTTTGAAATAAAGTCTTCAAACTTCAGGTTTTCAAATAAGTCTTACAAAACAGTCATCGAAAACCGAAGACTTAAAAAGGTATTTCTGGTGTTTTGATAGCATTTACCTCCTCTTTTTGTAAGTATCCTACTATGGATGCGCACGCATACTGGACGGTGCCTCTATTTTTGCAGGAAAAAGTTTTAAAAAAATGATGGTAAAAATACCTTGATCTGTGAAAACGCCGTTGTATCGGCTAAGTATGGGAGTTGGGCGCTCACGGTTATGTGCTCCTGGTCAGCGAGGCAGGCGATCGAGTAGGAGGGCTAAAAACAGATCCGCGAATTGTGTGCGAGTACTTGAAAGTGCCCGCACACACGGGCTGTTAAGCCTGGTCTCCAGACTGATATAATCGCCCAGGACGTCTAGATAGCTTCCGTTTTTTTAGCGACGAACCGGAAGGTGAAATAGAAGCCCAGCCTCGAACCAAGGTTTTTCTTGGGATTTCCAGCGATAGTTGCGGTGCAAGAGGACGAGGGATGGGCGAAGCATGTCCATACATCTTAGCTCTTTTAACGTTTTTCATGACCCTTCCCGCCCTAGTCCAAAAAATTTCATAAACCTTTGCGCCACGACTACTGCGAAAATCACAGAGAGCGCCCAGGTAACGAGGCGATGAAAATCGCTTGCAAACCATCGCCCTACCATAATCTCCTTTGTTTTACAGGATTTTGGATGTCCAAAGCTTGGACGCGATGACTTAGCATGGAACTTGGCTACTACAGGTGAAAAAATAGAACCATTTCTTGACGCTTTGAATGACCATCATTTCATTGAAATGGTCCAAGAGGTTTGTGAATCCTTTAGGGAAAATGTAACCCCGAAAATGCATCTGTTGCCGAAACAGGTCATCCATGGAGACGCGAATTACACAAATATGTTATTGGTTCGACGTAGCGATAATGATGCTAATCTTGCAGCAGACTTTGGCTTCATCGACTTTTCAGATATTAATTATAGTTGCCGTGTCTTTGATCTAGCAATTTCGCTTACATACTGCTTGAATCACCCTAATGCTTTGAACTGCGAGGAATCTCGAATGGCGGCGGGACATTTTTTCGCAGGATATTACTCTGTCAACCCCTTGTCGAACGAAGAGATAGAATTGCTGCCTGTATTAATAGCCTCGAGGTTTTGTCAGACATTAGTTTATGGTGCCTTCACCAACACATATCTCGACCCTGGCAATAGTTATCTCATGGAAACCTCTACACACGGGTGGAAGAATTTTGAAGCGTTTTGGAAGACGCCAAAAGACGAAGTGCTAAAAATGTGGCTCCAATTGACCAATCAGAACAATTACAATTAAAAAAAAAAATACGTCGTGACACCATTGAAGCGCAAAAACACCTTGGTACAGGAATAGACTTCGAGAAGTCTCTGTTTTTTCTTAGAGACAGGAACATCTTACTTCTCGCTTGTGGCTCGACGCTCGCGCGCGTGGACTCCCCTCACTATAAACCCTGAAGAAAAAGAGAGACTGCTAGCACTCTATGAAACAGGAAGTGGAAGAAAGAAAACTCTGGTTTGCAAGGGAACCAGGCACTGCTCATCATCCGCCAGGTACTGACACTGGTCAAACTGAGGGAATTAGAGCTTTCTTCTGTATTCCATTTTCTCACTGGAATGATTATTCTCTCTTCCAAACAATTGCCGTCACGCTCTCTAACCAGAAGATTCAATCAACATATTTCAGGGTGGAACTTACTCACTGACTTCTGTTGGTAGGACAACAATAGAATTTTGATGTCATACGCCCAAGTGTAAATAGCTTTAAAAAGCGCCTCAATGATTTTTAAGCACCTAGCTTTCATGAGAGGTTACGTGCAAATAGTTTATTTGATTTTTAAGTATCTAGTGTTAGCATTATCTTTTTTACCATTTTGTCAATTTTGCATTTTATAGTATAAGGGCCGAGTCGTTTTGAGATTTTTAACTGAGAACTCCTCACCCTCTCTAGATAAAGTTGATTCATCATTCGTTCATGCGTTTATTCAAATATAGTAATTCAAATCCTATAGAGATTTGACAGGGATACTTAACGATGCTTACGAAATAAACGAGTCTAAATGATATATTCCTGAACAACTAAACAGGGACAGCCGTTGGTTAATTCTTGGTCATGGGGCCTTACTTAAATTCAAATGTATCCCGTTCGTGATACTACCGTTGGTTTCATCTAAGCGTGGACACGAGACAAACAAAAAACGTGTTCTAATAGGGTGCCAGACATGCCATGTTTTGCCGCCAAACATTTGAAGTTTGACAGCCGTTAAAGCAAACTGTCGTGACAAAGGTAAGTTGTTTATTATTTGGGTGCCGCCCAAATAAAGTAATCGAGTTCGCTTTTTTTAATTCAAAGTTGCAATAGGCACGCAATACGTGCGAGCGTAAGCAAACCAAGTAAACAAGCCAAGCGAATGTCTGCCGCCTAGTACATCGACGCCCAAATAAGCGCTCCGACAGCGTCTGGTATGTTTTTGATCAGCGCGTTTCGCTCATATTTCATTTTTCTCAACTTTCAGCCATATTTCTCGCTCAGAAACAGCACACTTGACTCCAGAAATTATTCTTAACGTCTAAAAGTTCTTGCAAAGAATGTTTTGTTGAGCGAAAACAAATCAAGTCGACAACAGCCTCCTACTCCAAATTTCGTCAGTCGCATGTTTGGCGGCAAAACATGTCATGTTTGCACCCAATTAAAACATGTTTTTCCTCACGTGTACACGCTTAGATGCAACCGAAGGTACTTCAGCAATTGTACCCAGCCGGGGAACCCTGAGCACGTTGAAGTGAAGGTCCATGGGAACATAATGATGATCACGATCTTTCCCTTGACTAACTTCAGGACTCCCAGGAAAACAAAACTAACTTTTTTTTCTCGGGACCTATAGATCATACTTTCAAAGTATGCTTACCTCGTGAGTTTCCGTTTTTATTTGCCTAATCCTAGGCAAACTCAGGATCATGAATAAAGGGAATGATGTTTCATCTAGCAGATAAACTTATTCTTCAAATAGCGATTCATTCATCGAGTTATATTTTTGCTGTTCTTACTATGCCTTAAGGCAGTAGTTCGGCTATTTCTTCTTCACAACACGCGTAGAATTTTCCGCCATGTTCTTTAGCTAATAAAAACAGGTGTGCTAACGCAACTTTGTCCCAAGGTTTTCTTGATTGCCGTCCCTTATCCTGTACGATTTACGTCACTTTACTGGATATCGCAAACGTCAGTCAAATTTGGTCAACGCAAGTTGGTTACGAAGAATTAGCCGTTCAGTTTAACCTTTCCTTACGCACACCTCCGCTACAATACAGAAACCTCTTGATTGTACACAATTCACTTGGTCCTGAAGTCGTACTCAATCTTAACAGGGTGTCGACCTCTACATTACAGACACTTCTGTGATGAAGTTCTGTCCCTTTGCAGGTCCGCCCCAGCTTTCAGTTTGGAGAGCCCAAGGCTGGCTGCATATTCGTCCCGAATTTTATTCAAAAATTTCCATGTCAAGTGTTTGTCAGAGTTTGTTCTTGTCAGGGTAGGTATGGGGTTGTTGGTATGGCTAAAGTATAGAATTTGTGTCGTAAACGAATAAAATTCTTGTCTTTCTTGTGTGGGTTGTCCCCTTGCTAAGCTGACCTGCTTTCCACCACCGGCTATAATCGTCAGGTATCAAATTTAATGGCTTGATGTTTCATCGCTTGGGAAGTTTCATTTTTTTTTAAATTTTGTAGCTTTTTTTAAATCAGGGCATAGTTAGAAGAGGAGACTGGTTATGAAAGCCGGCAAACATGAAAGTTGAAAACAACGGTATTGTAGCTTATGTTGGAAGCTCCGTGACCGTGTACAATCCTTTGTTTTTCGTTCACAAATTGTGACTGAATAAGTTAATTCGATGTTTTTATTGGTCTGTGAGTTCAAAATGATAGGAATGCTAATTGAACGTTGTGCACGATCAGGTCCAAAAAAGGTAAAAAAAACCTATAACAAAGGATTCTAACGGGTTTCATAGCAATTCCACGTTAATAACTATGATCAGGGTCAATTAATACAGACATATAGGTTGTTCATTTATAAGGATGTTTTCTTAACGCGAGCTTTCAAAAATACTAAAAATAGCCTGGTCAACGAGTTGTTTGCAGATTGAATCATTCGTTCAATAAACATAAAGCTGCGCCCGAACCAAAAATTTGTACAAGCAACGCCTGGCCTGAGGGCATACATTTTCTGTATCTTTCCTTCTTTGGGTAACTCCTTAATTCTTCTTAAGTAGTATTAGATGAAGCATAATGACAATTGTACCGGTTCCGTAAATTCTCTAAAAACAAATTTTTAAAAACGAATGAAGCCGGAATGAAGTGGAAAAGGCTAGCAGTAAATATCATGGAATGGAATTGAAAGATGATCTGATTCTGTCCCTATGTTTGCTACGTAGACTTGGCACGTTCATGGGGAAAAAAACGTGACCCGCAGGCGAAGCATGGGTCAAATCTCATGCCAGCTAAGCTGTCAACTCAATTTTAACGCACATATCATCGAGTTGTGAAGTATTGAGTGATTTTTAATGCTCTCCAGTTTCGACCGTTCAAGTTTGATTTTTTTCCTCCTCTGGGGTCATTTGACATTCCGCGACGTCCAAAATTTCACCCTTTTAAACCCGTCACTCCCTCAGACACGCATGATGAAGTCGTACAGCTTAGGTCTCTGGACAAAATCTAGTGATTTATCCATTCAACTGGATGAAAGCTCCTCGACAGTACTCTTCCATGTTTGTTTTGGTTCTTTGGTATTTTACAAATAGATGCGTTCATAGATTTTGGGATCTATCTTAAATCTTGATATTGAACACTCTTGGGATTATCTGGTAAGTACTAAAAGAGGGCGACCCACGGGTTATAACCGAAAGGCACCTACATCGAAGGAACACTAGATTCCTAGGATGCAGCCAACCCTCTTCGAAAATAAACCGGGTAAAAGCAGATATTTTTCCTCTTAGGTCAATGTAACTAGGAAAGAAAGTGAAAGGTTTGAGTACTTCGAGTTGCTCCGTGCCTAGCTTGTGAGGATATCTCAAAACATTGGGACTCTCTTATCGTGATACAGTCTGTCTTTGAAGCAATGAAAGGAAATACACATTGCTAATCCGTGAACACTGTCTTATCCGATCTAATAAGATAATGGATAGAGCCTTAAGACGCTCCCAACGCTTCTTTTGGGAATGAATAGAATAGGATATGCGAGAAGAGCAAGAGAAATCGGATTATTTTCTCTTGAAATAAGCTATGTACGGTCGACTCCCGCTAATTCGAACTTTCAAGGGAAGTAGAAATAAGTTCGAGTCCTTGAGAGTGCGAGTTATCGAGGGTAAAATTATATAAAAACGATCTGAAGGGAAATGAAAATTGTTTCGAGTTAGCGAGAGGTTCAAGTTATTAGGGTTCGTGTTATAGGGAGTGGACTGTAGGTATGTGCGAAACCAAATGGTGTAGAATTTTAGCCCCTTTGTAGACTGGGTGTGGGTATAGATTTTATATGTTAGGCTTGGAGTGTGGAGTTCTTGTTGTTGCCATCGTTTTTGGTTATTTGTCGTTTCAGATAGAGCGGTTCACATCTGAACTGGAGAAAGGATTTCAAGGAACATGTCACAGCCTCCCCCGGGGCGTAAACCCGAATAAAACACAGTTACAGCTCAGTTCTAAAAGAGTTACGAATTTGCACGAAAAAATGAAATGATTCACTTGCATTAAGCTGTCAAATATCATATAAGGTTATTTTTCTTAGCTCCTATAATTCAGTCTTGGTTTTAACCATGGTCAATGTATTACCACCCGTCAAGGCTGCATGAGGGAACAGTAAACCACTGTTTCTGTATCTTTAAAATATAATCTACCCTCAATTTTTTAAGCTTGATGTTTGTAATCGATGTTAATCTACTACAACCTAATTCATTCTTGATCCCCCCAAACGGTAAGCAACTTTATTCAAATTAAAGGGTAATGAAATAACGGCAAGGTCAACAAACCAGCGGCCCTTCACAAAAGGAAATCTAATGCAATCTTAAATAGTGCAAGTCAGCTATAATTTAGGTCTGTTTAGGCTACCTAAGAATAACACTACACAATTACAATACAGTAAGACTTCCCTAAAGAAATCAATGTCACTATAAAAATTAAAGAAACAATTATTCACAGTGTTCTTGAAAGATTAGATACTGTTTTTCTACTTAAGTTCACCATGTAAACCTTCCCTCTTCGGTGCAGTCTCTTAGGATCATTGTTACAATAACAAGTATAACAGGCCCAAATTAAGTTTCCATAAATCATGGCGGCCGTTTAACAAGAGCGTTAAAGGAAAATTGTCTTTCACGAATTGATAGGTAGTTGCGCAACTATATTTGAAGCCTATTTCCCATAGAGTTGATCTGAATGTTCTTTGAAGGTAAGTTCTTGATCAGTTATCAACCTAAGTAACCGTCTGGCTTTTTCGCCGAGGGCAGCACACCCTCCCTCAGCTGCAGACTGGAGCCATTTACTTACAATTTTAATCACTGCCCAGTCATCAGAACTGACGTAATTTTCGGAGCTTTAAGATCATATACTGAAATTTCTTGCAGATCATTTTCATGCGAAGAGCAGTGGGCACTCGGTGAAACTTGAGGTAGTATCATCAGATGCCCTACAAAGTTTGGTGTTACTAACAAATATGTTGTGCGCTGTGTGAACATGATGATCCAAAATATATTGACAAAGCTTCCTTAACAGAAACACAGGGGCGGAGGCTGAGTAAGGGCTCAGGGGGTCTGGAATCCCTTAAGCCATCATGTCATAGATTTTTATTTTTCACTATTAGACTAAGCGCTATAAAATTCGGAAATTGTTGCCCCAGAATGGTCGCATCACTGAGTGCAACATTTATCTTAGTAACAGAAACATGAAAAGCATCGCGTCTTTTCCATAACGCATGTTGCTACGGGTATTCAAATTTGCCTTCAATGAAGTTTACAAGAAAACATGCGTGCGGCGTCTGAGAGTGCAGATTTGGACACCCTTGGCAAAAGCACCGGGGTTTTCCACAATACTGACCTCTCTTATATCGATTAAATTACTCAAAGTGTATTTTTCGTAGTCGTCAAGGGTAACAATAATAAGGAACACACCCATTACCCATTTTAACATGTTTGACACCCTCTCGGGTTAATTTTCAAGTCTGCCATCTGCAATCTAGACCAACATTTTGATAACTTAACATAGGTGCACAACTCTGAAACAAACACACAGGATGACCTCATCAGTTGACAAATGTAGTTATCAAAGTCGAACGTGACCGTATATGCATTGGATTCTTTTAAATGAAAATACCTCAGAACCTCTTGATCATTGAAACCAAATGGTTGGTTTAAACTTTCAAGACACGTTACTAAACTAAGAAAACACATAGTTAATTTTGCCAATTTTAGCTTAATAATGACGTCAGTGTTTACAGGACTTCATTAGAACCATTGAACTCTTGTTACAGATATCTTTTTGAAAATATTATTTCAAGCAATGTCCTTATCTTGATCTTTCTCCTCAACTGAAGATAAAGATGTTTTCTTCCATTAGGATCCTTTAATTAGGGTTGAGTGAGCCAGCTTGCATAATTGAAAACAACGTAGATTGCCTGGTTTTCCATCAATAAACCGCTAAAAATCCCGTGGAAGCGGTTCAGTGACTCATGGACCGCTCTTTTCTGATCAAATCCTTGTCTACAAAACCATCACGAATGTGATTTATATTCGCTCCCCTTTCGATCAGAAAGCGCGCGCAGTCAAATTCTCCTTCGTTTACTGCAACGTCTAACGGAGTAGTACCTTCTTTGTCACACACTTCAAGCTGCGCGCCTTTGGTTACGAGGTACTGAAGGCATTCATAACTCCCTGTACTCGCAGCGCGATGTAATGGAAAAAAGCCATCCACGCCTGGTTCGTTAAGATCTACGCCAGTTGACTCCACCACGCGTTTTAGCGTCTCCACGTCGTTATGCGTCGAAGCCCACTGAAGCAGGATCTGCGGATCGAGCGATAGGCTTTGCTTCTTTCTCCGCGCTAGTCTTTCTTCCGGTGCCGGCTTTTCTTCCTCCTTTCTACGGCTACCTCTGTCTTCACTTACTTTCCTTTTGATTTTCTGAAAAGCGGAGAGTTTTAAAACTGTTTTCCTCATTCCTGTAGACATGATGATCCAAAGAGCGAGTTTGCCTTGACCGATCGTTGTGTACTACTTATTATACACGTAAAGTCTTCTCTTTTCTATCATCTAGTTACCGCCTCTGGCTGAGGCAGATAATTGCTTTCTCTGCCTTCTAAGGTTACATTTCCTGCGGACAATCTTGTAATGATTAAAATTTCTTCTGTTATTTTTGTGTGGACTATTCACTTAGGTCAATCATTGTTCCTTCTGACAGGTTTAGTCCCTTGCATTGTTCATCCCCAAAAAAAAAAAAAATTACTTAAATTCAAACAGTTTTATAATTCACTTCATTTTACAACAACAAAGGATTTTTCAGCGGTTAGACTTTAAATGTTTTTTTTCCTTATCTCTGATCGAAATAGACTACTATGAACTAACCGCAGTTTCAATTTAGAGGTTACCGAAATTCTCGAAACTACTTAAAATTACAATTTTCTTATCAGCTCATTTTATCCAGGGCGAGTGTTTTCGCGTCACTTTAGACAGATTAGTTTTCTTCATCGATAAGGGAAAGTAAGAGATAGGCAAAGAGATGCCGGTCGCCTTATTGGAGCTGTTTTGAACTATTGCCGCGAAACTTAAATCAAAGTTATTACACTGGCCAATAAAAACAGTCACAGAAGGGAAAACGAATCGATCATAGTTCGAAGCGAGTACCTGTAATCATGCGCGGGAAAACGCATCTGAGCAAGTCACGCGATCGAGTTTGGGTTTTCACGCCCGGCCTTGACTGAGGAATGTAACGCGTGTGATTTTTAGCCACTCACAGAGAAGCGACGCAAAATCAAAGCTTTTGGAAAATTTCCCTCGCCCCAAACCTGAAACCAGTCTTTCATTACTATCTAATTAGTTGGTGACTTCGACATGTACCTCGAATAAACTATGGTTTCCTTTTTCTTTGTTCATCAGCAGTAAATGGACCAACTGATAAGCACGTCGCGTTATTCATTTATTTAAAGCGGTTACACGTTGTTTTCGTTTTTTTTTTTTTTTGGCATGAAAATAATTTCAACAAATATTTTCCACTTTCAATTCTGCTTGAGGTGTACAGTTAAAAAAGGTTCGTCCATTTTCAATTCTACTTAAGGTGGACAGTAAAACAAAAAGGTTGAACTGAAAAATGAATGCTTTCCCTTCCTTTTTCTTCGGCATGCTGCCCCTTACAATCTATTTTTTGTGGAATCTAAGACGTGACTTTCTTGTCTAAGAACTGATCTCGCATTTTGCAAACACATTCTCAGTTTACATTGAAATTTTTTGGCGGATTCCCAGCTAAAGGTGAAACCGTATCTTAACCCTCAATCTTGGACAAATGGATGGACGCAACATCTCCCAAAATTGATGCGCCAACAATGTTGGGAGTTGTTGCGTGCGTGTTGGCAGTAGTTTGCAAACGGATGCAACAACTCCCAACAATGATGGGACCAGCAGTGCATCGTGGGAAGGATACAACACATAAGTCTTTGGTAAACAATGCGTTATGAGCGTGCGCAGCCCCAACAGTGTTGGAAAAGCTGTGCAAACGGATCCAACATTGTTGCGCTACGCTTCGGCGATCACGAAACAACAGAAATGTTGGGAGTTGTTGGCTGAAAAGTTTGACTGGTTTCAAACTTTGCACAACAACACGCAACAACATCCATCAACATGCAACAGGGTGTGCAAAAGGACGCAACATGTAACAACCGACAATATTGGGAGTTGTTGGGCAAAAATGTTGCGTCCGTTTGCACGCAGCCTAATACTAATACTTAGACCCCAGGCCAGCTGGATCACAACCAATTTTTTTCAAAGATGATCAGTTTCAACAAATCTGTCTCATATATTTGTGGTGAACGCAATTTAAATTTCTTTCTTGCCTACAAGACCTGCTAACATCTTCTAATCCCTGAACTGATCTATTCTGAGCTGGTATGCTGTCAGTATTTTTTAGTGTTCATAATTAAAACCCAATTTTGGTAAAGACATGATTGTCGATGCATGAAAAAAATATATTTTTGCAAATCACCGTCTTGCCCGCCTTTGGCTTAACCCTCAGACTACTCGCGTTTTCTTTCTCTATAGCTTTAGTATTTGTGGTACCAGCATGGAAGTTAGCTGTCGGCGTCCCTCAAAATATCCGAGTAAATCTTGTTAAGACAAATGAAAGGAAGTCACCATCTAAGCTTGAATTATTTTTCTAAGTTTAAAGGATCGCACTTGCATTGAATTTCAGTTGCCAAAACCATCACGCGAATGTCAGTTTATTTTATACATAAAACGTATTAGGAAGCAGGGGTATACATATATTCAGTGAGGTTGCTAGAACATTAAATATATTTTTACGATAATCGCTAGAAATTTAGTCTGCAAGAGACACATTTAACAGTTACCTGATCACCGCCTATTTATCTGATGATCATCTACTGTGACTAGCTAGTTCTAGTTTAGTTCTGAGTGGAATGAGGCAAATCTTGCCATTCAGTCTGCTGGCTATATCCATCCGTCTAGCAAGTCTAAGAACTCAAATCTAGTCTTTCTTAATTCTATTTTTCCTATCATGATATGAAAGAGCCTGAACACCCGGCCGAATCCTATTGAACAAATTAGTCCACCACTGATCAAAACATGCGTGAAACATTTTAGCGTTCCAAGGGTTCTTTATAAGAAAATTTAAAATCTGTATTCCACTTATTGTATTATGTGTATTTTGCAATCATGTTTTCTTTGACTATTTCAGAGCTTCACTCGGTGACTTATGTCGTTTTATTTTCTTTTTTTTTCTATGCAAAAAGGGTCGTCTATGTAGAGTTTAAAAAAACCTCGCTGTTAAATGTTTATGGAAAACAGATAAATAGCCCCGCACCTGATCAGAGGTGATGCCAAGGTCTTTAACACAATTAATGTTTACACTAAGGGTAAATTTGTTTTCAACATGCAGGTATAGCTGAGGAATTTGCCTGCTAGAATTTCATTGTTGTTAGCTTACTGAAGGCAATAAAATGATTTTTGGTGGACAAATACGAAGGTTATACTCTTGTGTTGCAGAGGAATCTAACCAAAATAATCTTAACGCCAGTTAAAGGGTACAACTCCTGCAAGCCTTCCTTTAGGACTTTTAAACGCCTGAAGGGTTTCTATCAAAGTGCACTGGATTCAACATCATTGACTATACTCACCGTAAGTTTCAAATGCTCTTTCAGCATATCTGTCATATTATTCTGCGCTGTTAGTCGTGTTTAGCTGAAATCTGTTTACATTAAAAGTTGTCAGAGACAGTATTGTGTTGAAAAGTCTAGTATTCTCTTTTTCAGATCCGGTGACAGATTCATAGAAATCTTGACAGACGCAGAGGAGAGCTAGAAATTCTCGCCTTTTCCTTATTGTTGGTAAATTAAGTTAGCGTGAGGCTGTCTCCAATTATCGTGTTTCAGGAATGTAAGTTTGGCTGTCTTTGAGGAGTAGTATAGACAGCTTCATGATATATCAGCAACTTAATAGGATATATAAATAGACGGTATTATAAGCTTTAGTGCCTGAAAACGTCTCTTTTAGCTAACAAGACGATAATTAAGAACTAGTGTTTGATATTGCAACTGATATTGTTGTGTCCATGCACATTTATGAACTCAAACGTCGGCCAAAGCGTACTTACAATCGAATATTTACTAAAAGACACCTAGACCGCGGACACCTCCCTACTATGGTCAGCGGTCAGTATAGTTGTGTATTGTGCGATATAGGTGTGTAATAGTGTAAGGTACCTTATGATATAATATTCGGTACATTATAATTCCCCATACATGACGTTCCTACCCTTTTAATTCTAATAGTGGTCAAAGAAAAACTTAACAAAACAATTCAATTTCCTATGTATAAAATCCTAAGAAATCAACAGTACTACGGAAAAATCTTTCCAAAGCGGTTCCGTTTAAATGGTAACACCATAGAATTTCATCACAGATTGTAAAAAGCTAGATGATTTTTCAGAATAACGTGCGGTAGGAGAATAATGGCATATACGTAGTCACAAGCAGGCACCGAGTCATACAATCCGTACATTGGGTCGTTTCCCTACATACAGACGTCAATTCGCTATAAAACATGCAGCCATTTCAACTTCATCATGAAGTCGATTTGCCACAAAACGGAAGTTGATTCGCTATGTAATGCAAACACTTTTGTCTGTTCCATTGGTGTCCGTATTGAGGGTGTTAGTAAAGGTAGAAGTTAAAGATAGCCATCACGGTTGCTTTTAAAAGAAGGTGAAAAATCTGGCTCACTTACGTCGGATTCATTGGATCAATTAATATTTGAGAATGTTCACAAGATTTTTCAAACGGTTTTAATCAATAAGAAAAAAGCTAAAACATTTAGGCAGTTAAAATTATGGAAAATTGGAAATAATTGGATTTGGGGGTTGTTGAAAGCGACAGTATGAAGAGAATAATTAGCAGACAAATACCAGATAGTCCACCAACTCAACAAGATGACCATGAGCTTATTAGCGGACCGTAAACTGCAGAGGGTTTATGTGTCATACCGTTTTTTTCCCGATTTTTTTTGTTTGTCGTGTAATTGATGAAATTCCACATTAGGAATTTTTACTAAAAAACATAAGACGATTGTAAGTACTTTCCGGTTTATTGTTTTACCGGTTTCTGCCTGCCAAGCTCCACACTTTCCTATTGTTTTGAGCTTTTTTCATGCCCTAAATGTGACCATTTAAATGTATTCAACATACCGTAGGCTATTTTTAACGTAATGAAAAGCTAGTATACCGTTCAGTGCAAACCCGATTAACGAACCTCCAGGGAAAAGGAAACTGTTTTGAACAAGCGAGTGGTTTGAATTATCTTTCATTACCTTGGGTAGATTTGATCTAAAAATCATAAATAACAGCCAGAAGTTCTCACTACGCTCTACTACGTCTTACATGATGGGTGAAGTTAAAAGTTCTAGAAAAAGAAAAAAATGTGCGATTTTTCGAGAGGGTAATTGGAAATACATCGGCTAAAATTATAAAAGGCTTTAAAATTCCACTTCCTTCGCTCCTGGTTTTACCCTATATTTTCTTGATGTGATATTAGGAAACGGCCACTCAAGTGGATTCATCGAAAAAAAATTAATTTGCCAGTAACTTTTTCATAATTAGAAGTTCTGTGGGGCAAACCTTATTTTATTTAATATACAATAGAAATATTCAGAAAGTGAGAATAACAAAAAGCGCACAGCACGTAAGTGACCCTTCCCTGAGGCAATCATTGGAAAGAATAAATCAAAGAAAATTTAATGTTGGACAACAACCGATTGAACATATCCACAAAAGAAAGTAAAACAATGAATTCTTTTATTTCGAAGTCTTTGTCACTGAATTTAACGTACTGTTTCGCGTCCCTTCAAAATTAAAATAGTATTGATGAAGTTTAACATCAGATACTGGTGGGCGAGACGTTGATCTGACCTTCAGAGCCCGAAGGAATTTTGTAAATTGGTTGGGCCAAACCCGTTTAAGCTTCATCAAAGATAACCAAAACAAGCAATTAATGAGATAAACACTTAACATTTACGAGATGATTTAGCACAGAAAATAGTTACCGGATGCTCTGGATACAGGAACGCGCCAGATGGCGGAAAAGTCAGGATACACAACCGGAGTAGATGATAACAGGGAAGAAATTTCAATCAAAACAAATCCTTCCGCAGAGTATGAAACTTTAGAAGCCGAAAAATCTCCTTCGTCATCAAGAGACGGTACTGACAAAATGATACCTGAGATACGCGTTCAACATTGGTGGGCGACCGGGTACAAAAAGCCTAACACATTTGATGTCCAACCAGTCGATATGTGTTCCACTCTAGCTACAAAGACAGCGATTAAGATTTCTAACAGCAGTGTTGTAACAAGAAGAATAAGCGAAGAGAGTGCCCCTGATGGAAGCAAACTAAAGCCTGCCGAAAGGATGGAGAGGAGGAGAAAGCGAAGTTTTTCACTCGATCCGCAGATTTTACTTCAGTGGGCAGCGACGCACAATGACGTGGAAACGTTGAAAAATTTGTTGGAAACAACGAAAGTGGACGTAAATGAGCCAGGTGTAGATGGCTTTTATCCATTGCATCGAGCGGCGAGTACGGGTAGTTTGGAGTGCCTTCAGTACCTTGTAACGAAAGGCGCTCAGCTTGAAGTGCGCGACAAAGATGGCTCGTCACCACTAGATGCTGCGGTGAGTGAAGGTGAATTTGACTGTGCGAGATTTCTTATAGAGAAAGGAGCAAATATAAATCATATTCGTGATGGTTTTACAGACAAGGACCTGGTTAGAGTAGGAAGAAGGAACAGAGGAATGACAAGTATATGGTGACAGAAAATTGGAAGGGTATAAACGTTTTGAGCTATACACGCGAGAATCTCAAAAGCACTGATGAAAAAGACGACTTTTAGTTTTGGTGAAGATTGCAACAGCAGGGAAACTCTGGGAATTGACTTGCTTCGTGTGAGGGGACATGTGTTAGATAATATCGGTGTTAACAAGTAAATCTATTGAGCAGTGCATGTCTTTGGTCAAGAATTGTTTGCGTATCTCATAAATCAAATTTAACAAGATCCAAATGGAATTACATTGCCCTCTGAGTAGTTCGCGAATTACAATAGCATGTTATGCTCCAGTACAACTGCGTTAATGCTGACTTAAAAGCCGGAAATGTCCGTGAATAATCAAGATAACGACACGAATGGTTCAAAAGTGAGAAATGTTGACCATTTAAATCGTTTACAAGTGTTATTTGTTAATCGGATTTGTAATTTTCACTTGCAGTGGAACTATTAGCCCTTCGTTTTTCATATACGTTTTGCGGTGAAAATAACCGGCAAGACGATCTGTAAATAGAATGAAAAACCATAAATAACTGCAGCAAATTCTAGGGATCAGTCATCTGTGAAATAATATCAACAGAAATTAAAAATGTTAAATTATCGAGGTTTGTACGATAACGTCTAAAACCAACAACTACTTCAATCAAGTGTAATTTGCCTCTCAGGGTGTGATACAAATTCAATGTTCAACTTTTTAATTAAAACCATTCGGTTATCTGTCCCTTCTAACCCAAAGACGCGTATTTTGCGAAGTATTTAAATGTGTTGCATGAGATTCCTGATTTCGATCTCCAGCTTTTAAAGCTCTGTTGACTGATCCACTGAGGACGTCAACTTGATTAACACGCCCTTGAGAGCGCTTATCAATAATAAACACGCAATCTGAAAGAAATACTATATAGGCATCTTTATAAAATAATATTTCGTCTGACAGCTTGCATTTCTCCAATCGCGGTATATATTTCGCAAAAATTTTGCTGTAAACTTTCAAATAGCCTTATTTAATTAAATTCAAATAAAGTAATATCAGGCTGTTTACATTCATTAACGTAAAAAGGCTTATCTTCTTATTACATATCTTTTCTAATAAAGATCGGGCTGCGTGTCAGTAATCTAAAGAGAGAGATTTCGGTCTCGAACTAATGACGTCCACCCTGACGAGAAAGCTAATTATCAAATTGCAGCCATAGTAGTTTTTCTGCCCTAGACAACAACGAATGCTCAGCTTCTAACAAAACAATCTACGAGTTTACGATTTTGACACCGTAATTAAGCACACCCCTTTCCCAGACTTCCTCAGAAAGACGTGTCCGTAGCACAGTCTTGTAAAATATTTGGGTTTTGCCCAATCTATTTTTGTCGACTGAGAGAACAGATAAAACAGGCGCAAGACACGAGTCTAAATGAGACAAACAGGCACCATAGTCCGAATATTTAAGCGCGGTATTACTAGGTTTTCTAAGGGGCCCACTTTCTTTAACCCTCAAAGCCTTAAGAGTGATGAGCGTCAAATTTCTCTTTGTAATATCACTGCTTTTTAAAACAGGGTGGTCATGAGAATTAAGGACATGATCACACAAGATGAATCTAATTGATTCTTCAACAAATTCTCCCCACTTCTTCTATTGAAAACGCATAGGGATAACAAATGGGAATTTGAATTTTGATGTTAGAGTTTAAAGGGTTAACACTAAAACTGAGGAGCTGAGTCACAAAATTTTGAAAATTCAAACAGGAGAAATGCCACAAAACTGAGGGAAACATACAAATAACTGCTCAAGACATTAAAAGAAGGTCTACATCATACAACAAAATACAACAGAAGGCGCGGTTGGTGACTGAACTTGAAGAAGATTGAAACGCATTGCAATTGTGGTTTCTTGAAAACTGGTTTTCTTGTCGCTTGCTCCATACTTATCTGTCACTTTGGAGGTCAATTTAAATATAACTCAGCACCAAAATGATGTGACATTTTTTGGGGGGGCAGGGGGGGTTGCTCAATAAAAATCGATTAATCGCCCAATGTAAGGTAATCCAAGACAGTCGACTTGAATTCTGGATTACACGCTGTGGATTCCGGACTCCAAGTACTGGATTTCGGATTTCAATCGTTAGCAGGATTCCGGATTCCTTGAGCTGAGTTCCCGGATTCCAAAGCCCTGAATTGCGGATTTAACAAGCAAATAATGTTATCATTTATTTTCACATATATTTGTTTTAACCTGATTGTGATCATGACCAAATTTGTCGCATTTATCTCCTCATTGCGATCTTAAAGTCTGCAATTTTTTGTAAACAATAAATAAAACACCACTTCTGTTGCTTTATAATACCTCTTTTTATAATGGGACTTCTACCACAACAGCTCCAAATGCAGATAGAAAGTCAACAGCATCAGCAACAACAACAACGGAACATGATTCAGCATCAACTGATGGCTATGACGCAGCAGTAACAACAGCAGCTGCAGTTGATGTTTTCAAATGTTTATAAAGGTGACAATCAGCAGCAGCAAATGCTCGATTGCAAAATACTGTTGGTTCCATTCGCTATGATGGAGTCTTGATTTTCCCGCGCTTGCTAAATCACCTACTCCCGTTAAACGTATTCAGCCCCAGTACTCACGTACGCGTCCTGAGCGCTCGCGTAATGTTGCCAAAGCAGTCTAGATGTACGTGTACTTAACAGAGATATTCTTAGTTATGAGAGTTCTGTGTTTGTAATATATACCACCAGTTCATTGATCAAAGAATACTCTAACCGCAGTAAATCATACATTTACTACAACGAGATATTCGTAAAGAGACGAGAGTTTTTTGACGACTTGAGAGTTCAGTAAGACATATACTTGACAAAAGATATTCTCACTTGAGAGTTCTTGAGATTCACTGTGTTTATCTCTACAGATAATGATTTTTGCTCATGGTTCTTCTCTCATCTTCAGGAAGCATGATAATTCTTTTCTTTTTTGACTTCGGGACTGCAATGAAAGCGGATGCTCAAACGTTTTAAATCTGTTTGCTTTCATGATTCCACACTGCATATATCATCGGTTTAATATCGTTGGCTATGAAGCAGCTTGAGCACGACATATCTTGAGACGATTAAAATAAAAATAATCTCGCAGATGCTTTAACATCCAACAGTTAAAACTGTTGCCGCTTGAAGGTAACCGTTATGTTGCCTGTGTGACACTCTCGTCCCATCCATGAAAAGCGCCTATTAACCGCAATGTTTGTAGCCTTCGACCGCTAAATATTGAGGCTAACGTTGACAGCCGTAAAATAAATAGTCACAGACATTAAACCCCAGTATATTTAAATGTTCAAATTTACTTGCGCTTGTATTTTCCTAGCATTAACTTTATTCCATCGTTCATACAGAAACAAAAAAATCAGTAAAGCCAAAGCCAGGAGCTTATAAAGCCTGGAGTCAGATTGAAAGAAAAGACTGTATAGTGTACGCTACATTACAAATACTAAACAAGATACAAATCTAAGATTAAATAAGCTTACATGCATGTAGTCCCATAAAAGATACAAAACTAGTGACTAATAAACTGATTATAAGATATAAAAAAGAGGACTGTAGGGTAAATTACAAAATTAATACTGAAACAAGATACAAAACGTAAGATTAAGTAAGCTTACAGGCATGTACTCCTATTAAAGATGCAAAAGTAGTGACAAATCAGATAAAGTAACAATATACCTATCAGAATCCTGCGCTAATTCAGTTCAGGCTTAGCTTACAAGGTAAAGTTTAGGGTTCTTTTTAAAGATAGTGTTAGTAAGGTTGTAACGCACAGTCAAGGGGATATCATTCCAAATAGTCGGGGCTTGAGAACTAACAGCAAATTGATACCTTAAGGGAATTTTACGTAAGTTAAAACGAGAACGAATTGAAAATCATGAAAATCAAGATTAAGGTGGAGGAGCGAGAAAAGAGACGAAGGTAAAAGGCGATTGAAATGTGAGAATACAAAGCAAGAAAGATGGAATTTATTGAATGAATGAAGAGAATATTAAGCTTAATATTAAGCTTAGAGGAAAGAGGCTTAGAACGTGTTCGTGGTGGAGAAAAGGTGATAATACGAATGCTTTCTTTTGGAGTAGATAAAGAGGTTCAAGGTAGGAGGCATATGTAGATAACCAGATGAGATTACAATAGTTGATGCAAGGTGGTAAAGGAGAATTACTTAAGGTTTTTAAATTGATCGAGGGTAAGAATCGTCTCGATTTAGAGAAAATTCCTATACCCTTAGCGACTTATGACAGACGCTAGTGATGTGGGGTTTCCATGAAATGTTTTCATGAATGATAATTCCAAGACATTTATCTCCCTGCACCAGTGCTATAGGGGTGTGATTTATAAAGATGTTTAATTCTAAAGGATTAATCTTTTTACGCCGTGGATGGAAGATGATAAATTTAGACTTATCAGGGTGAACAGTGAGCTTGTTTGCATTAAACCAGGAGGAGACATAAGAAAGCTCTTGATTAAAATGTCCTTGGAAACACCGAAAAAAACTATGAAAAAATATGTTGCTAAGGCGCAATCATTTGTTGTAACAGATAAAAGTTTCTTTGCCAACATTGTGAAAGATATATTAAATAGAGCTTTTCAGTTTGTAGGTTTAGGTGATATGTCTGTAGGTAAAGTAGAAGAGGTATCTAGCTCTAAGCCTTTTCAACTTAAGTGTTCACATCAATATCACACCCAGGTGCATCATGCTATGTTTGTGTCCAAAAAAAATACACCGACTTACATGTTTTTCTTCCCAAAGAGAGGTTTTGTACGTGAATGGCAAAGAAATAATTATAACTGGTTATTTTAATATAAATATGCTGATTGAAGAAAGTTCAAGGAAACATCTCTTAGCGAAATGCCTTAAATGCATGCATTTTGACCAGCTGGTAACTGATATAACAAGACTGGTTAGTGGATCTTGTTTGGATCATGTTTATGCAAACAGGAGCAAGAACACTGTGGACGTGCTAGTGTAAAATTATGCTCTCTCAAACCACCTGCAAACCTTTTGCGGTGCGGAAATATTATAAACTATCAGAGAAAAATAAGGAAGGGTACTGTACAATTAAGTACCGAACATAAAAGGTATTGATAACACAGCAGTTAGTTAAACTCTAGCCAACTCCTCTTGGGACACTGTGTTTGACGATGACGGAAGAGATGAAATACTTGAATCACCAATCACTTTGTGCTGCGAGGGAGATGTTCTTGGTTGTCAGTATTCGCTGGGTTTATTAAGCATGTCTCGTTCTACGCGTAACTGTTGGGATGCTATGTTGCCGTGGCCCTCGACAAGTTTGGCTTCTTCTGCTGGATCCTCTACATCGACCGCTGCCCCGACAACAATGTCCTTGCCTCCGTCGCTGGTTCAGCAGATCGTGGATGCGGTGAAGGCCTCATTAGCGGCAGAAAAAGTGGCGGATCAACCTCCTGTGGCCAGCATTTTGGGTGAATTACAGCCCATAACCGCATCCTCTACTGTGTAGGCTGTTGGGGGTGTTCCGAAGATCTAAGTTCTCGCTCATCACCGTTCGGCGCAAATTCCACCTTTATCATGCCTTTGGAACAGCAGAGTACGAACTTTATCCCTAACCCTCTTCTAGTTTTGCATCGACCTTTTTGTCATGGCCCCAGTTTTGCCCCGGTTCCCGCAAAACTCGTGGGCCAGATCGTCCCTAGGAAGTTCGTCGAGTTAAGCGACTTGTTACAAGCCAACATCGCTCAGTCGGAATCAGAACCAAAGCTGGTCTTTGATAGTCGTATGATCCTGACCAGCAATCCCAAGCGATCTCGCAAGAAAATTGATGACATTGTCACTTGGATGGAGGCTTTCTCCATTGTTGCAATCATGCTCACTTCTTATTGAGTCACTGATGGTCATTTGTTGTACATGATCTGTTTTATTGATTATTATTACTACTGCTATTACTAATTTTTATTATTTTCCTGTTCGATGTCTGGTTTTCCTTTGTAGGCAGTTTTCCCTAACCCTGGCCGAGCTCTTATCCTCGTTTCCGGGCATTCTGCCTCCGGTCTATGTGGTTACTCCAATTCATTTGGACGAATTTGCACTGGACCTTGAGAACCACCCTAGCCAACCACAGTTGTCCTTCGTACTTAACGGTCTAAGCAAGGGGTTTGAGTGGGCTATAACTATCTGCGTATCCTAAATCTGCTTCTAGGAACAAGCCCTCCGCTTATGCACATCCAGATATCGTTGATGCTTATTTGGCAAACGAAGTCTCTATTGGGACAGTGGTCGGGCCCTCCCATTTGGTCGTCGATCTGCACCATACCTCTTTAATTCTGTAGCAGACACGGTGGAATGGATAATAAAAAATTCGCACCAGATCCAGGATTTACTGCACTGCTTTGATGACTTTATCACAGTGGGTCCCCATAATTCTCCCCTGTGTGCTCAGTACCTTGGCATCGTTAAACAAGTCTGTCACACTCTGGGCTTGCCTATTCATCCCTTTAAGTGTGTGGGGCCCTCTTCATTGATGGTGGTCCTGAGCATTGAATTAGATTTGGTGGCTTAAATTGCTAGGCTCCTCACCGATACATTGGAAGCAGCTGGTCAGCTAACTCAGCAGTGGCGTCCCAGGAAATGGTGCAATCCTAGACAACTTGAATCACTGACCAGTCACCTTCAGCATGCTGTCTAATCTGGCCAAATCTTGTGTCGGATGATATATTTGTTGTGCTGCTTTCGTAAGGAAGACTACCCCATCCGCCTGAACTTACAGTTTTCCCTCGACGTTGAGTGGTGGCACACCTTCTTGTCTTCATGGAATGGTGTCAGTTCGTGGCTTTTTCCCGGTATGTCTCCTCTTCCTGACATCGAAGTCGTTTCAGATGCATCTAGGTCTTTAGGGTTCTCAGCACACTTCGATGGCGCACGGTTCAGCAGTTCCCTGGCGGACCTGCTGAAACCTCAGTCTATCACTTATAGGAAATATTCCTAGTTGTTCTTGCAGCTCAAGTGTGGGGAGCTCAGTGGCCTCGACAGCACATCTTGTTTCGTTGCGACAATGAAGCGGAGATGCACATCCTAAATTCTAGGACTTCCAAGGTCCCTGCTTTGATGCATTTGCTTCGAGATTTGGTATTGCCTGCAACCCGTTTCTCCTTCTCCTTTTCTGCCAAACATGTGCCTGGAGTTCACAATGAAATTGCTGATGCTCTGTCGTTTTCGTTGGCAGGTGTTCTGGCGCCTAGCACCTCAAGCAAACCCTCAGCCCACGCCACTCCCGCAGCTGCTCCAGGTTCAGTTAACCTCTCGACTTTGCAGGAACGATGTGTCAGCTTCCTCCTTCATGGGCTAGCCACCTCTACCTACAAATTCTACGCGTCAGCTCAGAGAAAATGTTACAAGTTCTGTGTCCAAGCTGGTAAGCTTCAGGCAAATGGTTCTCCGTGCCCTGCGGATGAATGGACTCTGTGCCTTTCAGCCACCTTCCTGGCTGATTCTCCAAGGGCGGCTTCCATCAAGGTCTACTTGTCAGCTGTTCATTCGCTCCACATAGAATATGGATTTCCTGACTCTTTCCTTAATTTTCCTCGCCTGCAAAGAGTGGTGCGTGGTATTAAGTGTCTCCAAGGCTCTGCCTCGTCTGAACAGCCCCCCCATTACTGATTCAATTATGTTGGTGATTTTATTCTTTTGATCTTGCACTGCCTGATCACTGCATGTTTTGGGCTGCCTTTACTCTGGCTTATTTTGGCTTCCTTCGAGCCTCAGAATTCACGGTCCCTAGTGCCAACAGCTTCCCGCCTTCGGACCATTTGACTCTTCAGGATCTTGCTTTAGACTCTTTATCTTCCCCACAGACCCTGCATGTTCAGATTAAGGCTTCTAAGACTGACCCTTTCCGAAAGGGAACTTCTATTTATATTGGCCTTGGAAAGTATCCTTTGTGCGCTATTCGTGCCGTGGTGTCCTATCTTACTGTAAGTGGGGATGGCCCTAGCCCCCTTTTCCAGCTTCAGTCGGGTCAGCCTCTGTCTCGTCAACTTTTCTCTGTTATTCTTAAGAGTATCCAATCATTAACCTGTTGACAGAAAGAATAAAACTGAATTTACTTTTTAACTTTCAAATCTGAATTCAAATTTCGCACTAAGCCTGGGTTATCTTAACCCAGCTTTGAACAACCCGGCCTTGGTTAGCACCAATCAGCCTTCAAACTACAGGGCCCTGATGACACCACACCCCAGTTGCCTATCAATTCTCATTCATTTAGTCATGTACGTTTAATATTTCAGTGTTAGTCACTTTTGTACGTTTAATATCAGTGAGAGTATAGTAACGCTTGATTTATAAACACCAAAACGTCTTAACTGCATTGACAAAGCAATTTTACAACTGTGAAGAAATACTGTACAACTCTCGTTATAATGGATGATTTACATCACTGACTCAGTGAATGAGCCAGTGGAACATTGCAGTTTCTTTAGCCCTTTTAATATTGGTTAAAAAAACGTATGGCAGAGGTTGTCTGCATTTTGACACAACAGACACAGTCTTGAACTCCTGTATTAACCTTTCACAAGAATAAGGTATGATTTGAGGTATCATTATTATGCTTTTCTTATCATCATCATCATTATTATTATTTAAAACAAGGGTGCTAAAACAGTTCTTACACAGGTGCACCACGTTAGCCACTATTTTAGGTATATCACTTATAATTATTGGTCACGTTTTTGCAATGATTGTGTTTTGCAGCTTTTTGTGAAAAGGATGAAGGTGGCAACAAATGCATGAAAAGAGGTCCTCCACAAGCTGGACGCCAACTTCATGAGCGATGAGGAAGATGGAGAGGATGACCAGTCAGGGCTGTGGACAGTGAGGTCTCCAGCTTGGAGTAGTAGAAGGTTTACGTACTTAATCAACTCTCCCCAACAGAGAGTCGAAGCAAAGTCGTCATCTTCTCATTCAAGCAACCCAAGGGTCCAGGTAGAGCCTTCCGCCCGCCAACCACCCCCAAGTTCGCCTACATGGGCTGTTTCAATTATTACGGAGCCAGAAGCATCACCAGAAGCACCCGAAGATCCTCCCTCACCACAGTCCCTCTCCCAATATTTTTCCCCAACGAGATGGAATGATGATGATGGCGATGATGATGGTGAAGAGGACTGGGCGGACGCCAGTCTCGAGAAAACGGCACCGGCAATTGCTCGACTGAGTTGTAATTTCAATTTTTTGTTTCCTGAATTTGTTTGAGAAAAAAATGAATGTTTTGGATAAAAGATTCAGGTTTTTGCAGTGTTATATTTTCTTTCACAATTATCTTTGAACTGTATTATCGTTTTCGTTTAACTTTTATTGAGAGAGGTATAAGAATTATCATACCGTTTAGAAAACATGTAAAAAAGCGAGCAAACGAGATTTCTTTCAGTCATAAATTCAGAACATTATTTTTATACTGTTAGTCTAATTTACACAAATGTTAATGTTTGCCTAAGAGTTGTTCTATAAAGACATGTAAATAAATATCTCTTGCGATTCAAAACCTTTTTTTTTGGCTGATGTGTAGGGCAAATAACGTTGAATACCCATTGGGTAAGACAGGGTGGTTTAAAGAACGAGTGAATGGTTCGAACAGTTTAGCAATCATCTCCAGTAAAATACTAATGCCGTTAATAATGTCCCTTAAACGTGCAACGTAATTAAAGCCTGAAAAACATATAGTGAGATATCAGTGGAGGAACAACACGGGATCCCTTTTTCAATATCGTGCATCGAAATTTAAAGTAACGCTGAATTTAATACAATTTAAACGCCTTGGAATATTTGAGTTCCATAGAGCTTCATTGAAAAACTAAGCATTGGAAATTTCGTGAACCGTGGAATTTCAGTGCTGTCAAAACGCCGGTATTTCATGTATCGTGGAATTTCAGTCAAGTGAAAACAGTGGAATCTCCATGTACCATGGAATTTCATGGCATTTTACGGCATGGAATCTTCATATTTCATTAACATTTTGAAGATAAATCAGAATAACGCCATCCGTATCGTGGAAATTAATTGAAAGTGAAAAGCAAACCTTTGTTGTCGAGGGGTTGCTATAAAACTTTTTCATCGACGATACTCCATAATACTCGGCATGTCTAGAAAAATAAGGACGTTTTCAGGACTTGACACGTGGCGTTTCAATGACGTGTCCAGACACCGGATATTCCATGCCGCGGAAGAAGTTCGATTCAGGAAGAATACGGGTCCTGATACTCAATGTACACGCTGCGTGTCCGGAACCCGATATCCCTCCACATTTCCGTTGTTCAAAAGAATACGGGTTCGTTTCAATTGACATCGGGACCATGGCACAAGCTATTTCACACAGTTTTGGTTACCATGGTTACTTCCAAGGCAATACTCCCCTTTTGCTCTTTTGGCCCTTCCACCTTTAAGGCACCAAGCTCCTCTTGTCAATGAGTTTAATTGTATTTTTACCTCCCAGGCGCACTTTGCAGAAAGAAATTTCATCTCAATTGCGTATTTGCTCCTGTATTTTTGTACTAAAACCACCAGAAAATCGATTGATGTAGGTCTTTGTCATGTTTGTGAACAATCACCAGCGAGTCGCATTGAAACTTTGTTTGTGTTTTTTAGCCTTTCCGGAAGCAAAAGGGTTTACAGGTCAAAAAGATGCTAAATCATGACCTGTTCCGCCCTTTATTGTCTTTTTGCTCTGTAGTGATTTGTCTCGAAACATTAGTAACTGTTGGCTCAATTTTACTTTGTATGCATGTAAAGGAGATGGAGTGGTCACACAAACATGATTTGGCGCTGTGCCTAGAAGCGTCAGTTATGGAAACCTACCAACACACCTTTAGAAGCAAGGAAAGGGGAGATGTATGGTACCAGATATCTGTACACCTAAGTGGCCTTGATCATACAAAATTCAAAGTCAATAAAAGGTCCGCGAGAAACAGACTGACCATGCTAATTACCAAGCATAAAGCGAAAATGCGAAAAGAGGAAAAAGCCTCTGGAATCACTTGCGAAGAGACCAAACTGGACCAAGCTCTAGAAGAGATAATTGACAAGAAGTTGGTCGACGAAAAAAGTTCCGAGGTAAAGATGATTGAACACGTCATTCGTATTTCCTTTGTTTACATGGGAAAATCGTCGTCAACAGCAGCGTGCGCTTCACTCTCGAATTTGCCGTGAATGACGTTCCTGATCCAGTCATTTCAAGGCGCAGTTCGTCGTTGTTGTCTCTTTCATCGTCAAAGCTTAAGGTCCCTATTAATGCGCACATTAAGACTTGCTGAAAGTGATGCAACAGCTTGTAGACTACTGAAGAAAATACACTGTCCCAAATCCACTGGATGTGTGTATATTCTTTTTTCTGTCCTCTCTCAGCACAGGAGATGTGTATCCCATGCAATTATTCACGCTAAACACAAGCTGCAAGACATTGTAGATGAAAGGTTGCCACTGAAGGAGTTCAAGCAGAATTTTGAAGCAGAGAATAGACTTGCGACCCTAAAGCTTACACCAACGGCATTTCAATTCTAGCAACAAGAAAAGCTTCTACTTCGATTGATCAGCGTTTAAGCAGTGCCCTCCCAGTCCTTAGTGCGTTTGCAGTTTGATGTTATGATGGTTCCACCTCCAGAAAGTGTGAACTTTAAGGATTTTGGGCACACATCGAGAAACTTGCTGAACGTTTCTACAATGAGTCCAGTCTTCGTTGTTAAGTGAAGAAGCAAGGTTACCAATGTATTGGATTCAAAAAGCATAAAAAATATTGCCCAGACCACCTTTGCAAAAGCAAAAGCCCCCATACTAATTAATAAGTGCTTCTGGATTTTCTTTCTCTCCGTTTTACGGCTTGTATTTTCCGAGCACTTTTCCTGCGCTCCTTGTAACAAAAAAGACTCTGAAAAACAAATGGCTTCGAGAGGCAGTCCGTAGATCAGATGCTGACTGCTGCTTTACATTTCCGTATTTACTAGGCATTTATCCAAAATTGTAAAAGAGAATTATGAAATTTTCAAGCATCCAAATTTACTACATTCTAGGATTCTCCTAGTGAATTATGTGTCAATTTTGCATGCTTATCACCACAACAAACACTGGTGCTTGTATTAGGTACAATTTCAGCACGTGTTAACGTGCGATTACATGAGCTCATTTTAATCCGAAGTTTTGTCAACCCCATGCATAATGGCTTAAAGCCAGCTTAGCCCCTTCAAGTGTATGATAACGATCCTTTCGAGGAGAAAGCAAATCTATATCTTGCAATACAATTTATTATTATTGGGCCACCTGGAGTCGGAAAGTCCCACGCAGCCAGGCATCCCTGCCAAATGCCTTTGAAAGAGAAACTTGAAGGGGAAGATGAACAAAGTCTTCTGGACATATGAGCTATATTCAACTTCATTACCGCCTCATTGCCAAAAAGGCCACTAAAACAAATTCATGTTCGAAACTAAAAAGCAAATATTCACAGCAATTGATGTTCGACCATTCCTTCCAAGAATTCGGAGAACAGCAGCAAGCTTAAGACCCGACTCTTTTGCTGATGTTCCAGTTGTGGAAGAACGCGACGGAAAAGAAGGCAATGGATTGCGAAGACGACGAAATGGAATCAAAAGAGATCGAAGATGAGTAATAGAATTCAGTGGCATTGCTCTAAGCAGCTCTTCCATTTGAATGCAAGATATCACTAAGACCACCTAAAAGAACCCTAAAATGAAGCCTTGGATGTCGATGAAGCGAATATAAAAGGAGTTTGGGTTACAGTTAGGGTTACCACCTGCTTGTCACAAAAAGCCACCATAACAAATTAATGTTCGAAATTAAAAAGCAACTATTCACAGCAACTGAAGCTCAACCATTCCTTCCAAGCATTCAGAGAACTGCAGCAAGACTTGCTTGCACAGTCTTTAATCCTGTGTGATGCACCTACAAATCTGATGGCCCGTAGAGTAGTTGGAGATGGAAACTACCTGTATTATGCTATTTCTGTGTCACTTGTGGGAAATACGGAATACTGAACCATTACGTATTTTAAACCGTTGAGTCTTCGCACACCATATTCGTTTTTTTTTAACAAGCCCTTTTGACTGTTTTTCGCCCCAAAAGAAATGCCACCATGTCAACTATCCAGAGTGAAGCGATAGGAGGATGCCAGTTAGGCAAATGGTCATCCTTGTTGTACATTATGGCCTTTGCAACGATGACAAGGAGGCCAATTTTTACCATTTATTCTAAATGCCTGAGGCTATCCGTTATCTGTTACAAGGTAAGGTAAAACCACCTACTGGCATGTCAAACAAGGTTGCTGATTAAGATTGTTTCTACATTTTTGTTGTCAAAGGATGGTGGATTAGACACCCGCCCACATTCACTTTATGTCCAGAATCACTTTGTTCCTCTTTTTGCAAAGAGGCAAGAATAGGATTTTGCTCACACAAAGAAAATCTACTCGGTCTCCAAAATTGATGCAATGCCTACCAAAACAACCGCCCGTCATGAGAGATCGCTCAACCGGGAAGACCTCTGGTTCAAAACAGTCGTTAACAATCAATTAATTCAGTTTTCCTTGGTGACAGAATGTACCTACCAGTACTCGAAATTCAATGATGGATTATTTAAATACATTGATATTTGTAAGCTTTTAACATTTTTTAGATGTAGTTTAACATGAGAGTGGCTCATAACAATTGTATACTGGGCTAGACCTCTCATGCTCTGGGCAAGTAAAGTAGCAATACCAGCCAGCTCTTGACTAAAACGACTTCAGGAAATTTGGAGAGCCCTGATCAGGGAGTATTTACGTTTTTTCCATAATTTTTTTCTGACATGTATCTTCCAATGTTTCTTCTAAGGTTTCATCTTTTTTTTCATATTGCACATACTAAGAATTCCTCACTTGTAACATCAAGTTGTGCAGGAATGTTTTTATGTATGTTAGAGTGGCTTTCTTCTCAGGTCTGTTTTATGATGACATGTAGCCTAATCACAGCCATACAGCTAGAGCTGCTGAATGACCAAACCACTCAAGAATTTGTCAAGAGCTTAGTCACAGCCAGAAGGAAAAGGCCTCAAAAGGCATGTTCTGAGAATGGAAGGAAATTTGTTGCTGTTGCAAGATGGTTTTGAGGCAGTAGTATCAAGGATGAGAGCATGCAGATTACCTATTCCATCACTGCATCTGATGGCAGTTAAGACTTGGCAGGGTCCCTTGGTGGGGTGGTCAATTCAAAAGTCTGGAAGAACTTGTGAGACACACCCTGTACAAGCCAATTGGGGGAGCAAACCTGACCTGGACCAAACTAAAAAAGTACTTATGGAGGTCAACATTGGACAAAATAATTAATGATAGATAGTTTATTAAAATATCGAACATGGCAGTCCGTAGACTGAATTGCGTTACAATTACTTAAAACTAAGATTAAATAAATTCCAAAAATATAAATACTAACTGAAATTATAACAAAAAACATTTCTATAAAAATGCGAAAAACTCTCTCTATATAACTATGTACAAACTAGTCTAAAAAATTATGTACACATACTTGGAATATAAGTGTTCTTAAAACGATTTGTATGTGTACGGGGCATGGCATAAGCCCTGGACTGTCTTAGATTATGTCTGTGTTCTCTCTTAGGAGGTAAGACAGGCACAAGTTTGTGATCCGGGCATGACGTGATAGACTCGAAAAGCTTGCTACACAGAGCCACGCGTCTAGCGTGCAAGGTTACTAAATCGAACCTGACCAAACATTCTTAATAATTAAATCTTTAACTTACTTATGTAGCATATCTGTTTCATAATCAGTAAAAGGAAAAAAATTGAAACACCAATTGAACTACTTCAAAACCTTCAATGCCACTTTCCTTTGTCAGCCTTAACGAATTCCCAAAACAAGTTAAAAAGTATCATACTTTGTATTGTACATATTATTGCATCAGTGTATCAAGATATGTACCGTATTGTGAATACTTATTAAAGCACTAAGCAATATGCTGGGCCAGGATATCTTTACTTCATACTGTTAATGCATCAACACGTAGAAAGCAGGTTTGTAATCACATTTCATTTTATAGCACATAATTTATATGTGTATACCTCCTCTTTCTTTATTCATTAGTATGCAGGGTTCTTTTGGCTACATGGCGGCTGAACACAGCGCTCAGATGTTACCTATCAAATTGACATAAATATTTCTGTAGAAGGGAAAGAATGAGACAGAGCAGACCACATCACTGCTTTACCAGAGAGTCTATGCCTTTGAACTAACATCCAAACAGCCCATGAATATTTTACCAAAGGCAGAAACACGCAGGCCCAACAGAAGCCTTAAGAATATGCCACACCAATGGATAAAGTTTGGGCAAGATAGGACTTGCCAAATTCCCCTTATGCTCCATTTTAAGGAGACCAGTTTAAAGCAAAGATTGCCAAGGAGGCCACTTCAATCCTAAAGTCTACATTTAAAGTAGCTGGTCAAGCACAGGCTGATATAAAACCAAAGCCTGGGGGGGGACAATGGGCAAGGACAAAATTAGAAAATTTGTGGCTGCTGTGGACATTCGACACTTGCAACTAAACAAGGCTTCCTCAGGTGCCTTTTTTGTACATTACAATCAAGGACATCAAATTCCCAGAGGTGGAAGGCATGTAAAGCCTATGTGATTTAGTAGTGTGGGATATGGTGCAGGCCTTTTTTTGCCTGTAATTTCTTTGATGTTGAAATTATACTGGAACGGAATGCTGCAAACTGCACATGAATCCCAGGCCATATCTGAGATTTTGGCTCTGGCATTACTCATGCTATTTAACAGATGTAAACTTTGTCTGCATTTTTTTACACTTTATCTCTTACTTTTTTCCTCACACTATTAACTTATTCACCCATTTACATGCTTATTAGCCAACCAGCTATATTTGAGAATATATAGCGTGAGTCCTAAGGAACTATTGGAGTGTCACACTGTTACTTTTGTTAATCCCAAATCTTTTGCCACCATCAATCTCTTTCCAAGTCATAGTTTATCATCATACGCAGTGGATTGAGTCCTTTATTGCCCTCCTTGATCAACAAAAACAGCATCTTCAACTTTGCCTGCACCGATCAGTCACCAGCATTTGCCAATTTTGACATTGAAAAATAATTATAGCTCTTTTATTGGTTTTCCTTCAAAGATACCGATAGGTTTTGTTAATTTGCAACTTCGCCGCTTCACCTGTGCAAATCAAATGCACAAATAACAGCGGAAACCAATTGTGGAATTCCACACTCTTTAGGCATCCTACAGATGCACACGTAAAACTTATCAATATTTTGACAACAATTGCGTTTTGTCCCGTATGAAAATACTTACTACCATCACAGCCAATACCACCTTAATGTCCTGCATATTCCATTTCTCTCCTTCAGTGCCACAGCCAGAACTACCACTCAAAAACTGAGTTTCAATACAACAAGAATACATAACCTACTTCAAAACTTTACGGACCACTACACAATGCGCTTAAACATGCAGGTATGATAAATATCACATACCCCCACTCTTTGTTTCAAACTCGCCTCCAGTGTATTATTATCATCATCATCATCATCATCATCATTATTATTACTTACTTACTTACTTATGTAGTTTCGCTCTGTGTCCTTGAACAGCAGCTATTTTTTCTTTTTGTGTTCAAATTTTACCCCACTTCCCACAGCAAAAACGTAGCCAGGTCTATCACATCCCTTCAGTACTTACTTAAATTTGCGCCCACGTTAGACGAAATTCGGGGATTTTGTAGTACAGTGATCAATTGCAGCACTGAAATCTTTTAAAGAAAATCTATCAACAAATTTTGGTTTAATCGCTGTTTTCCTGAAAGTAGCCTTTGAAATTACAATACATGTTTTCGTGTTTTTTGAAATCGCGCAAGTCTACTTGCGTTTAGTCGGTTTTAGAGCGTATGAGGGTCATTTACAGAGCGAATGAGCAATAAAAACGTTTTAGAAATAACCAAAAAGTAGCAAATTTGTCTGCATTCAGTCCAGTCTCAGTTCATGCATAATTTATGCCCTTTTTCATAGATTTTTGTGAAACTTCGCACAACACAAGGCAAGCACCCAAGGTGTACGTAGTGTCAAGCATTTCTAAAGAAAATGCCAATAAGTTCTGCTATTCGATTTAGAGATAAACCTATTGTGACGTCATTGTCACGTGATATTTATTCCAATCGCCCAAAAAATAGTATCATAATAAAGTTTAGTTTATGTGTAATACATGTGTTATAATGGTTTTACAATAAATGTAAATTTGTCTAAGAGATTCAAAGATGGAAGGGGCACTTACAAAAACACTGGGTAAAGCCACCTTAATGTATCGGTGGAACAACTAGTGGCCTGTGGTTTAAGCGAAATTAGTTTGCAACTGGAATTTCAACGTTTAACAAAAGAAATGACACTTCAAAACACCAAAGGAAATGACACAGGCACGGAAATCTTAACCATCTCTTCACACAGTGGTGGGAGCATTGACAGTGTCAGAGTGAGACAGTGAAACCAACTCGAAATGCGTTGAAAAGTATGTAGAACTGACCTTGGCCAGAAGATCTACAAAGCAAAGTAAGCAACTTGTATTCATAATTTAATGATGTCAACTTGTTTGCACTCAAGCTTTTGTGAGCTTATTCAAAGAGAAATATAGTAGTTCACAAGCCAGTGCACTTGCAGTTAAAAGACCACTCTTCTGGCTGTGAGAGATCGCCTCAATTAAGTTAAATAAAAATGCAAATTTATTCCTTCTTTGTAATTAAAAGCTTATACTGGAATGAACCAAGTTCTTTTTCTTTGTCATGGAAAGGTCATTTTCTCGTTTATAGTATTAGGTATACACGTAATAAAAAGGTGAATGTAAGCTAAGTTTTAAGTCAAAAAGTATAATTTTTTAAGCTAAGTTTTTCTATTCTGTACCTTTGTGTCCCTTTACTACAGTTTTAACCTTAATATTGGATATTTATAATGCACAGAAGAAGACCTGTTCAAGAAAAACTTGTGCAGAAATGGCTAGGGAACAACATTCCAATTTTCCGGAAAAATGTAACAGCTTTAAAAAAGCTTGAGGAATTGGTTGAAGAATTAGCTGGGTCATGCACTTAAGAACCTGCTGAATCCAATAAGCAAGGAATAAGACAAAACATTTTGAATACCCTCAAGGTAACTAGCCTTTTGTTGGGTGGGGAGATCTAAACACAGCCTTAATATATCTTTCGCAAGTGGCTTGCTCGCATCGTGCAAACTATTTATTATACAGGTCATGCACAGAGATGCTTGGATAGATTTTTCAGAAAAAGGTTTGACGCCCAAAATTTGTGAAGAGGAAATGCAAGATCGAGAATAATGACAAAGAAGAAATACAGTTTCAAACACTACAGGCATATGAAAGGCATATGAAGAAGAAAGAACTTTCCACCAAGAATCGGAAAAGGTATTCACCTGGCTGCAGTTCGATGAGTCTAAAAAAACAACGTTTTGCAGTGTTTATGGTGAATTCCCACCCTTGGATGATAAACTTTATAATTTGGTTAGTAAAATTTATTCCCACTAACCCGAGGGTTTGTTATCCAAAAAATAAATTTCGAGCCCTGAATATTAGAAGTATCACAAGAGGCCAGCTTGCCTTAACCAGCAAGACTATAAAACTCCAACTGAAACCTTCTCTAACCAAACATGGGTTGGGTTATTGCTTCCAGTCGCCAACGGTCTCATTACAGCAGGATACATAACAGTCAAGAAAGAAAGTGGTCTTATCCTTATGCATGAGGACATTATTTCACATAAAGGGTATTTACTAACTAGAACCTCTATGTCGTTTTTTGTCGCGTCACGGACTGGAGTATAATGTAATTTGAGGGGCTTGAACCACCTGCATTTCATTAAACCAAGTGCTTTTGGACTGGCCATGTTGTGTTGTTGACTTTGCAGTCTCTCCTTAAACTAATTCACTCGCTTTTCTAACTGACATTGATGCTGAGTCCAGGATATGGAGGACCTACAACGCAAGGTAGCATCAAGGAGAGGACACAGAGCGCATTTGACCAAACTCCAAAACCAAATGGAGGATACAATGGCCAGAGAGATTGATGTGGTACAAGGAGCAACAAATGGTATTTACATGGGACAACTGGAACAAAAGCGTCAGAAGTTATCTCAATTGGACTCTGAAATCGCTGACCTCATTCAAAAACTGGTAGATCTTGAGCAGGAAATTCTAGAATCCGAAGAGTTACAATGTGCGATCACGGGACAGATTTGCCGAGTGAAAACATTCCTCGAGATCTCACAAACACAGCAACTGGTCGAACCTACAGAACAAAACATACAACCCTCCAGTCGAATCATCACGACACAGTCGCCACAATCTGCTGAATGAGAAAGCAACTTTCCATCACAAGGAGCAGCGCTGGACACAAGCATGGTGAGTATACAGGTTCAAATTCAAGTACAGTTCAAAATATTAGCCCCCTTCACAAACTCATCCTCACAACCTTTAATGGAAACCCTCTCTACTGGCAATCTTTCTGGGATTCATACCGAGCGGCGGTAGATGACAATCCTTCGTTAAGTGACATTCAGAAGTTTAACTATTTAAGGGCTCAATTACTTGGGAATGCTATGAGATCTATTGCTGGATTTCCACTAACCAATGCTAACTACTAAAGAAGTATCCAGATATTACGAGAGCAATTTGGTCAACCCCACCGAATTATTAATGCCCGTATGGAAGCAATGCTTAATTTACTCAATTGGTCAGCCTTCAGCATTTTTATGACACATTGGAAACCCACATACCTGGTCTTGAAGCGTTGGGGAAGTCACAAGAGTCATATGGAGATACTTTAGTACCAATCATTCACAAAAAACTGCCCGTAGAGTTAAAGAAAAGCCTTGCTAGAGATCATAGTAACAAGGAGTGGGCATTATATGAGCTTAAAGAAGTAGAGATACTCAAAGCAGGTCGAAGTAACTCAGATCTTCCCGAACTTCCCAATAACCATAGTTAACTGGGAAATTCCTGTTGTCAACAGGTGATCACATTGCGCATGCGCGTTCAAGCCATTACCACATAGTTTTGCCCTTGTGGCTTGCTTGGAGTTGCCTTGTTGCTGTTTGCCTTTTGTTAGTCTGTTTGGCTTCGATTCGCCGGATTATTACTGGGCTAGTTTGGTTTTTTGAGGTCAGCAGAATTCACCGTCCCCAGCCTTTCAGCTTTTAACCCTAGCCATCATTTATCTGTGCGTGATATCGCTGTGGATGTTCCTCTTAATCCGTCTTGCCTCCAAATCTGCATCAAAGCTTCTAAAACTGACTCGTTCCGGAAAGGGCGCAACATTTTGATTTGGCCTGGTTCTCCTCCTTTGTGCGCAGTTCAACCAGTTGTCTCCTTCCTTGAGCGTCGGGGTAACTGTCCTGGCCCCCTGTTTCTTTTCAAAAATGGCCTTCCTTCGTCTCGCTCTTTACTTACAGACAGATTAAGAGCTATTCTTCTCAATGCTGGTCTTGCCTGACGATTTTTCAAGTCACAGTTTCCGAAATGGGGCACCACTTCTGCTGCAAGGGCTGGTATTCCGGATCACCTTATCCAAGTTTTCGGCCACTGGAAAAGCAATGCTTACAAACAACATATTCAAACTCCTCCCGACCTCATAACTCGCGCTGCCAAATCAATGGTGGATTAGTTTGGTGAGTGTACTTTTATTTAGTGTTGCTAACTGCCTTTTTTTGGCCACTACTAGCGTTGTGGTAGCATCTATTTGCCTTTGCCAGTTGGAAGCCTTGGTTTCTTTAGCTATTACCTATTGCCCTTCCTGCCAACTCGCGTTTCCTGGCCACCTTACCTTGCCTGGAAGGTAGTGCCTCGTGCTAAGAGAGTCTTTGTTTGGAGGGTCGGGCCTCGTGGCACGGCTGTTTCGCAATGCAAATTTATTTTACACATGTGGTCTAGCAGAACCATCTGGTTAATTATTACATTCTCAAGTTAATACCGAATTAAAACACGCACATATTTTAGCGTCCATGATAACCTGAGGGCCTCTACCTGTTTTAACCCATGAAATCTCATCATTTATGTAATGTATGCATGCGAAATTTATCAGTGCGGACCTTTGGAGATCGACAGAGCAGTTTTTGTCGAAAATTTGAGGAAAAATAATCAAATTGTGGTCTTTTTCGACAAGATCGCGTCGCCACGGTGGACTAAGCTATACCGGCGTGAATATCTACACAAATGTTTTATTCCAAATTACCAAGGCCCCGAATTTTATTCAACATCACAAGAGTAGAGGAAGAAGATGTGAAACCTTCCTCAAGAATGTACGGAGGTAAGTGATTTAATCCGAATTGTTTGAACACTCATTTCAGGCGTTTTTAATATATGAAGATCAGCCGCGACTGAGTCCATTTTGAATTTCTGAGATAATGAGCTTCGAACAGTTTACACAAAAGACGCAGTTTGAGTTTTAAACAGTGGCATTTATATAATAAACAAATTTATAAAATTTGGCAGTTACGTTACTTGTACACTTCGAGGCCTTCTGATCCAGATGCAGAGTATTAGATTGCGAAGTTCGGACATGCCCAAAAGCAAAATATTGAGAGATTTTTGGGGTTTACAAGTGACACAGCAGTCTTGACTTTTCCCCTCTTTTTTCGCTCTCCTTGCCTCACTTTTTCTCTCTTGCTGGGCGTTTAGTAGGTTTCATTTTGGTGGGAAACGTTCTAAGGAAAGCTTTTAGGATTTTAGGATTAGATGAAAGGAAAGGTAGCTGGGTAGTGGAGAAAGATTTTCATAGAAATTTTCAGGTCAATGTTACAGGGTTTTTTTGCCTTTTCCACCAGTGTCATTTACCGAATTGTGCTCATTCTGGTTATCCTTGACCATTAAAACTGAAAACATTACAAGCGGTTGAAAGGACGTGGATCCGCACTGGCGGTTACGGGAGGCTCAGGGGCAAATGGGTTAAGGCCTGCTACTCACCGTAATATTTATGTTGCTGACTTTAGAAGTGTTCTGCTGGTACCGCACAGCCAAGAAAATAGTTCAAAGTTCACGTATCCCGCACAAAACTGAAACAACAACAGAATAGCTCTTAAATGGTCAAAACCTAAACAGTTAAACCTTCCACGCAATACATTCTGGGAAATCAGTGTTCAAATTGGGCAAGACAAAAAAAATGTTAAACACAACTCACTCCTCACGGGAGATATGAACTCAATAAATTGACCTCGCTCCCAATGTGTGGCTTCATAGCTCAGTTGGTAGAGCAACGCACCGGTAACGCGGAGGTCACGGGTTCGAATCCCGTTGAAGCCCTGATTTTTTTTCAGGCTTCTTCTTTCCAATTGCTTAAATTGGAAAATTTACTGCGACTTTCATCTTCAACCGCAGTTTAAATATGAATTATTTCATATACATCCCATCATTTCACTCCTCACGGGGGATATGAACTCAATAAATTGACCTCGCTCCCAATGTGTGGCTTCATAGCTCAGTTGGTAGAGCAACGCACCGGCAACGCGGAGGTCACGGGTTCGAATCCCGTTGAAGCCCTGATTTTTTTCAGGCTTCTTCTTTCCAATTGCTTAAATTGGAAAATTTACTGCGATGATCATTGTTCACTTTTATCTACAACCGCAATTCAATTATGAATTATTTCATATACTTCACATCACAATCAAGACAATAATACATGGTCTTAAATAAATATTTGGTAACAATCATACATGTGCAAAACCACAAACTTTGATTTCAATGCAACCTCAATGCCTTGTAAACTCACCATGATATTTATGTTGCTCACTTAGAAGTGTTCTGTTGGTACCGCACAACCAGGACAATGGTTCAAAGATCAGCACGTCTGCTTTTCGCAGAATTTCCCACTTGCGATAGAGAGAGATTCCGCACACGCTGGTTCAACAATCGAGGACTGTATGCTTTCGTACAAATCTGACTTTATTCTTCACAATCCAACATTACACGTTCCGTTCTACGATCAATTTCAATCTAACTAAATTCTAAAAAATGCTGCGTATATTAATTCCGGCGTGGTCACAATAAAAACGCGGTCCGTTTAACACCCAGATGCGTAATTCCGGCGTGGTACTAGAGTAACAATAATCAAATGTGGTCCTAGATAAAATTTCAGTTTTGCTCACGTTTAACATCGATTCGTGGTAAACACTTGAAAATTTCAACTAATACCCATATATTAAGTACCCCCGGGGTGGGTTTACTTGACAATCATGGTGCTAATCCTTATGTGCGGTTAAGCTAGTAATACCCGATTAAATACAACATTGATTAATTCTAATTATCTTATCCCACGATATTTCCTGTTACAATCTAAACATCTGTTTTAGCGGTGGCGAGATAATGGCTTACTTTATCAACTACTGAAAATTCAATGAAATAAGAAAATACAATCATAAGCATCCTAACGTTTCACAACACTGCTGCACAAATCTGAAACAACAAGAGAACAGCTCTTATTGTATTAATTTTATCATATATTAAACATTTGAACCTTTTGGGCAAATCAGTGTTTAAATTTTGCAAGACAACAAACATTTTACACACAATCAAGACAATAATACAAGACCATGTATTTGGTAACAATCATACATGTGCAAAACCACAAACTTTGATTTCAATGCAACCTCAATACCTTGTAAACATAACCTGTCCTTGCACTTTAAGGTTTGCTACTCAATGTGATATTTATGTTGCTCACTTAGAAGTGTTCTGCTGGTACAGCACAGCCAGGGCAATAGTTCAAAGATCAGCACGAGTGCTGCACAAATCTGAAACATCAACAGAACAGCTCTTACTGTATTAAATGGCCATATACTAGAAATACACGTATCGCAGAACCTGGCAAAGCTCCGGGGGAGGCCCATAAAATGTCAGGGATGGAAGGGGAAAGAGAATTGGATTAAATTGTGTAACTTGGGATGGTGGTTTTCAGCACTGGTTCTGATATTGGAAGGTGAGATGTACATAATCTCCTTTTGGTTGGAGTAAATTGGAACCCAGTACTCTGTCATTAAAAAGGATTTTCTGGGATTTAAATGGGCTTGGTGTTGTTAACGAAGGGTAGTCAATGTTTCATGGGTCCCGTGTTCACCCCATTTGACTCTCCTGCATTTGTAGTTACCGGTATAGTCAACGACAATGGGTGTGATAGTGAATCACTGCAGGCGAATATGCAGCTAACCCATGCTATCTTTAATGTGTAATAATAATGACATGTGAGTAGATGAAATGGTAGGAGATAATGCTGCAGTGAAAATAACAAGTAAATTCTGGTAATTGGAGACAAAAATATTTATTGTTAAGTGAACTACAGCAAGAGAGTGTTTGCACTTGTTGTAGTACATATTACACTTGACAACTAATTGTTTGTAACAGTAAAGTGCAAATTAACATAATCACTTACACTAAAATACATATACCAATGTGATATTTTTCTTATTTCACCCCGATTTTTGCCTTTTTCTCCCACTGTGGAGCCTGCTCCCAGGATGTGTCATTAAGGATGCAATTGAGGAGAATTATGAAAATGATCATGACTCATGATTATTGAATATGTGGTACCCTCATTAGCTCTGAATTATCCCTGTAAAAGATACTGAATCATTTATGGAAGTGTTTATAGTTAGTTGTGTACATGCATGAGAAACAAATACTCATGCAAGAGTGAATTTGTATGAAATGTCCACATACAAGAAATGTTGACGGTGATCAGTATTTCAATTCTCAACATGCATGGGCTTGTTGAGACATGGGCGCCAGAGGCATAGTTTTTTAAATTCCTAGACTGACAGTCAAATGTACACTTTCCCTGACCAAATGAATTGACAATTTGTCCAGATATTAATGGATTCCAAATTCCAGTCAAAACTTCGTGTACTGGACACACATGATGTAAAAGAAAAGACTTCTTTGTTTTCTGTTCAGGGAAAATCCGCTTGGTATTGTTTCATGGTTTTGTGTTCTTTTGTTTCGTGTCATCTGTGTCCAGTACACAAAATAACCACAAATAACTCCCACCACAACCATCCTCTCCACTTATTCATTACATGAATTTATCATAAAGTGCAGAATGGATTGATCTTATAGGAAACCCATATCCACTTGTCGTTTAATTTCTTAAAACAATATTCTTCCAATGGAACATGTTTAACTTCGGTGAATATGCAGGAATATGTCACCTCCCACTGACTTCTTTGAAAGAGTTAAATTTTCCCTGACTTGTACTGAAATTCCCTGACTAGTTAAATTGTCCCTTACCGGGAAAAGAATTAATTTTCCTGGCATGGTTGTGAGTAGACCTGAAATACAGATGTTGTTTTCGAACATCAAATAGGACTGAAAATATGAGGTCAGCAATTAAATAAATTTTTGTTATGCTTGACTTAGAAGACACAGCTGTGTTTATGTATAAGGCTGCTATACAAAGATAATATATTTTCTTTGGGATGGTTTTGATGTTGCCTGGAAACAAAAAATGCTCCATGACATAATGCTACATGACGTCATTGGCGGACACCAAGCATATATTCATAGAAAGATACATAGAAATATGGGGAATCCAATTTTGCAGCTGACTTAGACCACACGAGGTAAACGCGATTCGCGGTCTCATGGGAAGGGAAGAAGGAAAAATAGCGGTCTTCCCTTCCTATAAGGCCCCGCGCGCGCCTAAACGTAATCTCCAATCTTCTCTCATCCCAAAAAACACTTAAATAGCGACTGGATACGAGTCTGCGTGCACGGTACTCGAGACTTGCTATTCACTTGGTATATCGTGCACCAGAAGAGACAGAAGAGTAGCGCCAATAACATTTTACTAACCGCTGCTTGAAGAACTAAACGTTCTTCTAGCCAAGCAATGCACAAAAGCACTTAAGTCAAACTACGCTGCAGAAGGAGGTAAAGCAAGCTTGCAGTCACCGACTTATGTGCACTCAGGCCTTCTGACAATATCACACAGAAGACGAGGCTAGCCTGGCTTCGCAAAAAGCGTAGTGCTACCAGACACCACCCTATCGTAAAATCGACAAAACGGTTAAAATGTAAATAACAGTTGTTAAAGTATAAATACCTCATAAAGAGTTGTGTCTGTTTTGTTTTCTTACTGTTTTCTGCCCTATAGTGTAAACGCCAAGAGTTAAAATGTTTTGGTTTCTTGAAGAGGATCAGATTAGGGACAACTCGGCTGTCCTACGCTGTCCGAAAAAAGCTACAAAAATTACCATCATTTCGCTCCAATCGCTCCCAAACTTCGCCTGAGCATAGACCGAAGATTTTCCTTCTATGAAAGTGTAAATTTAGTAAGTTTCAAGAATCGAGCTATGGTCTCAACAGGACGAGATTGAACTCAGCGCGTTCGTTGTCGTTCCTCGTGGCTTAGCAGCCACGCTGCACGTTCGCAGGGGTGCCAGGGTGTCCAGGGCCTAGGAACGCTCATTTTACAAATTAGTGGCGGGAAAAATAAGGGAAAAACATGCGCGTTTGAACGTGCCTCTTAGCCCTGAGCAACGCCATCGGTAGTTCACTACAAAGAGGAGCGGTTCAACGGAAGCGCTAAAAGTTCAAATTAGCTATATTTCTAAGGAAAATCTTCGGCCTATGCTCAAGCGAAGTTTGGGAGCGATGGGGAGTGGAATGGATATTGAAGGTAATTTTTGTAGCTTTTTTTATTCGGTCAGCGTAGGACAACCGAGATTTCCCTTGTCTTCTTATTAGTGGGTGGGAAACCAAAACATTAAATTTAAAACTTACTAAACTTGCGTTTATCAGGAGCCCATGCGTTTATAGAGCAGGAAACAGTACGGTCAAGAGAGGATGATCTCTAGGTACGGTATATACACTTTAAAAGCTGTTTATGTACATTTAATATACATGAAAAAAATTCTTGATTGTGATTGGCTAAGAGAAATGCAGTTTTTTGGTAACACGGCGCAGGAATTGAAAAGGTAATATATATATTAGTGCAAAAAAGAATAACAAACTTGATATTCTGATTGGTTAGTAAACAAAGGAACTCACTGAGAGCCAATCAAATGCGCCATCTGAAAGGCGTTAAATAGACCAGTTTCGAGCAAAAATCGCAATGTAATGGCTGGTGTTTGTAGCACATGTATGTCCTTTTGCCACCGAAACAACTATAGAGGGGCTGAAAACTGCTCTAAAAACGAAAACACTGCGAAAAGCACTGGTTTTTGGCTCTCTGTTTGGAGAAAGTGGTGCGTAGAGAAGGAACTTACTGATGAAATAGAAAATTATTATGAGCCAGCTGAGCTTAACACTTTGCTCGAACATTTCTACGCCGAAGTAAACAATAAAAAAGGCGAAGATTATGAACCAGAAAGACTTAAGGTAATGATGGCATCGCTTCATAGACACTTAAAGAACAAAGGCTGCACCCTGTCCATAGTGCGTAACCGAGAATTTAGTTCGTTCAAACAGGTGTTGGAGGACAAAGCGAAACAGCTTCGCTTGGCTGGCCGTGGTAAAAAGATGGGATAAAGGGTCATCACGCTTACAAAGATTTATTTAGCGAGAGCCAGAAAATGCCAAAGACAGGCACACTGGGGCATTAACAGAGGGAAATGGACGTATTGTACATGTCGAACGGGTGTCGGACACATTCCACTTGGACAACCACAGGGGACTGGAACTTATCAGCACCGAGTACCGAAACTGCTAAGCAGTCGTTGACAATAAAAAGCGAGGGCTTGAGCTTTCCCAAAGAGCCGGGAAGAAAAAAGGACAAGCTCAAGTGAAGAAGTCTCCTTCCTTTTTACGCCCCGCCGCCAGAGCGCCCCGGAGAGCTTGCTCGGAGGCTAGTGAGTACAGCGTGTCTGCTTTATCGAGAGTTAAAAGTCAAACAATAAAATTGCCACTTTGGTACCAAGAAAGTGGCCGTAATTCCGTAATAGCTACCGTCTGATATAGCGGGAGTTATTTCCAGTCAAACCCCAAAAGCTTTCGCCCCGGATCTGGATTTTGTCCCTAACAGCGAGGTTCCGCTGAGAGCTGGGTGACCACATGCCAGGCGAGAGTTGACTGTAACTTGCACCCCAATATACTGCCAAACGTAGGGAATGAACTTAAAGTGCTTGAACTGATCAATCACATAGAGACAGGTAGGGGAGAGAGTTGATACCTCGAGATGATTAAATAACTTAAATGTGGTCACCAGCAACAGACTTCACTCGCAATTAAAAACAGGCTGTCTTAGTTATTTGGTAGTACAGCAATGAATGTTTTGAAGCCAGCAGTGGTTGTAAGTATCCTCTGCTCATTCTTCCAACAAATCCGTTGCCTGGATAATGGACTTGCAATTACTCCCCCGAGTAAGTATAATGCAACAACGGTGAAATGATACATTTATGTTTCACCGGCCTGTAAATAAACGTCATTAGCCCGCCGCTTTCGATTTGAAAGAAGCGGATCCAAATCTGAATTATATTCACTCTGATTCCCGAAAGCGATGCCAATCAAACAAGGCGGATGATTACAGAGTTTATTTGGAGGAAATAACCAAAAACTATCCTGAACATACTTCGTGCGACTTGTCATACTTCACGGTTCCTGTTTAGAAACAAACTGAAAACATTGTCATTCCTTAGAATTCTAAATGAAAGGTTTTGATAATGCTTTCAGATGAAATACCTGCAGAATCGGACAGTTAGAATCCTCTGATAAAGAAGTAGGAAAGTATCGATCTCATATTATATTATCCTGATTATCCACACATTTGTTTCTTTGTGCCAACGGCAAAAATTGGTCATTGTAGGTCGAAATATTTTCTAGAATACGTACTGATCCCCGAAATACTGTTTTATTAGATTATTGGGATCAGTAAATCACTGAAAGCTTGCCCGACTTTCTACCTTCTATCATTTTTGTGCCTTCTCAAGAGAGAATGACTATCTCGGTCTCCTTGTTTTCATGCCAAAGCTAGTGTTTGTGTATTCATGATTTATTTAAAGAGTCTTAGTAAAGTTTGCTTATGAGACGGGTTTGGTACCTGTTCAAACAATAGTTGAACAATATAAGCTAAAAGATCAGACGTTGATCTCCAATATGGTCTTGAGATGTCCACTAGCGTTGATTTTCTTTGATCGATTTTACTGACGTTTTACTGCTTACACACGCCAAGTTTAATTCATCTACCTCTTTTTTACTTGTTCTCGTGTAATCCGAATTTATTAGTATATTAATGATGGTAAACGGACTGAAGGCATTATGTCCAATTCCTCCGGTCTGACTTGCGTTGCAGGAGTTTTGCTTTCGGCTTCAATGGGCCATTTGCACGATTACATCAATACGCATCATTTCCGAGCACCAAAAACCCTAATAGGCCATTTGCACGATGATATCATTTACTACTACGACCAGAATCCTTCAGGGTTTTCCTTTCTTATGCAAATTACGGCTTTTGTCATTTAAATGTCGCTAGGATTACCAAATTTAAATATGAAAAGAGAAACGAAAAGGATTCTGGTCGTAGTAGTGAAATGACACCATCGTGCAAATGGCCTATTAGGGTTTTTGGTGCTCGGAAATGATGTGTATTGTCCTATTACTTTGTGTTGAAATCAGGGCTGCCGGTAGCCAATCAGATTATTGAGTTTTGTAATTAGTTGTGAGTATTTGACTAAATCTTCGCCCCACCCCACCTCGCCCCTATTTATTTAATTACAGTGGGATGGATGTCATGGGAGAGATTTCGTTGCGTCATTGATTGCGAGAAGGATCCTCGAAACTGTATCAGGTACACTTGTTTATCATTGGCAGTCTTAACATCAGTGATTAAAAAATTAAAACGACCAGGCTAGTGAATAATTGCCTAAGGACAAATTGCCTCAAAAACTGCAGGGTCGCCGAGATCTGCCGCGCATCACGGCTAAGTTCTGAAGGCAAGGTCTCGAAAAAAAAGGATGATACACTTTGCGTCAAATAACGGTGTAATATGGTTAATGAGCTTGAAGTATACGTGAACCTGCAAGAGTAATAAAAAGGGATATCTTTCATCAGATTATTATATGTCGATAAAGATGCGTTTTCTCCTTGAAATGAAAGGCTATCATACTGACATGGAAGGCGCTATTTGCGTTTGAGGGGGCCCATAGGGTAATCACTGGGAAAAGAAAATTTCCCCAAACGTACATGTTACAAATCAGAAAGGAAAAATCGGCGCGTCATTTTTGATTTTTTATGTCACAAACAAACGTTGTCCTATGAGTCAAGTTGTGCGTATACATGAGTGTGCACGATAGGCCTTATACGATAGGGATGCACACCGTGAAAACTGAAGAAGGTGTTTGTTTTTATCCAACATAAATCCATTGTTATTTATTACATTCGAAGATTCTTCTAGTTTTCATATTCGGCCCTGTGACTGACACATACCTTAACTGTTTTTCAGTGAAAGGCTCTACATGGAAATGGCTGATGTGATGTATGTCGGTGGATACAGAGATGCTGGGTATCAGTACGTTTGCATTGATGTAGGTATCTCCACCAGTAAACTGCAATGATGTGTACCTTAAACCAGAGGCCAATAAGGTAATCCTGCTGCATTGTAGATTCAACTAGATCCGTTTTAGCTCCGAACTCAGCAAGCGAAATACATTACATCATTAGGGTCCAATTTGGCTATCTTAATTGGGGAAAATAGAGCTGATTTGAAACCGCAGATTGAAATGAGAGCCATATTTCCTTTACAAGGCTGGGAAGGGGAAGCTTCATCTGACCCGAAGTTTGGCCGCCTGAAATGGAAGTTTAGGGTGGAAACAGATTTGGGTAGAATGGAGATACGACGTTGCGGAGTCTGATAGAATGAATAGTTGATAAATAGCTCCCACACCCACAACTGGTGAACGTGAGCTGTATTGTCAGCCCTGCCTTTGGTGATTGTTCCTTCGACTTGGTCCAATAATGGTTCGTGTTTATTGTCTGATCTATTTGAACGTTTTCAAATGTGATAGACGATGAGTGTCAAACTGGTTTGATGTATATGTGGCTTTTCAATAAGTACACATTCACGTATAAAGCACCACTGACACCTGCTGGGTTAGTTTGCCGTCACTCAGAGCACCACTTTGAGAAGATCTAGTATAGGGTGGGGAAAGTACTTGTCTTTCTGAAACACATGTTTCTGTTTGTAGCCCTTGGCGCTTGGTGGAATTTACTCTAATAAACAGTGGCAGTTATTTGATGTTTTGACTGACATGAGATACATAGACGAGCCTAACGGAGTGTTGACAACCGTGGACCTGCAGTTTGGATCTAGTTAGTTCTTGTCTTTTTTCTCGTAGGACTGCTGGGCAGCAATGAATCGTACAAAAGACGGTAGTCTACAGGCTGACCCCAAAAGATTTCCAAGTGGAATTAAAAAATTGGCAGATTATGTAAGTAAGCCAATTTACCGTGGTTTCATTATTTTGTTTAGGGCCTGTTTAGCACATTTGTAGTCCCCCCCCGAAAGTGCAAGCAACAAGCACAGAATGAGTAGAGTGCTCGATACCTTTTGTTAGGAAAAGCTAATAATTTTAATTAACATAGTACTACATCTGCGGCTTACGCTTAGATTGCGTGGAATGAATAAACCAGGCCTTACCAACGGTAGCCTTTGTCGACATTTTAGTTGATATTGGCATCAACGTAGACATGAAACTAGACTGCAAAACAGTCCGTATTTTTGCGCATTCAAGTACGCGCAAACAGTCAAACTAAAGGTCTGGAGCGAGGATGAAGACAGAGAGCGAGACTGCTCGGGCGCATCGCGCGTGTAAGACCCTCACGCTATGCTAAACCGATTTTGAGAACAAACCGACTGTTTTGCAGTCTTTTAAGCGTCATGAATTTTTGCAGGTTCACGCCAGAGGACTCAAACTGGGTATTTATGCAGGTAATAAAGACTTATCATCCACTTGAAAATTTTCGACTGAGAATTACACGAGTTAATTGTTTTTTTTTTTGTTCAAAACTGGGCTATTTTCTCCAACGATGTCATTTTACAATTTCTGCAGATTACGGAACCAAAACATGTGCAGGATACCCTGGAAGTATAAATCATGTAGACAAGGATGCACAGGTTTCTACTTTCTTAATAAAAAAAGTTTTAAATTATGTCTCTCGTTCATAATAAATGGTGACAATTTAGATTAAGATTTTAACCGCCGCCCGGTTAGCTCAGTTGGGAGAGAGCCGGTCTGCTGAGCGGGAGGCCGTAGGTTCAAACCCCGGCCGGACCAACACTCAGGGTCTTAAAATAACTGAGGAGAAAGTGCTGCCTTTGTAATAACTTCTGCAAATGGTTAGACTTTCTTGTCTTCTCGGATAAGAACGATAAACCGTAGGCCCCGTCTCACAAGCCCTTGCACATGTAATAAATCTGTGGAACGTTAAAAGAACCCACATACTCTTCGTAAAGAGTAGGGCACGTAGTGCCCGGTGTAGTGGTCTATCTCACTTTCACACTCATTTATGGGGGCATCATCACTCATTCCTTCAGTACTTGTAAACTGCACCTTAAGCAGTCTGGCAAAGTCCCCCAACCAGTGTTGTAAATTATCCCTGAAAAGCCCTGTGGGGAGTGGATAATAAGATATTTATAATTTACAATTTACTATGGGGTAACCTCAACACTAACTCTTTTGTTTCTCAAGGGGGATGTCGGTTACCAATTCCCGACTCCAAGAAGAAACGTGGACCTTTTGTAGTCTTGCCCCCTTGGCCATCGGCACGTAAGGCCTGTTTCAAACGTCGTGCTACGGCAGTGCTAAGCTGGCTCGACTGCAGCTCGACTGCAGCACGACATTAGCACGAGTTGGTTTCAGACGTCGAATTTAATTCAGTCGAATAGAACGGCTGTTGCCGAAAACAAAACACAAAGATAAAGAAACTGTTTGGCAAACTTTTAAATGTGTTCTAATGTATTTATAATTTATGAATTGAGTTCGGCAAGGAATATGAGTATTTTCAAATCTAAAAGAAGTCGGCTCCATATGGGATGCCTGAATGCACGCTGTGCATGTTTGGCAATTTTTTTCTTCTTAAAACTAAAAATGGGTATTTTTGTTCAAGTAGCAGCAGTTCATTCCATTCTTTACACGTTATCTAGACATTTGCAGACTGGGGAGTTGATTATCTCAAGCTGGATGGATGTAACGCCAACGCCCGAATGATGGACGAAGGTTATCCAGAGTTTAGTCGTGCCTTAAACAATACAGGGCGACCTATTGTGTTTTCGTGTAGTTGGCCTGCTTATCTAGTCTACATGGAAATCAAAGTAAGTGTCTTGGGTCTCACTAACGAGATTGCTATTAAATTGCTTTTCATAGGAGGGTTAAGAAATGTGCCCTTTCTAACTTTTAATACTTGCGCGCTTTGCCCACAATAAGTGAACCTGCAAATTTGCCTTCATTAACAAACTGTAGTGGCTTTAGTTTATTTTTATTATATGATGAGGATTGGCGCGCTCCAACTCCGCATCTTGTGATGATTTCTGCCACTACGACATCAAGTTTTCCCGCCAAAATGACGTGGGCTCACTCGCGAATACTAAATCTCGTACTCGTAGTCGTCCTCGTCTCATAATCTAAAGGTCTTTATTTTCAAATAGTAAGACGTTATAGTCTTGTAGTATATGGACGAAAAATCGTAGGCCTCGTCCCTCAGTTTTGCTTGTGGAACGTAAAAGGTCTCACACTGGGACGCACGGGACGTATACCCCCAACCTTTGATGGGCTGGTTTGGTATCGAAGCTGGGACACAAGTTCTGTCCATCTCCTGTCATTCCCTTAATCCACCGTGGTGAATTTCAATTTTATGATAAATATTTGTATTCTCCTTTCCAAACCGGTTACAGACCCACGCGTGAAAGCTATGAACTTCTTAATATTCTCTTCGCCATCTTCTATAAAATAACAAAGCAAAGTAATCAAATAACTTTTAATTTTTATGCACGGACAGCTAAAAGCAACAAATGGGTAATACTACTTTTTGTCCTCTGTTATTTAATTTACAAAATTTCACTCTTTTACGACCGACAGCCAGACTATAGGAAAATTGGGAAATACTGCAATTTATGGAGAAATTATGCAGATATTCAGGTACGTTTTTCGTTGGGTATTTTTTCTGTGTTTAAGATTATTGTGAAATCCAAGGATAGACTAATTTCTAGTTTTTATTTGCTGGGGTCGATATAATTATACGAAACGCGGGCATAAATCTGTAACCTCACTTCACGAGGTTCAATTTGCTACAACCAGTTGCAAAAATATTGGAGACACTTATTTGGGCTTAAATGACGGCGTGTCCATGATAATGCCCTTGCAACACTCTTAACCTTAAGGCATACCTATTTGTATTCGCATTAGAGTTTGTGCAGAACGGAAAACGGAGTTGCGCTTTTATTAGACTGTATGAAGCTTCACTTTCGATTACGAGGTTGTGTTTCCTTATTTAACAAACAATAATCCATATAAAGCATACTAGTCGAACTTTGGTGCAGCTGCTATTATTGGTCGATTTAGAAGAGCCGAATAATTAGTGGTGGCTTCCCTCTTTCACTTTTGATCGCATGGCACACCGATGATGTCCAACACTTTCATTTCTCAAGTTCTCCCTTTCTTTTTTAATGGAACTGGCTCCGCTGAGCTCTGCCCTAGGATTGCCTACTTGCAAAACTAATCTTCAATCATGTACAGAATAAAATCGAACAGCCAACACCCATCCTCCCGAAATCAAGGATGAAGCGGTAAGAAAGTCAAAAGCAAAACGTGCCATATCCCGACTATCTTTGATTTGGGAAAGGGAGGGGCAGGGGGTCTGAATTTTCTATCTATTTTGTCCAAGATGGTTTATACAAAATCTTTGTTGGGATTCTGAGTTTCACTGTTTGAACTCATGACGATTGTGCATTTACAGGACTCATTCTTCAGTGTTTATGGTATTTACAACTGGTACGCTGCCCATCAAGATGATCTGATACCCGTTGCTGGCCAAGGACACTGGAATGACCCAGACATGGTCAGTGGAGTCTCACTGCAGCGCATACTTCCTCTCTGACCCAGAGTCGGCAAACGCCGAGTCTCGTCCCCCAAACCTTCGTTTCCTTTGTCCACTAGAACTCGATGGCAATCGTTTCCAGTGGAAACCCAAAGGAATTCTAGCCTCTGGAAACGCGAGACTGGTATCCGCAAGCTCTGACTTTTTGAAGACGGGAATGGTGCGCATACATACCTCACCCCCTTCTTTCTCTTACTCGAAATCCGCTGTACATTTGACAAGTCATCTTGACAAATGTTTGACGCCCCCTCCACACGTATCCGGATATTTTTGAAAACGGAGATTTTTTCTTAGTTTTCGAAAAAATTGTGTATACACTTGGCGTATTCGAATAGTTTTCGGCTGTCCACACGAAAACGGTAAAACGATTGAAATAAGACTTCCTCCATTTTCGTGCGTCCACACAAATGCGATAAGCCGGCATTTTCAATAATTTCCACTCTAGTGGTCGTTTTTGAAAAGATTGACAAGATTCGTTTTCGGTGACCGTTTCACCTTAATAAATGTACGACAGGAGAGATGACAAATTTGCATCAATATTTCGAAAATCAAACAAAATTCACACTCTCGATCCCCGAAGTGTCAACAAAAATAGGACATAGCCCGCAGCGAATAACTCCCGAACAAGGCCTCTGTCAATGCCTTTTTACGGACCGGTGAATTTTTAGATACATCTTGAAGTAGTTTTTCCCGCGAAAACGGAAGCACCGGTCCGTCTATGAGCGCTTCTAAAGGATAAAATTATGAATAAGGAAAACTAAACCTCGTCGAATGTTCGAAAATACCATTTTTAGGTCAGCAGGTTTTGCTGTCTGGTTCTTGGTACTTAAAAGATATTCTTAATTTGCGCCAAAATCGCCTTAAAGAGGGTCTCATACAATAACTTACGGTTATTTATATAAATAGACGTACTTTTCGAATAAATAGTTCCCGGACAAAATTTCTGTGCTGTTTCTGAATAAAGAAACGTTGAAAATTTCTTTCAGTTGATCATTGGCAACTTCGGACTCAGTTTTGAGCAGTCCAAACTCCAGTTTGCCCTCTGGGCAATAATGGCGTCTGTAAGTATCCATGGGTATTTTTTTCTCTTTTTTGGTACATAAACGATGTCTGTTTCAGTACTTAATCTGCTGCTTTTCTCCCGTATGAGCTTTAGACTGTATACATTCTTATCTCTTGCTTTAGTAAGAAGAAAGTGCACACATGTCATTTCTCAATCTGAATAAGAGGAAAAACTTAATATCTAAGTATTTTAGACCTCCATTTCTAAAAACACTGTAAAACATTACCACATGGATTCGATGTTCCACTGACAAGGTTTACAAGAGCAGCTTGGGTGCCGTTTTCCAGAGACACGACAGCATTTTAATTACAATAAACTATTATCCCCATCAACAGCCTTTACTGATGTCTAACGACCTGCGTGACATCGACTCAAGGTCCAGAGAAATTCTTCTAAACACGTAAGTCAACAAATGTAAGCATCTTTGTTCATAAAAACTGGCTGGTTATCGTCATCATAACGGCTATCTGCTCCCCTCCACATCATCATCATCATCATCATCATCGTAATCGTCGTCGTCGTTGTCGTATCCTGTAAATACAGCCGACTCTACTCGCTCCTCGCCGCTAGAGACGTCGTCTCTCCCGAGAATCGTCGTCGATTGTTGTGGTCATCGTCTCTTCTATCGATAGGGAGCTTAGGTACCAACGACGACGACGGCAGAAAAATGTGACTGAAAAATATCGTGTCTCGCTAAATTTGTCAAAAGTAGGCGAATTTTCTGGAAGTTGAAGACTTACGGATTGTATACAAGTTCAAATCATCGTCATCACCCGTCACATTGCGAAACGATAACATACGCAGGAAGCCAGTTCAAACATACGATCTCGATCACATCCTATAGATCGTTTTCACTGTCACGCAACAAAAATTAAATTGGAAACCGTCCAGAGGAAGAAGCCAAGAAAATGAAATGTTGTAAAAGACTAATATATAAACAATTTGCCCAAAAGTTACTTGCCGAAAGGTTTGAGCTTTTTTTGGTGCACCGTTTTTGAAGAATTGGCCGCCGGAAATCAACAAAAACATCTGGAGTTCACTTTTTCTATAAAAGCTCTTTCTTTTCGTTCGAGAAATCATACGTACATATAAACATATCTTCCCGATTACATTGAAAATCAAGAGAAGAGACTTTTTTTCAACGAGACAGCATTGCTATTTTGGTGTCACGCACTGTGAAAACTCGAAAGTTCAAATTGCTGTATTTTCGAAACGAAACATGCTACGGAAACGGAAACCTGCACAAAGATTTACTTTTTGCTTATCTTCAACCTAGTGTAAATAAGAATTCGTAAAACCTCACTATTTTGACTTTACAATTTGATGACGTCACATTGAAAACCATCTATTTCAAAATACCTGTGATCGGGTTCGCATAAAAATCTACAATTTTGTGTAACGTATTATCAAGATTAACTGTGCGCTATGTAAGGGCGGTTCATGAAGTAATTAAGTAAGAAATTTCTTTTTACACAGAGAGGTCATCGCTGTGAACCAAGACAGACTAGGAAAGCAAGGGAAGCGAGTAGTACAGGTACCAAGACATTATTTTTCAATGAGCCATTTTTCACTAAGCCACTTAACCAAGTTTAAGGTCATCATCACGTGGTATTCAACTTGGGACAAGTGCGTTTAAAATTCGTTTTTACATTGCATCGTCTATGTCCAGTAGGCCTGTGAAGAAGTCATATTAATTAAATCTTAAGATCCTCTCGTCTAGGATATATTCAATCTCACTGGGTGTGACACTCCCAGTGTAACGTTACGTGTTCCGACACTTCCAGGGGAAACAAGTCTTTTCGTATCTAGGCTACTAGTGATAGTTCACGTTCACGGCAAATTACAGATTTGACCACGTGACTATATTCCAGCCTTTTATACGCCACTTCCACATTTCCCATAACGCACCCTATTTGCCTCACAAAATTTTGCCTAACTTTTGGTGTTCATTTTTCCTGGGTATTACAGCCGTCCCAAGAGGGAAATGTGTCAAATGTGGAAGGGGCGTATTACGCTTTTCCTTTACAACCATGACAAACATGAGAATAGACTGCATTTTTTAAAATCGTTGTCGGATATATTAGCAATAACTGTACAGTGATCTCTGCTCGTTTGCGTAGAAATGACGATTAACATCTCTTATTCTATGCGATAAAAATCATGTTTCTTATCACTGTGATGTCTGTTCGTGTATTTCTTTATCCTGGCGATAGAACCTACTGTCCTTTACTGAGGTATGGGCTCGTCCACTGTCGGAATGCGGAAGTGTAGCCGTGGTACTCCTTAGCATACGTTCGGACCTTCCTGTGGATGTGGAAGCTTCATTTTGTGATGTATGTATACGTTTCTTATACAGCTCCCTTTGCTTGGTTTTTACTTTATAGTACCCCTCCAAAAAAGAATAAAACGGCTAATCTCTAAAAGCAATCTGTTGCTACTTCGGTATGAAAGTGAGATTACTGATTCACGGCTGGTTTGCACGAGACGTCGCGGCGGCCGTGCAAGTGGTCAAGAACAACACCAATATGGCAGCCGTTTCATTGTTTTGGGAGACCAATATGGTGCACGTGACGTCATGGGAAACCAACATGGACCCCTTGTCTCGTGGTGACTAAACAAGGATAGTCTAAAAGGCCCTCTTAAAACGTACTTTTATCCTTACCCAAAACAAAGGTTAGCTGATATTACCTTTAGCAGTTTTTTTATCAGGCTCCTCTTTGTTTCCAGGAGATCACCAGGAATGATTGCAGTGTAGCCTCGGATGACCTTATTTTTGGTTGCTTTCATAGGTGGGAATTACAACAGAACGAGCTTACGCGCGCGACCTGTTTGCTCACAAAGAATTAGGAATTTACAACGAATCGTTCACAGCCAGGGTGAACCCCAGTGGAGTAGTGATGGTCAAGCTGATTCCAATATGTGATGAAGGAAAGACAGATAAAAAGACCAATAAAATGGCTGATAGTAAGACAGATGAAAAGGAAATTGAAAAGACTGACAAAAACAAGGCACTGAAGACCGATGAAACAGAGGATCACAAACGTTGCCAGTGCGTAAAGCTAAACTGACCGACAAGGAAACTTAACGTGAAGATTTTACACAAAGTTGTTGAAACGCTTTGTTGAACAAAATTTCTGAATAAACTTAAGTATAGCAAGAGTTGGATTCTCTTGGGGAGAAGCTCTCTTAACGGACAGTCTCTTGTAAGCGAAGGGCAGCTCTTCATACGGCCGCCTTCACAAAACCCCGTTTTACTCAACTCACATACAAACTCTGTATTTTTACATTCCCGTAAGCGGCCAGCTCCAGTTACGGGCTTCCCGAGGGTGTCCGCTTACGAGAGCTTCAACTGTACAACGCTAAATTTCTAACTTATCTATACAACAGTATATAGGTAGTATTTTATACACGGCTGAACAAGGTGAAGCGAATCCTGAGCTCTAATGGACCCATATTACCCTCTCGGGATTTCCGTGCTGTTGAATATTCCTGCCTAGCCTCCTCCGCAGGCTTCACCGTCCAGTTTTAGAGAACAGGTAGGAGAATGGGGAGAGAACGGGGAGTTAAAGTGGCCCCTCCTCATTTTTTTCTCCTTTTCTCGTTCAGTACTGATCCGTTACAACTGGACCCTGGGCAATTGGAGTTGCTTGCGGAGGAGGCTAAGTCCAGCATATGGCCATAATAAATCCCTTGTTGACCAAGCTTACTAAGCTTGTTCGGTCAAGATATATGGCAGGATGTTGCCATATACACCTTGTCCTTTTTTTGCTTTTTGATTGACCTGGACTTCCTTTCGGTTCTAAAAACGTAAAAAAAAAATTGGCGAATATTCAGGCATCTTGACCTCCCTTCCTTTTAGTCAATAACGCTATATGCCGGCACCCAGCCAGAGGCCCGGGGTGCAGTGGAACAAACATCACGGTGAGAAAATCTTTTGCATAAACATAAAACTATGAAATTTAAGGTGGTGGGAGAACGAAACGCTACAAAGTATATCCAAATCAGCTGAACAGACTCAAAAGAGTAAAAAAATTGCGTCGCTGCGAATCACAGCCCATATTTTATTTTCTGAGGCTTCCTATGAACAGAATGGTGCGAACTGGGGCGAACCATTTGAATTTTTCCAACCGGGATTTCCGGTTTCCCCTAACCTGAGATCAGGCATTAATTTTTTTTGCTTCTTTGTTTCTTTGGCTCGAGAGGGAAAAAAAATAACAGCTTGTTAAATGAATGTATCAGGCCTGCCTCGTACCCAGACGTCTCTCTTTTGATGAAAATGTGCGCGCAAAGGAAGGCGGGAAGGAGACAACGGCCCGCTGCCTGTACCCTTCCCATGGTCCCTTGCGGTTCATCACCAGTCACTCCGCGCGTTTCGCGCTCGCCTCTGCCATACGAAAAACGAAGCGCCTGAGGAGGCGTTAACCGCCTCCTAATTTACATAATGTAACGTCTACTTGACCTGTCATGTTATTAGCCAATAAGCGTTTACCATACGGGAATCATATTTTAACGTCTCCTGAAATAAATTTTAGGGAAAAGAAAATTTTTAAGCACGTCCATGTTCAGATGGTGCTTCCTAAAAAAAAATTTAAATGTGTTGTTTTTGTGATGAAATACTGCCAGCTGGAGCTGCCGTACCTTAATTTAACAGCTACAAATAATAAAGAATTTACAGGTTAAAGCTCGTTGTATGACTTCGTTCTGTGCCGAAAGCAGTGAAAAAAACAAATTTGGCTGAAGCACCATATTTTACGAACTGAAAGGTGTTGTGAAAGCGAAGATCGCTCAGAATAATTCGCAGGTTTCTGAAGGAGGAATTACAGTCAATCAAGGTCAAGATTCCATTCACGAATTGATTATTTGAAAAGTGAACCCGTTTATCGCTTCTCTAACTTGTAGCCGGTATCGAATTGCATTCAAATGATCGGTGAATTTTTGACTGCAACTTTTTTGTTTACGATGAGATGGAAAATATGAAATTTCTATTTAGGCATTCTTCAAATTCAAGAAAACTGCTCATTACGCAAGCAAAAATGCAGACTGAAATCAACCACAACTAACGGATGGCAACCTGAGATCAGGCCCAATTTGAGCGGTTCTCATACATTCTCTCTAACGGCTACCGCTGACTGATTGGGCCTCTCTTTTCGTTTCGTCTTGCCCGCCGGAATGTAATTCTCAAAGCGAAACGAAAATAGAGCCTGATCTCAGGTTAAACGGATGGCGGCATTTTGGCCAATTGGAACAGCGCAAATCATCCGTATTGTTTCCTATCCAATCAGAAAAAAGTCCAGATTCTGGCTTTTTTACATGTGATCCGACAAATAAATGTATCATGCCCTCTTCCCGTGAGAGACATTAAGGGATAATAGGGGGAAGGCATGATCTCAGGCTACGTATAGGTTTCCCCATGTAAATGAGCCTGTGTACAGAGTCCCCTTCTCTAAGTAAAAATCGGCGAAGGGGCGTCTCCGATTTTTACTGAGGGGAGGGGAGTGTATACACAGGTTAATGAAAATGGGAAGTACCCCGGCCTGGTTTTTGACCCATTTGGTCCGTGGGTAATTATAGATTTTAGCAGCTGGGATCTGAAATAGAATGAGCATTTTCTGTTCCGACCATTCATTGCTTGTGAATAGTGTTTCCAGTCAGAATAGCGTCAGGAAAAATTTTCAATGGATAGGGGCTAGGTAGGTGTTTTAGGAACTGTGCCGAACACCCAAGCCCTAAATTTTCTGGGAGTACCCCCCCCCCCCGGATGTTGCGGCTATCGACTAACTATCAACTGTACGGGCAAGTTGGTGTACTGAAGCGAAAAGGGGAGTATCGGCGTTTACGATGCGTTTCTTCAAAGAAGAAAAAGATTATCCATGTTGTACAATTCTTGTAAAAAATATTTTTCATTCAACACGCGCGGCTCTATGAAAATCTTAGCGTGACAACACTTTGCGATCAAGTAACTTAGAGTAACTTGAGAATGAGATTTGAGGTCCAATTTTTTAGCAGTTCACTCTCCCGGCACGATTAAAGCTCACGCGGTCTAATGCGGGTCGTATGATCGACAAAGAAAAACGGACAAGGCCATGATGGAGAAGTGTTTCTTCTTTGTAGTTGTATTTGCCTTTCTGATTCATGGATTTGTCGACGACGGAGTGGTTTTTGGGCTGGACAATGGCTTAGCTCTTACACCGCCAAGTAAGTCTTAGTTTTGCTTCAGTGGTGCACGTAGCTGGCAATTTGATTGATCTTCAGTTAACAGAAAGAGGAAGTGGCGGTCGGGAAATGTTCATTTTAATTTTTCCATTTTCTCTTAATCGAACAGTGGGCTGGATGGACTGGGAAAGGTTCAGATGCAACATAAATTGCATTAAATATCCCAACGACTGCATAAGGTGAGCAGTGCGTTATAGATAAACCTTCATCAAATCTGTTTTAGATGTGTCATTCCACAAGCTGCAAGTAACTCAGAGGCTTATTATAACAGTTAGTAATCAGCAGAGGTTCACTCACACATACACGTACATTGTCGACATTGGTTTTTCCGCGAGGAGGGGGTTGACCCTCACAACCTCCCCGGGACACCCGGGGGTTAGAGGGGATTCGTTGAGTTTGGAGAAATAATTTTCTCCGTGGGGTAGGGGCAGTCTTCGGTGTATTCCAAACTGGCCCATGTCAAAAGTTGAAAAAACTATGGAAGGGTCTCTTTGTTCTTAGTATTTAAACATTTGCTCACCAGCGTAATGGCACCAAACCCATATGTATGCGACAAATGAATTAGAAAACAATAGGTGAAAGGAAAACATAATCAATATATCTGCAATATGTCTGCTCTTAAATAGAGTCCCATGCCTACGGCCTGGTACCACAAATGATTTCCCTACAGGGAGCTTCTAGCTGATAAATAACTTACATATATTCTGGGGTGTCTGCCCCCAGGGAGAGGGATTTAGTCTAATTGGTTCATGTAGTCTTTTGTTTCACCTTAGCTAAAAACAAATCTTAGGGTGTCCTGCTGGTGGTCAACCCTTGGGAAAGCCAATAATGAGTGCAAAATGGGTTTGAAATTTACACAGAAATTGATAAATTGCTCTGATTTTAATCATTACAGTGAACGCTTGATTAAACAACAGGCAGACCGGCTTGCTGAGGATGGCTATAAAGATGCTGGGTATGAGTATGTCAGCATTGATGTGAGTGTTGCAATATTTTATTATTAACTAAGCTAAGAAAGATGATGGGGTATGATGCAGGAACTACAGCCAGGAGGTTATAAGAGGACAGGAATTCTAAAGGACATGGAATATCAGGCATGTGCCTAAATCATACCATCCAAATTAAAAAGAAGAGCCAAAGAGTACTAGGAACAATTGATCAGAGCTGGGTCTGAGAAATTTTTGAATGTCAACAAATTTGATTCTGAGTGTATGAGGTTTAATATATGCCATCATGGCAACTATTGTCAGTAATAATGATTTAAATAAATAAATGTAGTAAAATAATGCCATTTAAGGCAAGAATTCAATTGATTTTTCATTAAAACTTGTAATAAATTAAAAAGAAGTAGTTAGTGTACAGTTTACAAATGAGTAATTAATAAATGAATTTAAAGTTTACATGATTTCATTTTGTATAAGGAAAAGGACCTGCCTGCATGTGGGCAGAACACACACACATACACACATGATTTGAATTATAAAGTAAAACAAACTTTTAAGTGTGCAGTCTTAGCTTCCAACTTATAAATATATAAATTAATTAATAATAATTCGTATTTTGTTACAAATAGTTATGGTGAGTCTTGGGACTCATCTTGTTAACAAATCAAGATCGAGTCCCACTACAGAACCATTGAGTCCCATTTCAAAAAATAACAAGTCCTAAAGTGAAAATGCTTGGCCCAAGAAATGTGTGTGGTTAAACATTAAGACACAAGAAAAGCCAAAGAAATCACATGAACAGGATATTCTACAAAAACATTCTCAGATCGATTGATCTATCAATATTTGCATCCTACGAAATGCCATGCCATGAACTTTTGTGTGTCTTTGGGGATTGTTATTCATCAGGGACGCAGGACGCAGAGGTAACAAAATTAAAGTCATGATTGACTTTTTTTAGGACTGTTGGTCAAACAAGAAACGAGACCCTTCTGGGAGTCTTCAGCCAAACAGTACAAGATTCCCCAATGGAATGAAGGCCCTTGCAGACTATGTGAGATGTTTAATATATAGTACATTTATTAATTTTGTGTATATGGTTAAGGTCATTCCCTTCAAGAGGATGTACTGTCCAGATTATATTCAAACTTTGCACAAATGTCAGCCATATATAGGACATTCAGAAACTACAATGAAAAGATCGGGTCACTTGCTTGTTTTTACCCCTGTGTGCCAGTATACATAGGTGAAGTTGCAATGTTATTATATGTGCACCAAGTGATGTACAGTGCAAAACAAGGGAATTACCTTAAGTAATTTTCTACCTTTTGACTGCAGGTGTACTGTGGGTTTATCATTTAAGTTAGGGGAATAAGGCAGTGGTACGTATTCGAGAAGGTTTTGGGTGGCTGTGTCTTGCAAAGGTCTCTAAATTTGCACTCCATTTTAAAGGATTTGCATTGAAGGCAAAGCTACAAGTATGTTTAAGAGTTACGGTAGATAATGGAAAAGGCATACATGGGCCAAGGAGGTGCAAAGATGGCTGTAGTGTTATCTGTGATTTGAATTGTTAATATGTTAGCATCAAGAAGTTTTGCAACTCTTCCGATCCATGGAGGGGATGTTGGTCCATTGCAGGGTTCTCCCCTGAGCAGTTGGTTTCCAGTACATCCATTTTTAAATAAGAATTTAAAATACACCTGGGTAGAGAAAGATAAGGTGGAGCAACGATTTTTGTCTCAAGAAACAGTAACTTCATAACTTCTATTCCCAGCTGAATACTATGAATTTTAATTTGTGTTTACAAAAGCTGGTATTATGCCCTGTTCTAGATGTCTCAGACGGTGTATCCTGTCTAGGTCAAAATCCCCACAGAGGTCAGCAAGCCATATCCCTGTATATAGGCACAGTGAGGGAGAACCCTCCAGTGATTTTTGAAATTTCAACAGGCCACAGAAAAAAGAATGTCTAACCAAATCAACTTATTTTTTCACAGAACAACTAAATTGACATGGATATTTCAACTAAGCGAATAAAAAATTGGGGGTTAGGTGCACTTTCAGTGCAGTGAAGGTGTTGGCAAAATCAAATAAATTATTACCCCTGAGCATCAGCGTACGGGGCGGGGGGGCTGGGGGGGCTGCAGCCCCCCCTGTTGGAAAAAACCTAGTATTATTCGGCAAAACTGATGTACCGTTCGGGCAAAGACACAGTAGGGTGAGACACCTGCTGCAGTGAACGACAGCTCACAACAGACGGCAAAAGACCACTTTCGTATCACAGTTTATTACACATGTATTGACAAAGTCGTCAGTGAACTTCAATCAAGGTTTGAGGTCAATGACCAGGAGGTTTTGTGCGCATTGGGCGAAATCGTATTCAGCCGTTCTCCAAGCATCAACAACATCCAAACTGTATCAAATTTCTATGGAGTGGATAGTGAAATGCTATCAAGTGAGAAGTCAATCTTTGAAAACTACGACTGCGGGGACCCATGCCAGAGAAAAAACGCAGCCGTGACGGTAAAGACCATTCATCAAAATGGTCTCCATGACATTTTACCTGTTCTATATAAAGTTACCTCCATCCTGGCCACAATTCCTGCAACCTCGTGCTCTGCTGAAAGATCTTTCAGCACCCTTCGCTGCATTAAGACATTTTTAAGATCCACAATGAGACAAGACCGACTTAGCAGTATCGCCGTTATTAACATTGAAAGAAAGTATGCAAACAAGACAATGCAGAATGACATGCAAAGGATTATTGACATATTTGGCTGTCGAAGTAATCGTTCTTCATACTTCTTTTAGAGCTCAAATGGGTACGTTTCATCTCTCACTTCATGGTTTTGTATTTTAGAAATGTTCATCTCGATTTACCGAAAATATTTGCTCTATTTTTAACGCCCGTGCTCTCACGGCATGGCGAAGAAAACTTGACGACACGAAAGAATCATCTTGTGCATCTGTGACCAACAAGTTTCATTCGGGCAAATTATGTTCAGCCCCCCCAACAAAATTTTTCCCGTACGCCAATGCCCCTGAGAACATAAGTTTCCTTAGCAAAAACGTTTTGTACTTTATTTTCATATTCATTGTCTGTAAATCACAACAATTTGATCTTCCAAATTAAAAATATATTTTTATTTAAGAGTTGCGGCATCCTTAGGTTTTGTGATTTTACTAATCGTTTTACTCTTGTGATACACAGTTGCATGGCAAAGGACTGAAACTTGGATTGTATGCCGGTATGTGTCAACTTATCAAAATGTTAATAAGAAAGCTGAAACAACAACTTATCACTAGCCATCCCGGCCCCCAGTTTTCCTAGAAATTGTCCTCTGGGGATTTAAACCAGGTATCATCTGGTGGCCTTGTCCAATTCGGTGATTTTGAAAAGCAGATCCGTCAATCTCGCCAGTATTTTGAGAGTTAGAATCACGCCAGTCTAGTCATATGAGAAAAAGGGTGGCTTAAGAAATAGCTTTTAGTTATAATTAAATTAATTATCTTTTTATTTGTGGATCAGATTATGGTTTTCTGACATGTGCTGGTTATCCAGGAAGTATTGATCACATTGAACAGGATGCAAAGGTAAAACATTGAATTTAAAATATATTTTTAAACAAACTTTTGCGGCCTTCAAATATTACTGTATGTTACTTGTTTATTACCTCAGATAGTTTACTCAGGGGCAGGATTGTTGGACTTAAAAAACTGGAGGAAGGAGGGTAATGGTAATCTTCAGAAGAAAGATTCAATTATTGAGTATGCTTTTTATGTAATTGAGCCAAAAATAAAACCTGTGTGTAGAAATTCATATTAAGTTGAAGAAGAAAAAGCTGACATTTTGCCTTTTTATTGATAACACAGACCTTTGCCAGCTGGGAAATTGACTACCTCAAAGTTGATGGCTGCTTTTCTGACCCATCTACGTTTGATGTTGGTTACCCCAAGTTCACAGAGGCTCTAAATGCAACTGGACGACCAATCCTACTAAGTTGTGAATGGCCAGATTACCAGCAAAAAATTGGCATCAAGGTGTGTAATCAGACAGTCAGATGGGTAAAGTAGAGCTAGTTGGGAGCATGATATCCAACAAAATTAGTTAATTTCTTTAAAATACTTTTTCAGAAGGTGTTAATAATTAACTAGAATTCGAATATCTTCTCTATTAGCATATTTTTCGTAAACTTCATCTGCATGTAACAAAAGTCCTTTCAATGCTTTACAAGTATTTGGGAGACAGCCCCCTGTGATAAATCAATAATGGTCCTGCTTTTTAAGGGACTTGGCTTGCTCCTACTTTTTTCAGGGATTTACCAACATCCACCATCAAAAAGATAATAATTATATATATTGGGCTATTGCCTTTTAAATCCCCCACCCCCCAACCCCCCCACCCTGCGGTTGAACTGTAACTTACCCCAGGAGAATTGCATGGTTCCTCAACCGGGGGGCGGGGGGAGGGTGGGGGTGGTGCAGATATTAAGTTAGTGCAATAGCCCATTCTGTATCAGCCTCTCACCACACTTCTTTCAGTGCGAATTTAAGTTTAATATTATTACTTTTGTTTGCTTCATTTATGTTTTCTGATCCCTTCCTCTCCCTAAGAAATTGATTTCCTCAGTGGACCTAACTGGACATTCAATTATTTGTCATCTTCTGGAAATTTTAAAAGATAAAAACTTTTTAGAAATTATGATTATAGTTTGCAGCATGGCTGAGTGGTCACTGTGTTGGACTCACAATCTGGTGGTCCCGCTCTGGTCACTTGCTCGGCTGGATTTCAAATCCTTGGCCACTCTTGTAAATAGCCAGCCAATTGGTTGCCTCCCGCCAGTTGGGGTTTTTAATCTTGTTACACTTAATTAATTATATTTGAATTATTTGTTTCTAATTATTTGAGTGGAATGCCTGTAAACTAGCTAGATAAGCTAAGCATGATTTCCACTATATAAAAACAAACCTTAATAACCTTCTTTTTTAAACTTTTAATATTATTATTCAGTTGGACAAAACCTTCTGGTTTAACACCTGTATTTAACATCTGTAAAATATAGTTTGTTTTAATTTAGCTTATATAAGAGTTCTCTCTCATTACAGCCTGACTATGCTGCTATAGCGAGAAACTGTAACACCTGGAGAAATTATCATGATGTTCAGGTTGGGTTTTAATATTTTATCATTTAGTGTTTTTACAGCGTGCAAAGAAAGTAGTGTCCGATAGCCCGGGGCTAGTGGATTTTGCTATCAGGCTAGTGAATTCTGTTATTAACTTGGCCGATGGGCAAGTGAATTTTTTTGAGGAATTCAAATTGCAGAAGAACTTTGAAATCAATCTGCTCATCAAACGTTTTTGGGGCTAGTTGGAATGATATTTGGGCTAGTAAATGTTAGCCTCAGCTTGCCCGAATGGCAAGCTGTAAAAATGACTTTCTTTGCACCCTGTTTTGGTTTGCTGAATTTGGTTTTCAATGCCGTATATAGTGATTGCCAGAATGGGACAGTTTAATAATGAGAAACACATGATTAATGACACGTTGTGGGTTAAGTGCAAATGAAAAGGTCTCCAGATTAAAGTTCTTCAGAGGTTGGCCTTCTTTGTATATACTTATGACACTTTGCTGTTGGCAGTCTAAGAACATTAATTTTCATTTGCTCATGTTTAAGTTTTGATACAAAGCAAGATGAAAAAATCCTGAATACCAACTTGACATAAATAGTATATGTACATATATCACTGACATTAATTTTTGAAATTGCAGGACCAATGGTCAAGTGTCTTAAGCATTGTTGATCACTTTGCTGAAAAGCAAGACACTTTTACAGCAGCAGCAGGACCTGGTCACTGGAATGATCCAGATATGGTGAGAATACTGTGTACAGTCATTCTGAGTCTTTTCTGAGGCAGGGGCAGGGGAGAGGCGTGTCAAAAGTTACAATGGAGGTGAAAAGTCTCACTTAAGGTCACTTAACTAAGAGGACTTACCACTTCTCCTCTTCGGCCCCCGAATAATGTTGAATTTTCAGGAAGATGGGTACAGATAAGTTTGAAAAACTGGGGGCTTTTTGGCTTTGTTGCATCACATGCCTAAACATGGTCAAGATGAAAAGAGTTGATATTGGCTAGGCAGGTTACCTTATCCACCTAGGGTCCCTGTGACTTCCACATTAACAGTCACCATATATACTGGTGCGTATCATGATGCAATGATTGACACTGTATTGGCTATCTAAAATGTGTGTTAGAGCGTGTAAGTTTGACTTTTGCTAGCATGTTAAGTGGGAGAATCACATTTTTAAATTTCTTCTCTCCATACAGCTTATAGTTGGTGATTTTGGGCTGAATTTTGAACAGTCAAAAGCCCAATTTGGTCTTTGGTCAATCCTAGCTGCAGTAAGTTTTAAGAATGTGTGAGCATTTCCTTTTTCAGTCAGAATGAGTTTGTTTGATATAATTCATCAAGGAGGAAAGTTTTCTATATAAGTGTTTCATAACATGGCTCTCTAGAGAGTTTTCCGAATAATAAAATATTTCAATGTCACTGCTATTGATTTCTACTGATTACTTTTTTCTTTTACTGTGCGATGATATCAGTGATAGTTTAAAGCTCATTATCTGCACAGAAATTTTTCATGGCTGCATAATCATAAATTAAAATATAATTTTACAATTATTATTATAATAATATTATTTTACGCAAATATTTTGAAAGTAATTTTTAGGAATAATAATTTGGCTTTAAATTTTTTAATATCTTTATAAGCTGGGAACAGTAGAATAGTTTGTGCCACCATATCATCTTGTTTTTATTTTCAGCCTCTTGTTATGTCCAATGATTTAAGGAATATTTCAGCAGAGGCCAAAGATATTCTTCTCAACAGGTGAAAGTATTTTAATTAACTAAGCATGAAACAATGATGAGTAGTTTTGAAAATCTGAAAATGTACTGGCAGTTGTCTCCATTCACAAATGCACTGTTTCCGTTTGTTTCAAGCAATAATCTGGGAGTACTTACAGAGCTCATGGAGAAGGAACATCAATTTGAATTCAATTTTCACTATTAATTTCCCTTTCCTTTCAGAGAAGTAATTGCTGTTGATCAAGACAAGCTTGGAAAAATGGGTCGGAGAGTGGTGTGTATGATTCTCCCATTAGTTATTTGTTTATAATATGAAAAATAACGTAACGCAGAATTGCTTAACTCTCCCTTTTGTCTCCTTAGATGAAACAAAACACTTCGGAAGTGTGGTCACGACCTCTTTCAGATGGCAGTGTCGCTGTATTGTTATTCAATCGCAAATCTGATGCAGCTATTATAGAAGCAGATTTTAAACTGGTATGTATCAACTGTTGATGATAGAGATGGCGATACTTGATGATAATAATAATGGTGGTGATAAGTCTGATATTGATGATAATGTCAAATGTGCCGAAGGACAAGGCAAATGATAATCTAGACTAGCCCACAAGTAGACTTTTTGAGCCACGAAGTCAAAAATTGAGCAAAGATCAAAAGATGTGACAGTTTATTTGTCTTGCCTACAGTGATTCAAATTTAGTATGCAATATATTGTGGGGCAAAAATGTTTCAGAGTCTCAGTTATCCATGACTGGCAAGTACAGCTGGCAAGTGCAACAACAAATTTCAAGGAAGTAGTGTGTCTTTTGTATACAGAGTGTCCTAAACTCATCAGCCCAGAAATTTCAGTTTCCCTCCTGACTGACCACCCATTAAAACAGACTTTTGGGAAGTCTATTGATGATGATGATGATGACGGTTAAGTACATAGTAATGGCGATTGAGGGTGATGATGAGTGTTAGTGTCAGTGGCAGTGATGGTTGTTTGGACAGAGCATAAGTGTACCATTTTTTTGACTGCCTGTTTCATTCAAATCGAATCAGAATCAGATTAAAGTCAGCTAAGGAGAAGGCATCATTCACATAAAATATCACTTGAGATTTCAAGAAACAGAACAGTCACATTCCTACAAGCCAACATTAAATCATCAAGTTTTCTCACTCTCAGGTCTAGGCTGCAAAAAAATTCAAAACCATACCCATTGTTCTCAAATCCCCTTTCTTTTTTGGTTTTGCAGATCGGAATTACATCAAGCACAGCCAAGGCTAGAGACCTGTTTGCTCATAAAGACCTGGGAAAGTTTACGAAGTTCTTTAGTTCCAAAGTTAACTCAACAGGGGTGGTGATGGTTAAATTGACTCCAGTTGAAGATGTTTTTTACGGAGAGCTGAGATTCATTTGAAATAACAGGCTTTGTTTGTCGCTTTTACAGGTTTTTTAAACTTGTGGATGAAACCTTAAAACTGTGACCACTCTTAAACACGCAATGGAGCAGTATTTTTCTTTACTTGTCTAGTTTATAATAGCTGTAGCTCTATTTGTTTTAAAACAATAAATTACGACTGATCAATTCAACAGATATGGCTATTTTACTAACTTTTGGGTCTGTGGATGAGATCCTAAACAAAGTTTTAATAATATTATTCAGTGTTAAACATTCAAATGATGGCTTTGGAGTAGAAATTGATGATGATCCTGCTGATAAAATTTAATTTTATGTAGTCACTTACTAAAAGAAAGTTTACAGTGTTGTTATAGCAAAACAGAAAGAGGGGGAAAGTATTTTTTTTGTGTGTTAAAATCGAAGTAGCAGCTAACACACTCTATTCTTCTAGACACATTGACTAAGACATGCACATCTACTTCTGTAATACCTATTTCAATTAAGGTTGCTCCCGTGAACCATGTTTCATAGCTTATGGTAAGCCCTTTTGTAGCGGGAAGTTTAATCTTGTTCACGTTCATTGAAATAATGGAGACCATTTGTAAAAAGGCGTTCAAGAGAGCTTTCAAGTCCAATGGCTGCTGTTTAAATTCTTAAGCATGAGCGAGCTGAAAATTTTCATTTTTAAAATCTCATAGCAAAAAATTACTTATTACTAATTATTTCTTTTAACAACATTAAATGAATAGGCCCGCCTGATTAAACTACGTTTTTGCATGGGCCAGAATGCTGTTTATTTCAATAAATGAAATCAACGCTATTCTTTTTTTTTACTCAGTTTCAAAAAAAGTGTCTTAAAAATAGATAAACACGTAATGTTAAGTTATTTATTGATGTTCAACAAACGCCTTGAATTTTATTTGATTTTTTTTTAACTTCATCCAAAATTCCCAAGTGCACGGAGCCAAGGAAACCCGTTGAAAATTTGCAGCATTTGCATATTACCACAGAGAAAAACCTAACCTCAAATCACTGTCTTAAATTAAAAAGCCTAGGATTCAGTGTTTTGAAACACATTGTCTTGACGTTCTGCTGACATAGCATAGAAGCGTCAGCAGACGGTTTGCTTTCTAGGTTTCCAGGCTCGTTGCGGGTACATAATTTACTAGACTTGCTACAATAATGCACCGCAGGCTATAAACATGGATCATGCGTCATTCTTCTCTGAAGCAACCTTAATTGAAATAGGTGTATACACTTTAAAAGCTGTTTGTGTACATTTATTATACATGAAAAAGTTTCTCGATTGTGATTGGCTAAGAGAAATGCAGTTTTTTGGTAACATGGCGCAGAAAAAAGGTATTTTAGTGCAGAAAAGAATAACAAACGTGATATTCTGATTGGTTAATAAACAAAGGAACTCACTGATCACTCACATCTTAATGGCGCAAAATTTGGATCCGCTCTAGACCAGCTTCGAGCAAAAATCGCAATGTAATGGCTGGTGTTTGTAGCCTGAAATTCATCCGATTGCTTCGAGTCGTTTTCTTCTCTCAACTGAGGGAGTAATAACGACTCGAAGTAATCGGATGAAATTCAGGCTATGGTGTTTGTAGCACATGCATTTGCTTTTGCCACCGAAACAACTATAGAGGGGCTGAAAAACTGCTCTAAAAACGAAAACACTGCGAAAAGCACTGGTTTTTGGCTCTCTGTTTGGAGAAAGTGGCGCGTAGAGAAGGAAATTACTGATAAAATAGAAAATTATGAGCCGGCTGAGCTTAACACTTTGCTCGAACATTTCTACGCCGAAGTAAATAATAAAAAAGGCGAAGATTATGAACCAGGAAGCCTTAAAGTAATGATGGCATCGCTTGATAGACACTTAATGAGGGGTCATCACGATTACAAAGATTTATTCAGCGAGAGCCAGAAAATGCCAAAGACAGGCACGCTGTGGCATTAACAGAGGAAAATGGACGTATTGTACAGGCAGGTACAAAAGTCGGACCGGATCAACTCGGACCGCCAGTCCGGGTCGGATCAACTCGGATCGACTCAGACCAACTCGGATCGAATAAAAATATAAAAATAAAATAAAATTGGACTCGGATCAACTCGGATTATAAAAAGAAAAGCAAAATCAGTCGGTATCACTTAACTTTCACCGGCCATTTTGTTTTTTTCTCTTTTAATGATACACTGGTGAGCAGCACACATACACTTCCAGTGAACATTTTCAACTTGGAAGGAGGAGAAATCATGCTCGCCCAGGACAACGAAAATTTTCGTACCCTGGGAGAGAATTGAACTCACGACCCTCCGAATACTACATGTTTATCGGACGTTCCAACCACTGAACCGGAGGGTCGCGAGTTCGATTCTTGCTCGGGGCATGGAAATTTCCTTTGTCCCGGGCGAGCATGGTTTCTCCTCCTTCCAAGTTGAAAATGTTCACTGAAAGTGTATGTGTGCTGCTCACTAGTGTATCATTAAAATTAAGTTTCAGAAGTCCTGCAGAAAAAAAAACAAACAGGAACAAACAAACAAACACTCTTCGGTAACTATCTAAATGCGATCAACAGACCAGGCTTTTGATGCTTTTCTCATAAATAATTCAGTACACTTATTAATAAAAAATTATGCGCATAACTTATGATCACTCACCTCAACTTCTTTGCTTTGTGACAAAAAGCTGCAATAAATAAAAAATAAGCAAATATATATTCTAGGCGACTGAAGCTATCATTTTCTTGGAATGAAGCAAATTCATTGAGAAAGATGGTCGAGATTTTACCTTCCTCGAGGTCATCCGAGAGGAACTGGCACTAGTAAAACAAAATGGCGCCTGAAAGCCACGGAGAAAAAGGGGATGATCTGGCCTTTTTTACCCTCCAAATGGGTTAAACTTTCAGTTTTGCTGATTTAATTTAATTTTTTTGATTGCTCCGAGTTGATCCGAGTCCAATTTTATTTTATTTTTATTTTTTTATTCGGGATCCGAATTGGTCCGAGTCGATCCGAGTTGATCCGACCCAGACTGGCGGTCCGAGTTGATCCGGTCCGACTTTTGTACCTGCCTCATGTCGGACGGGTGTCGGACACATTCCACTGGGACAACCACAGGGGGACGGGAATTTATCAATACCGAGTACCGAAACTGCTAAGCAGTCGTTGATAATGAAACTCGAGGGCTTGAGCTCTCTTAATGATCCGGGAAGAAACAAGGGCAAGCTTATGTGAAGAAGTCTCCTTCGTTTTCGCGCCCCGCAGCCAGAGCGCCCCGGAGAGCTTCAGGAGCTTGCTCGCAGGCTAGTGCGTACAGCGTGTCCGCTTTATCGAGAGTTAGAAGTTAAACAATAAAATTGCCACTTTGGTACCAAGAAAGTGGCCGTAATTCCGTAATAGCTACAGTCTGATATAGCGGGAGTTTTTTCCAGTCAAACCCCAAAAGCTTTTGTCCCCGGATCTGGATTTTGTCCCTAACAGCGAGGTTCCGCAGAAAACGGGGTGACCACAAGCTAGGCGAGAGTTGACTGTGACTTACACCCTAATATACTGCCAGAGGAACCCATCGGATCTGTTCCTCAAAATATCTGCTCTTCAGGCCAATTTTTGCTGGCTGGGAGATTTGAAAAAATAGTTTGTCCTTGGAAGGAAATTGTTCTTGGAAAATAGACAATGCAGCGTTTCTGAGGGGATTTGATGTCTGGAATAGCTGCTATGTGCTATTTGTCAGAAACCTCTGTCCCCACCCAATTTCTTATCGTCTTTTCCCCCCTCCCCCCTCCCCTCCTTCCCAACGGAAGGGCTGAATTTTGTCCTATGACCACACCCAAACTAGCCAGTAATATCTGGACATACGTCTGCTGGGAAACTTCCCAGTAAGTCAGGTTGCAGGTCAGTAGGTGCACCTTGCTGGCTGGGAACTCTTCCACTAGTCTTTCTGAGAGTGAGGAACAGATAAATTTTTCCCAGAAGTCTTCCCATATGCTTAAAATGGCTTCAGAAAGCTTTATTTATGCCCCTTGTTGTTGTTTTCAGGTCTTTTTCTCAAAATTTTCCCCCTGTACTGCCAAACGTAGAGAATGAACTTAAAATACTTGAACTGATCAATCATATACAGACAGGTAAGTAGTATAGGAGGGATGTTTTAGGCCTCTTTTCTGGGCAGGAATCTCATTAACTTGGGCAGGAATAAATTTACGCCGATGACGTCATAACCTTTTGTCTTGATCTCATGAATAAAATGCTGCGGTATCTCATTAACTTGCGGTGGAATCTCATTAAGTATATCCAGTTTTGTCTTTATCTTAGTTAAGATGGGTCTTTCTCTCTCTTTGCTTCAGGTCAAGTTTTCTTGGTACCGCTCACCGGCAAAAAATTTAACAATATCTACAAGTGCAATTGAAAAGCTTAAAGAAAACTTTTTTAAACTACCGGGCTCAAATCTCGAAAAATTAAAGCAACTCCATTCTGAACTTTTTTCCAACGTGAACTGGGGACGATTTTAATGAGCGGTGTTGGCCAACAAGATCTTTTCTCCAAAATAGCTACCTATTAGACTTCCACGAGGTTGAGGCATGACATGTTGCTCCTCGGCAAAGGTTTGCATGTATTCACGAATATCTTCTTTAGATATCTGCGTATTTTTGAAGACTGGACACATTTCGGAGAACTTGGGTTTCAGATGGTCAGGTACTGTGATGTCACACTCGACAACACCAAAGAGAGACTCGTCTCTGATAGCTTTTATGATCTGATTTTGATCCAGGGTCTGGTAGTGGTCAAGGGGTCGGTGAAACTTTCTGTTCATGAAATATTGTACTGCAGAGTTAGTTTTTTTCATTCGGCGCCGCTGGCACTCCCACATCTCCACGAGATTGTAGCCTTGATCTCTGATATACTTTGAATTTGCTGTAGTTTCTTCCCTGAGCTCAGCCATTGGTTTCTTTCTTTTTTCATTAATTTCTTTTCCTTTAGTTAGGTAGCAGTTATGCCCATGCCACCAGCAGCCATGGAACTGAAAGACTGTTTGCGAAGGACAGTGAAAACCATCCACTGGGAGCCTTCTTTCACCTATGCGTTTTTCTGTATTGTTCATTTGGTGGCGTATAAAAATTCCTCCCTCATGTGCCTTCCACTCTAACCACTCGGTGGCCATCTTGGTGGAGCTTTCTTTTTTGAAGTTGGTTTCTTCGCGTCGTCTCGTAAAAGATCCGCTGGGCATGTTTTGCATGATAGCCCAGAGATAGAGCGCGTTGGCGTCATATCCTACTATTTTCTGGCACATTTTTGGTTCTTTGCCTTGATCTGTTATCTCTCTCTCTCTCTGATCTTGGTCTTTTTTTTTTCATGATATCGGTGGAAGATGATGCTGGGGCCTCCTACCATATTTTTCTTGAACAAGGTGTATAAATCTTCATTTTTTTCGTCAAACAGAGAGAAGAAGATGCCAGATTCCAGGGTGGTAAAGAGGTACATCAAGGTAACACCGGGAATAGAAATACCTTGTCTTAACATGTCGATCTTTTTATCTTTCCAGAACGCGCACATTTTTTCCAGGGCCTCACAAAAGGGTTGGACATCTAGGTTGTTGTACCAGATGAGAAAATCTTTAAATGTCTGCATGTTGTCAGACCACACTTGTTGGCAGTACTGGTAGTCTTCTTCAGAAATGTTTTCGTTTTTCAGTGTAGAGAAGAAGGCTTCGTGAGGAGGAAGAGAAGGGTGGTCTAACTTGTCAAGAGAATCCAGCCATTCGTATGGGAAGAACCCCTTGGTTTGAGGACACTCGTAGGCCTTCAGAAATTTGTCGTAGCTGAACCCGGGAGCAAGAAAGTTGGTGACGTCGAGAAAGCGAAGATGTGGGGTCTTTAGGCACATGAAATTGTGGTTACGCTTGATAGTAAACTGAACGCCCTCATTCTGGACCAGGACAGGAAACAGAAATTCTTTGACGGCATTCAAGTCATATTTACCAGAATTGAAGCCCAGGACAGGAAGTTCTTGCAGATATTCTTGGAAACGATCTCTCAGTTTCTTTAAAGGGTGCACTTTTTTCTCCTTAGGTTCTGGGCTGTTGTCCTCTGGTCTGTGATATTCACACTCGTGATCATTTTCACTCTGATCCTCGTGTTCGCGATCTAAGGCCCTGTAAAGCGAGGCACCTTGTTCTTCTACGTCATCGTCAATAAAGGCACGATCTTCTTCGGTTTCAGACTCGATTTCTTCTTCTTCGTCATCTGTGTCCATGAGATCTTCTCCTTCATCATCGCTATCTTCCTGGGTGAGGTTTTCTACTGCGTTAGTTTTTGAAGGGTCACTAGCTTCTGATTTTTGCTTTAGGTCTTGCAGCTTTTGGTCGATGGCTTCAAAAAGAAAGTTAAACTCTTTTCTTAACAGGTCATAACTTTGTTCACTTATTTTTACGAGGTGTTCTAACATCTCTTTGACCACCTGTTTGGAGTCCCCATCTGACACAAAGCACTTGGGTTGGTCGTAGTCTGGAACGTTGGAGCAGACACTCACGCTGAGGGGTATATGTTTAGAATTCCACGTCAGTTTTTTCTGTATTATTAAGGTCTGTCTCGGGTGTAAACATACACTCGAAGTCAAAGGTAGCTCTGCAGGGGAAGAACTTGAGATGATCAGGAATGGTCAATCCTTCGTCTTCTAGCAACTGAAAAAGGGTCGGTGGAGTCTTATAAGCACCTCCTGGAAACTGGTAATGTACTTTTGCTTCACAGGTTTGCTCGTGACGATTTAACTTGCCAACATGCTTCCACAATGTTCCACATCGTGAGCAGCTGTAGGACTTGGCATACTTCTTTAAATCTTTGATATAAGAAAAGTGATTCTGGTACAGGTTGAGGTAAAGAGTACTTGGGTAGTGGCAAAGGGAGCGGTGAATCAACCGCGCAGCGATCTCAGGAGCGAAATCCTCTTCCTCTTTTTCTATGTTTTCATCTCCCTCCCCTCCATCGGGCTTGGTGGGCTCCAATGCATATACAAAGATATTGACTTCAAAGAGGTATTCTATGTCGGGCAGTTCTTTCAGTTTTACACCACAGAACTTCTTCCTGTCGAATAGCGTTTCTCGATATTTCTCATAGTAATGCTTGGCATCCCGCTCCAGATTTTTAGTGTGGCAGCCGTTATGGAGAGCCAAGGCACGGAAGAAGCAAAGATTGTCGTTGTAGACTTTTCCGGTCTGTTGGTTTCGATCTAAGGCTACTAAACCATGGTTCTCGGCAAGGTAAGCAGGTAAATCTGTACCACGACCGATGGGGTGACCTCTGATTTTTGTTATAAAGAAGGTGATATTGGTCACCTGTTGTACCACCCATTTAGAGTTGGGGCGACGTTGGCGTACCCATTCTAGGACATCGAGATTCTGCAATGCTTCACGGACATGTGGAAGATCGGCTGCGGTTGTGATTTGGAATGGCTCTTCAAATACTTGATCGTTGTTCCTAGAAGCGTAGTAATATTGCAGTGCACCGGTCTCGTTGTTTCTCAGAATGAAACCAAAGGAGACATTAAGTTTAAGCACGGTGGACTGGTCGGTAAAGATCTCGTCAAGGTGCTGTACAACCTCTTGAGGTTGCGGGGAATACAGACGATAGTTATACCAGTCCAGGAGCCGGTTTTGGCGGTTGAATCGAGTGCGGATTTGATGCCAGTGGCGACGGTACTCGAGAACAGAACTTTGTTGGACTTCAGGTAAGTCAGTCAAGGTTCTTGCATCTTCCTGCCAGCTGGAACTTGAAGTTGCTTTTTTCTCGATAGGATTGGGCTTCATTTTCTTGGGTTTTGGCTCTAAATCGGAAATAAAAATTCCAATGTCTATTCCCAAATCCAAACGAGGTATCCAGAAACACAAAAGAGTTGTTTATACAATGTATTGTTTAACATACTCAAATTAGCATACGACTAATCCATTTTTTCCACTTCATTGCTTTTACCGAACATTTGTGTAGGATTAACTCGCTGAACAAAAGTTTTGTTCCATTATGTCTAAAATATGTTGTGCTAAGCCTCTGTACAAAGGCAAACCAAAGACTTGTTCGAACATACTCTAGCCTCTATTGTTTTAACATCCCACGGCTAAAATTTGCATACGACTAATCCAATCGTTCCACTCCACTGCCTTCACCTCAAATTTGCATACGGTGCAGCTTTCAAACAAAAGACATGTTCAAACATGCCATAGCCTCTATTGTGTTGCAAGAAGCAAGAAAAAGTTACCTACGACTAATCCTTAACACAAAATATAATTTTATCTTACTGAAATACAACAGAAAAGTTCACTGCTTCCTACCTGTTTCCTCGTCCCTTGGACGTCTCTTACTTAAAGAGGGTTTGATATGAGCCATCTTTTGATGTGCTTGGAATGGCGCCATATTGTGGAATACGTTTCCGCAGGTAGTACATTTGTATTCCCGTTGAGCTGCTCGGCGCTCGTGAACTTGTTTTTCGTGCCGTAATAAATGCGATTTTCGTCTGAATTTCTTGTCACACTTAGTCCACTTAGGACAGTCGTGCTGTTTCTCGTTGATGTGTATCTGTTGATGTTGTTTTAAATTATCTGCTCGAGTGAATACTTTTTTGCAAGTGGGACATTCATGTCGCGTCTTTTTAGCGGGAGGAGATATGTCTACATCATCCTATAAAATAAACGTAAATCGTATAAAAGGCCTGACAAACTATGTGTTTAAATAAGAAAAGTGAGTAAAGTAATTACGAAAACACCTACCTGCGCGGATCGTTTTCTCCCAGTTCCAGTCTGTACTTGGTTCGGAGAAGGCTGAGAAGATAGATGTGATGAGACTCAAAGTACTTAAACTACGTTTTTACGTGTCAACAAGGACAAACTTTACCGAACACTTACCGTTTTAAACTCTTTCTCCCAATCATTCCATGGCTGCAACACTTCAGCAGGAATATTGGAATCTTGCAAAGGTGTATTGGAAGGCTGGACCTAGAATGAAACTATGTGTTACTAAAAGAATCTAGCCTTGAATGACATTCAAACGTTAATAACGTACGTCTTCTGGAAATGTTAAAGTCATCATTCGATCCACCGCTTCAGAAATCTGATCGCTTGGTATCTCGTTGTGCCAGATGAAATTTTCCAAAGTGGTGAACTGGTTGAAAGCCATGACTACTCGCACTCAACTTACTCACAATGTGTGAACGATGCGCTTGGCAGTGAGCAGGCTTTTATGCCGTTCAAACAATAAAAAATGCGGCAACCAACCAGAATGCTTCGTCAAACGAGACAGCCAATGAGCGTCTTTCTAATTCCGGTCAACCAATCAAAACAACTATGACATCATAGTACCCCGGAATACATATGACATCATCTTCCGAAAATAACTAAAACCTGTCAAACCAGTTATACCAACCATGACCGCCACAAGATAAAAATAGAACATGACATCATTGATAAACCCGTCAAACTGGATATACTTAATGAGATTCCACCGCAAGTTAATGAGATACCACAGCATTCCACAGTTAATGAGATCAAGACAAAAGGTTATGACGTCATTGGCGTTAAGTTATTCCTTTCCAAGTTAATGAAATTCCTGCCCAAAAAAGGGGCCTAACCGGTCCCTCCTATACTACTCAGGTAGGGGAGAGAGTTGATACCTTGAGATAATTAAATAACTTAAATGAGGTCACCAGCAGCAGACTTGACTCGCAATTAAAAACAGGCTGTCTTAGTCATTTGGTAGTACAGCAATGAATGTTTTGAAGCAAGCAGTGGTTGTAAGTATCCTCTGCTCGTTCTTCCAACAAATCCGTTGCCTGGATAATGGACTTGCAATTACTCCCCCGAGTAAGTATAATGCAACAACGGTGAAATGATACATTTATGAATTTATGTTTCACTGGCCTGTAAATAAACTTAATTAGCCCGCCGCTTTCGATCTGAAAGAAGCGGATCCAAATCTGAATTATATTCACTTTGATTCCCGAAAGCGATGTCAATCAAACAAGACGGATGATTACAGAGTTTACTTGGAGGAAATAACCAGAAACTATCCTGAACATACTTCGTGCGACTTGTCATACTTCGGAGTTCCTGTTTAGAAACAAACTGAAAACATTGTCATTCCTTAGAATTCTAAATGAAAGGTTTTGATAATGCTTTCAGATGAAATACCTGCCGAATCGGACAGTTAGATTCCTCTGATAAAGCATGAAGGGATAGAAATATGATTATTCACACATTTGTTTCTCTGTACCAAAGGCAAAAATTGGTCATTGTAGGTCGAAATATTT